GGCGTCCTACCTTGAAGGCGGCGCGAAGATTGCGGGATTGTGTACCGTCGGTCGCTGCGTTCAAGAGGCGCAGGTAGCTTCGAATGAGGCATGGGGTGACGAATGGGAAGTTGAACTGCTCATCGGCGTAGCGGTCGACCAGTGGGCCTAGGTTGTATCGTCGATCATGAACAATTCCCAGAACAGTGACCAGGTTGTTGAAAATCAAGTTTTCGTATTCTTCATTACCAGCATTCTCGACCAGGATTCCGAACAGTGCATCGAAGACGCCACTGAGTTGTTTGACAATCTCGATCTCAGGAACAAAGAGCAAACGCTTCAGAGTATCCAAGACCTCGTCCACAGGCCGCTCTCGCCAGTTGAGAAGACTCAGAATGACTTGATCCTGGGAGTACTCTGTACTGCAAAGATGGGTTTCGAGGTGCAAAGTGGCCAATGGTCCCGTCACAGCTTCATCTTTGGCGGATTCATTCTTGCCGAGCGCGCTCCACGGGAGGTTCAGATAAGCACCCTTTCCATTCTCAATGCTAGATGTCTGCTTGTCATAAGCATGCAACAGTAGAGAATGACCCCCATCTCTAATGAAAGCCTGCTGGTCCCAAAGGGGCATCCAGGCAAGAGCAAAGGGAAATTCGGGTGCATCTGCAACACTCATCACCATGTGCGAGCCAGGGATTTGCTCTGTGGGGATCTTGAGGCGAATGGTCTGGTTCCAAGGCGTGCCCCGCTGGGCGATTGTTGTGCGCCATGCCGTGTTCGAAGTATTGGACGACGAAGGGAAGACACATTTGTCTATCCGTGCTCCTTTAGCATCACGCACCTCGAGAGTAAGCTGAAGATTGTGGAGTCCGCTGGTCGTCTGCAGAGGAATTTGACCAGCCTGCGGGTGAGACAGGAGAGCATCTGTAGGGAATACGGCCTGAGAGAGCGTCACGTAAATATCGGATCTTGGCTTCGCAGGAGCCTTGGAGAATCCAATGCGCTGTGTCTGGATAACATCGTGCAATATGGTAGGGTTCTGACGGATCAGGCACTCGGCGTCGCTACTGGCAAAGGGGCGTAGATGGAGGTGTAAACGTGCTGCAGGATCGGCACGCGCATACCGGCCGGTGGGACTAGGAAGCAAGGCGCGGATCAGCTTGTCAAAGCCATCCGTCAACCCCTCGCCGTCTTCGCCGTCTCGACGAGGCGACCAAATATTGATCACCTGCTCAGCGTCCTTCTCCTGTCGGAGAATCGGCGATATCTCCAAGATCCCAACGCCAACAGTGCGGACCGCCGAGACTTCCTTCGTTGGGGCGGCTTGAGAGGTAGTTGCCTCCTTGACGCTGGATGCACTGCTCGATGTTCGTGGCATGCCTTGGGTAGTGCCCTTAGATGGCTGATCGAAGCTCGGTCCGCGTTGCTTGGGCGTCCACATCATGCTGCGTCGCGTTTTCAAACTTCCCTTGGCCGAGGGTTGAATGCCCCCGTTTGTCGTGGCCTTGGTCGGGGTCGGACTTTCTCGTGAGATTGATGGCCTCGACATGGGAGTGGCATCGGCTGCAGATCGCGTCTCTGGAGCGCGGACCCAGGCAACTAGATAGAGCTGCCGCCCATTCGCAGACCCATCTCCGATGTCTGTTGCGGCCAATTCGGTGAACAGTGTCTTCAGTCTACTGCTTTGGCTCATGTTGACGAACTTATCCGGAGACGGAATATCTAAGCTAAAGGTCTCAGATAATGGACTGAGGGAACCGGCATCTGATCGGGAAAACAGCTGGATTCCAATGGTCACTTGCCCCGGCGCGTTGCCCGATACCGCATTGATTTCTAGCAGCAAATGATGAAGGGCTGTAGCATCGGATGTTTGGGTAGGACGGGAGTCGAGCATACTCATCTCGGACTGCAGCTTTGCCAATTGGATGGCAGAGTCGTCACCCGTTAGCAAACGGCCTCTCTGCTCCGGATCGCGGACAATCACGTCCCCACTGAGCATTTTGTTTGCCTTGACCAGTTTCCAGACTGTCTCGTCCCGCAATGCTTCCTTCTCCTTTCCAGTCAGAACATTGTGTAGTAATTGTCGTCTCGCGAAGTCCAGCTCTTGTACAATGGTTGACATTTCCTCCAACACACCATACCGGCGTGCCAAAAGCAATTCATGCAAATTAGTGGAATGCCATTCGCGCAGACACGACGCGATCTCATCGACTAGTGGCTCGGTGAGAGAAGTCGGAGTTTCATCACCGATCTTGAGCATTGGGACCGGGGCAGCAGGTTTGGGCGCATCGGGGTCGCGAGGAGCAAAGGAGACAGGTGTATGTGGGATGGAGCCCGTCCGCCATCGCGGACTTGCCTGGTCTGACCCATCGGTCTTGTGAATGATAATTTGAGAAGGTTTCCCCTTTTTCGCAAAGACAACGTCCGACACCTCGCCAGCAGCCTGGAAGTCACTGACAGAATAAGCTAGACTGTTACGGGAGAGGTAGTCTCCATCCCAGCCGGACAAGGTCAGTCGATCAGTGCTTTTCCGATCAGCATTGAGTAGTGCTTTGTATCCATCACCGTCGCCCAACACCTCTCTAATCTCAACGCAGTTCCGTGGAAATATACCCGAGAACACACGAGCTTCGAGGGTCTGGCCCTTGGTGCTTGTCAAGCCGGCCAGCAACGACGGCGGCGCGACTAGATAGCCTCGGCACCATTCACCGTCCGTGCCTCCTTGTTCAATTATGTAGAGCTCATCGCCAAGCTCTAATGGTAGATCTGCGGGGGAAGAGGGGTTGAAAGGGTATATGGCCACAGCAAAGGCGATACGAGGCAGCGGCCGCCAGGGCATGGCTATGCTGTGAATCGCTCGACGCGATTGGAGCTCGAGACACCTGATTTGAGGCGTGCCAGTCCCCGCAAATGGGTCTCCGACCGCAAAGTTCACGGGAAGGAATTTCCGTGTAGATCAGTTCGAGGAATGTTCGTTTCGGTCGATCGAAAGCCACATGGAGTGGGAGATAATCGTCAGGTCCCCGGGGGAGGATGAATAACGAGAGGAATGTGGGAATCCGAGAAATGTCATGCGACAAGTAATGATCTAAAGAGACATGATTAGGGAGGTACAAGGACCAAAAGAGATGTCACCCTGTCGGAAAGCGAGGAAATAAAAGGCTAGAGAGGTGTAGTTTTCTACACAAAAAGACACAAATGTCTGAAGTGTCGCAATTGAGAGTATCCGTGCCCCCCCTTGGGAGACATTTCGGTGGAGAACCTGGAGGCCACTTAAAGAGGCGTGGGGCAGACACAACTCACCGTATTAAAAAAAAAAAAAAAGAAAAACACACAATCTGAAGAAGAAGAAGAAGTAGAAGAACAAAAAGGGAAAAATGAAAGGGAATGGAAATATGTCAAGAGAGAGCTTGAAAGGAGAAAAGATTAAAATCGAAAGATCGAAGATCACCCCCACAACTCATCTCTGGGACCAGAAGCTGGGACTTCGGAGGATAACTGCCTTTACCTTGCTTCATCTGCCGTTAACTACGGACTACACACACATTTTAAGATTACATTCTCCCCTAACATATTCTTTTGTATGTTGTATCCAATAATTGGATGAATACAGTTCAATGTTTATTCTTATTCGTCTAAATAACTAGTCCATATCATATACAACATACAATAACATTACATAGTTACTACTTTGCTTCATATACATACTCTGTAACCCTACAAAACACCCCCATACCCCTGAAACAAGGTGAAGCCCCGAACGGTGGGGTTAATATGGCCAATGAGAAGATCGAATCTCTAACAACCTATAAGAGAGAAGACATGGTAAAAAGAGTAAAAAGAGTAAAAAAAGCAAAAAAAGCAAAAACAAAGCAAAAACAAAACATACCGTTCAGTTTCAAAAGTGCATTAGGTATGTAACATCTCATTTCCATCCTATCGCCAGGGTCTTCTTCTGGGTCTTTAGTCCTTCGACAGTCGGGTTGGGTATAGTTAGTTATCGATTGTCTCATGTATACATCTATAGGGCTAACTAACCATATACTCCTCTCTACAGAACAATTCTTCTCTCACACCTTTACTCCTTAACACAAAGCACTATGCATTCAAAATCCAACCTCCCATCCAGTCAAATTAGACCATATTGGATAGTCTCCCATATGTCCGAAACCAACAGGAGTCTTAGAGCCATCGAATGCTACGGAGAGGCGGGCAAATGAAACTACATAGCCTACCCTCCAGTTTGATACCAAGATCTTTGTGAATATCATAATTAGCGACTATCTTCTTCGAAAAACAGTCCAGCAGGAGGAATTTATTAAGAGAATGTCCAGAGAAGCCATTATATATCATCAAAGGACAGAGACCGAGCATCAAGCCCTTCGACATAATCGACATAAATACAGCGAGATTGAGCAGAGTTTCTATCTCTCCGAGTCGATGCTTCCTTTGGGTCCTTTGTTCTAGGATTCCCCAAGAGAAGAGTCAACCTGGTATCTTCGAAAGGAACTAGTTCAAGTCTGTGCCATGAGAGGGGGCTGTTGTGGCCGAGGCTGTGAATCAACCACCGAACGTACTAGAGGTATAACTTCATGTTGTCATTGTCGATTATTGCTCGTTTTGATTATACTACAAGCGAGAAAAGGACGGTTGATGAACTTAGGAAACTCGAGGATAGACATCTAGCCTATATTACTAGGATTGGCAGAGGCTTATTTCTTGAAACCCAGGCAGTGATGAAAGTTGTTCGATTTATAATTATTCCCCATTCTCATATTCCACCGTGTACCTCGATATTTGCCTATCTAGTCCTTACGCTTCCCATTTGCGCTAAAGCATTGCATGTTCCGGCAGTTTGTCAGACCTGATAGTTAAGGTCGGGGTCAGATAGACTGGAATATCAAGGTTTTACGTCCTCAAGCACAAAGGTGGCATAAACAGCCGACTACGGAGTAGTAAGAGAATACCAAGGAAAAAAGCAAAAACAAAGGGGAATAGATTTAACTTTCAATAAGTACATCTCATTTCCGGAACATGCTAAGGGTCTCTTCCTTGCGCCAGTCCAAATCCAATTGACCCTCATAGACATCTTCAATAATCTGTCGGGTACGGTCATAAGTATTCTCATACCGATTCTCGCACTCCCGTAGCACCTTGACAACAAGGCTACGACTAAGACCGGGATCATCGGCATCACCAAAGTGCTTCTCCACACGCTTCTTAAGCATTTCGATGCCACGGCGGATTTCCTTGTTATCGTAGGAGGCGAGAACCTTCTTCGCAATAATGCGGGAGTGGCTGGCGCGGGCAGCGATATCGGTCGGGTTACTGCCCGCAGCGAGGAGGTTGTCAATTGACTGCACGAAATCAATCAGTTTACCCAGTGGGCGGTGAATGACGGCGTTGAGGTAGAGCTTCATGTGCTCCTGGAAGTCTTGGTGGGCCCGATCGGTCCAGCGTTCAAGTGCGGGGATGTTGTGTACATCTACTTCCTCAATGTAGTGGTTCATGTTCTCGATGAGGAGGATGTGGTAATTCAGGATCTCCTTGTCTTCCGGATCACCCGCACCCGCAGTGACACCCGGAGGTTGGCCGGGTGCTTCCTTGGCAATGAACTTGAGTGACTCCCACATCGCACGGTTGATGCGGTCGTACGCGTCATTGACGCTAACGCGAATGTCGCAGAAGGCACCAGACGGGGATGATAGCATGGTTTCTACCGCATTGGAGAAGCTGGGGAACACCCGCATGAAGGAAATTACTCCCTTCCGCTTGTTCACCTTGACCTTGGTATCCTCAATACCTCGGATTTGCTCATCTACAAATCGGTTGAACAATCCCATTAAGCGAGAATGGATTTTCTGCAGTGCATGCAGAATGAACTCTTGGTTCGTGTCATCAAAGTCATTCATGGCAGTCTCCAAGGCATGGAGAATACCGATTCCTTGGAGAGGATCAGCTTGCATCGCCCAGTCCACCATGCTCTGCATATCATTCGGCCAGAATGAGTAAATCTCATCCATAATCTGCTCGACTCTCTTTGCCATTCCCCGGTCAGGATCATGTGGCTGGTTGGCAGAGAAATCAGGACAAGTGCGGTTTTCGGGGATGGCCGCAGACACCAGATCGGGGAAATCGACGCTGGCAAGAGAATTGAGATGGAAGAATTGGACGACGAAGTTCTGCTCCTGAGCCATCATATTCAATGTCTCCCGCAGAGTCCCAGCAAATGCCTCAGATGGCTCAGCCTTTCCTTGCTTCTTCGCGCCGCCCGAAGCTAGTCGAAGCCCAGCGGCAGCCCGCACCGTCTTGCCTCGTCGCACAGTCAGTTTCCGTGCAGCCATGGTGAGACCCTCGGCTTCTTTCTCTTTCTCTTGGTGTGTGAAGAGGAGTTCCTGCTCATCTCCCGTTGGTTTGCGCGCGGTCTTCTTCCAGGCCAGATTATTATCGCGGAAGTCGCCCTGGTACGAAGGCTTGGACTGCTGCTCATAGAGGCCGACAAGCCTACGCCATTCTGCCGTGCTAACCTCCTTGGCAAACAGCATCAGGGCATTGTACCGCCAGATCTCTTGACGGAAGTGTCCTCGTGCGGCACTGTCCAATTTCATCGCATCCTTGGCACCGCCGTTGGTCCAATCAACGCGTTTTTGTTCTGCCATTTTGAAGGCAAGGGCCATGAACTGCTGCAGTCGGTTGAGGAACATGGTTGCAGTAGAGCGATACTCTTCCTTCTTTTGCTTTATCGCACGCATCTGGCCGATTTCTGTATCAGCATAGACACCGACACTTGCGTCGACTTGACGCTTCTTGTTTTGCCCAATGTCAGAGTCGATCGTGAGCATGGCCTTGTACAACGTCGCTAGAGCGTCTTCAGTATCCTTCAACCCATCGGGGTTGCTCAAAGAGGCTTCCTTGAGGGGTCCCAGCTCGGATGAAGATATTGAAAGTGTCTTCAATAGTGTTTGGAGTTCGTTTTGCAGGAGCTTCTGATTTGCTGTTTGTACTTGAAGACCTTGACCTTGGGCTTCAATGTAGGCGACATCCTCATGAAGAGTCTGTAAGGTAGTCTCGTTAGCCTACTAAAGATCAATCCCGATTTCGTAATGCCAAAACTTACATTCAGTTCATGAGAGTAAAGGGTTAAAAGACCATCCAGCTCATCACACTCCTCAATCGTCCTATCGATCAAGCTCGCAAGTTGTTCCACCTTTCCTTCCTGTTGTTCAAGGTTGCCAAGCCAGCTAGTGGCCTCGACACGGCCAATTTCACGGCGAACATCTGCTTCTAGATCCTCAATCTTCTGTTCATCGGCCAACCGTCCGTTCCAGCCCAAATCAGTTAGGATGTCGTCAAAATCAATACCACGTCCGTCGAGAATGGTGGGATCGATTCCAAGGGCCTGGCAATATTTCATAGTGTGGTCTTCATGGCGTCTGCGACGACGTCCTTGAGTTGCCGGGGATGGCGATCTTGAACGATCTTCAACCTTTATAACAACATCAGAGAGGTTCTCCCGTGAGATCTCAGGAGTTTGAACTGGGGCAGCTGCGATCTCCTCGGGTACTGGCTCTGTAATCTCGACGGTTGGTGTCTCCGGCTCCGCAGCAGGAACCGGGAGTTGTAGATCTTGTTCCGACTTTGTTACCACTGGACTCTGCGGGGGATCAGTTGCCGACCGGGAGAGGGACGGTGCCGGAACAACGCTGGTGATACCATCAGGTCCCGCAACATCAGTCTGTGTCTTCTTCGAGGCTGCCAGCAGCCGCTCACCAGCCCCACCAACCCTGGGCTTGAAACCAGCATAAGCATTTGCAGCCTTTTTCCAGGCGCCTGCGATGTCTTTGCCTTCCTTTTTCTTGACCATAGGGCCGAGCCCTGGGCGATGCGGCTCGAATTCGCCAGTTTCTTCAACCTGTTCCGGGGAAGCTTGAGATGGCGAGTCCGCGGCAGGAACAGTTTCGATAGGGGTCTTGGGCTTTTCATTGGAAGCTTGAGTAGGCTCTGGCGAGGGCAGATTCGCCGCCATAATAGCAGCAGGCTCTGAAGCCAGTCCCTCGATTGCTGGTGATGAAGATGGTTCCCGCGGCTGTGCGGAAGGTCCAGATAACAAGGTATCTGATGCACTTTTCTCTTGAGGCAAAGAGGGCGGATTAAACGTGAATGCCTTCTCCCCGCCACTACGTTGGGGCGACCTTGCCCCAAAGCTGGGCGTGGGACGTGGGGCTGTGTCTCTACTCTCATTATTGGAAGAACCAGAAGTGGTAGGACGAAGTCCATCATTGCTGCGTATGAATTCTGGTGCCTTATTCTGGGCTGGCTGGGTAGCAAGAGGTGGGGGTTTGGGAGCAGAATATGGGCGGAGTGACTCTGGAATACCGGCATAGCTGTTGGCTTGCGCTGCAGCAGTCAGATTATCTGTTCCACTGGGCTCCGATTGTGAACTTGGGTGTTTTGCGTTTGCTGCGCTACGCTCGGCTGGGCGTGGCGGTGGTTGCTGGTCCAGAGGTGGCCCAGAAAGGAGTGACGCTGGAGGAGATTTGTGTAGATCAAAGGGGGACGGTGCCGATCTGCCTTGTCCTGTAGATGGCCGAGAACCGGTCGACGGCCGAGACATCTGCTCATGGCTCCTTTGGGTGCGAAGTGTGGGGTCTTCGGAAGGCTTCCTTTTGACATCCCGATGCGCATCGCGACTAGCATCACGACCTCTATATGACGGCTGTAGCGAAGGAGGCATCGGGCTCCCCGATGTTGAAGGAATTGGACCTGGCCCCCTTGACGGTGGAGCATTTGAAGGAGCCTTTGGTTGTGTCGGTGGTGCTGGCGGTCCCCTTGACGGTGGACCACTTGAAGGCCCACCTGGTTGCGCTAGTTGCGCTGGCTGTCCTGGTTGTGCCGATTGCCCATGCACTGACAGAATTTGTCGCTCCTTGTCATCAAAACCAATGAGGTTGGGGAATTTTCCATTGGTGTATTTCCTGTAGATCTTGACCAGGCTGCCGATGAAGAACTCCTTTTCCTTAGAAGTCCTGGCATGCCAGTAATATGGCTTTCCAATTGTGACTGTGAATCCTACATTGCCCGCCCATTCCTTTTGTTGCTGCTCTCCTGGTGTTCTCGGCACAAAAGACGCAAATGATTGAATTCCGCTTAAATCGTCGAGCATCCAAGTTTTGCCGATAGAGAAAGTCCCTTCATTGTTCTCTCGAGCTTTGTGTATGCGGACTCTACCTGACTTTCGAACAGATATGATAATGATACGGGGTTTCTTGTTCTCCGGTGGCCCGTTTGGTGGGGAAGGGCTGGAGGGATGCGCTGAATCCTCGGTGATGCGGACGTGTGTTATGTAGGATTCGAGCACTGGAAGCAAAAAGGCGGTTAGCAGAGAGCGCGGGCAGAATGATATTTCAACCAAGCAAAGGCGTTGCTATCCCGTCTAGGCTCTGTACGTCACTGTCGCAATGTGTTGCAAAACACACAACTATTGACTGAACTTGGGTGGGTGGGCAAATTTGAGGAAGTACGTTGACAGTGTACGTACAAAGACCATCTTCATCCTTTTTTGCGAAACAACTATGAATGATACGCTTCTTCTCGTCCTCGAAGGCGGCCCCTCTTGTCATGGTGCTCGGGCTAGAACCCGAATCAGATTGCATATCCCCACGAGGTGGTAGCGGGCCTGGCGGAGGCCCGCGGGGACGGTCTCGGCCACTCATTATGGTATCGAGGGACGCAGAGCTCACGTGTGGGTAGCCACGAGATCAAGGGGACATGGTCGGGAGGCTCGGGATCGGGCGACGCCACTACGCACCACGCGCGGAAGGAATTGAAATCTGTTAAGCGACAATGCGTTTGTGACAAGGTGGGATATGACGAGATATAAAGCAATAGATGTTGTGGGCCAGAGTATTGCAAGTGGCCAGCGCTGAAGTTCGAATTAGCTCACCAACGTGTCTCGGCGGAATGTTGGAAGGCGGAGAGCTTGGGGCGGAGTATCGAATTGATCCGGGGTTGCTCAGCTGTAAACAAACGTGCGGAATGTCAGAGATTAACATTGAACCGAGCGCGGGGTTTTTTTATGACATACCTAGGTAGTCCACTAGAGTCTCAATATCTGATTTGGTTTTTGGTGTATTGACAGACAGAGGTGTTATCACAGTGCATGGCGACATCCTTGACTTTGACCCTATTGGCCTTTAATTGCCAGCATAAAATTAGTCATCCATCCCCATATGGATGCCCCGGCCTTTGGGCCTGGAGGGGTAGAAGCTGCCAATGTACCATATCTTCAAGTTACTACATACATCATATAACTACATCGCGTTATATTTCTCTAGTTATTATGTCCCCCACTAAGATCAATTTCATCTGGGAACAAGAACAAGCTTGTCGAAGCTAGAGCAATCCTGGGTGATATAGTGGAGCTTTCAAAAACATAGAGATCCCTGAAATCCAGGGTTCTTTTGGAGAAATTACGCGAGACAAGTGTCGAAAAGCAGCTATAGCAGTATGCGTTTGAAACATTCCCCACTAGAGCACCATTAAGCTAAATGTGAATGTTTCTTTCTAAAGGTCAATGGCCCCGTCTTGACAGAGGATAGTGCCCTTGAATTCAGGGCACTCAAAGGTTTACCTGGGCCATATATGTATGTCCGATATCAATTGCTACTGTTCGTCTTCTCTAATACCTCCCAGAAAGTGGTTCTACTCTGCTCTAGGTGATGATGGCCTATGCAAACTACTCGCAGGGCTTGACGACAAAACAGCCACGGCAGCATGCACATTTGCCTTCTCTGCTGGCCCAGGATCTGAGCCGCTCCTTTTCCAGGGACGTACGGAAGGCAAGATCGTTGATAAAAGGGGAGAAGGTGGGTTTGGTATGTTTTCTAATCGACTATTACATGTTTCTCGAGAGACAGGCCTAATATTTCTTCAGCTTTTGACCCCATTTTTGAAGTTGAAGGCCAAACCTATACAGAAATGAGTTTTGCGTACAAGGTGAGTTGATTCAAAGAAGCATTCTGTGAATCTACTAGCACTAATTTAAGCAAAGAATACGGTTTCTGAGAGGTTCAAAGCTCTGGAGAAATTGCAGGACTGGCTGAGGAATACAGCATGACTAGACTGTAATCAGACCTAAACATTGTCATATGAGCGATGAAAGCGTCAGAGCTACTCCGTATTTGGTTCCACAATGAGAGCCATATGGATGGATAGTCAATGTTGGAAACATCCATGGATGCATGTGATCTGCATCTAAATAGTGAAGCCCTAGGTCAAGCTTTGATCCTGAAGAGCTAGTTACTACCTCTACAAGCAGAACCTCGGTGAAAGGACCAATCAGCAAACGATTGAAACGATTGCCGAAATAGCCGCGCGCTAACCACCGCCTCTCTCCACCAATCAATGCTCACCAATTTTCACCAATCACCATGAAGCTAATGCCTTACCGCCTTTTGTATACTTTTTTTTCTCCCTTTCTTTTTTGGTTCCTGGCAGATTATTTCTAAATAGCCTCTCCTCCCTTCATTTCGCTATCGTCGAAACGACCGTTCAGTCAGTATGGCAAAGGTTTCAAGCAAGAAAACTTCGGTCAAGAAGGTATGCTTGACTTACTTTCGACTGACATGTCGATTGGCGAGATCTACAGACCAGAGGACCAGACTGACAGTGCTTTAATTAGACCGAGTCTTCCAAGACTACCAAGTCCATTCCCCCTCAGCTGATCGCCTCGATTGCGGCTTTCTTGTCGGACAATTTCCCAGAGACCAGCACCACTTTCACCAAGGAGGCGGCAAAGTCGAGCAAGAAGAGCGACGCGAAAAATGTTCCCTCTCTCTTGGAGCTCTTCCAAGCCTCCGAGCAGGGATCCAGCGTTAAGAAGTCTGCTAGTCCAAGTTCTTCTAGCTCAAGCAGCGACTCCGATAGCGACTCGGATGTTGAGATGGGCGACGCCGCTCGCTCGTCCTCTTCCTCTTCGTCTTCCTCTTCCAGCTCCGACAGCGATGCGGATGACGAGGATGATGATGAGTCTCCTGCGGCGCCCGCCCCCGCCCCCGCCCCCGCTCAGAAGTCTGCTGGTGTGAAGCGCAAGGCCGAGTCCAGCAGCTCTTCCAACTCTGACTCGTCCTCTTCGTCCGAAGATGATAGCCCTAAGGCTAAGAAGGCCAAGACCTCTCCCGCCCCTAAGGAGTCGTCTTCCTCTTCGTCCTCATCCGACTCTTCGTCTTCTTCGGACTCTTCCAGCTCTTCGTCTTCTTCGGACTCTTCCAGCTCTGACTCCGATTCATCTTCGGGCTCCTCTTCGTCTTCCTCGTCTGACTCCTCTTCATCTGATTCCTCCTCCGATTCCTCGTCTGACTCCTCCTCCGACTCCTCTTCTGACTCCTCCTCTGACTCGGACTCCTCTTCCTCTTCCGAGTCTGAGAAGGAATCCAAGAAGGCCCTGAAGAAGGCAAAGAAGACTCCTCTCCCTGAGTCGGACTCATCTTCTGAGTCCGAATCTTCCTCATCCGGCAGCCACACCGTCGCCCCTTCCCCGGCCGAGGACAAGCCCGTCAAAAAGGCCGAGGAGGCTGTGCAGACAACCTCTTCGAGCGCTAGCCCCGCTCCTGGAAACGGACCTGTTAAGAAGAAGCACACCGGAGCTCGCCCCACCCCTCTGGCTCTCCTGAGCGAATTGCCCCACGATCACCCCTCCAACGACTACATGTCGTACGCCTACGCAGACCGCGCCTGGAAGGACCTGTCCGTGACTCGTGGCAAGGGATTTACCAAGGAAAAGAACAAGAAGAAGCGTGGCTCTTACCGCGGCGGTCCCATCGACATCGCCGCCGGCACCACCTCTTTCAAGTTCGAGGACTAAACGACGACTCTTGCTTTTGCGACACAACCGTATTTGCTAGTCCATAATATCAGGCTATCGTCAGCATCTAATCAAAACATTTGCCACCAAACCCACAAAGGACCCCCGAAACTGGGCTTTTTGTCTTGGATGTCGCTTTGCCGAAGGGAAGAATCGCTATCTTTTTTGTCGCTGCAATATTTGCAGCACAACTCAGGTTCGTTGCAATGGATGAATATTGAGAGATAGGGTTCTCATATCCCGCATCATACTTTACCAATCTCACTCAGCACGGCGTTATGGACAAGGTCGTTGGACCCAACATTTGCCATATAATTTTTTTTGCTCATTAGCTTACATCAATCAAAAGTTTGGGATCCGTTCTCGACGAACTCTCGCAGTATTTACAATACCCTTTGGAGTAGGAAAGAGGCCAAGGAGGTAACCTACCAACAAAATCTAACAAACAAACAACCTTCTAGTCCGACCATCTATCAAAAACAGTGCAATGTCCAACAAAACAAAAAAATTTCGAAATGCACAACTTACCCATCCCTTCTCCTCCAAGCTCCAGGCTCCTCCAAACTCTCCCACCTACAATCCCAACCCGTATGCGTCTCTTCCACATCCCCAGGTCCAAGATCCGTAAATGCGCGCTGAGTCCTCAGCTTAGAAGTAGTAGCGAAGTCATCCTCATCCGGACGCTCATATCCAGCCAAATTGAACGCCTCGGCGTTCCAGCGCGGTAAAACCCCGGAACCCGTATTCACACCTAGGTCTAGATTATATTCGTACCACTCTTTCTGCGGACCGGTTAGGTCATCCGTGGACGCAAAGTCAAGCTGGACGACGCCGTCCACGATACCCGTGTAGACGGTTGGCGAGGAAGGTGAGGGTGAGGACATTGTGTAGATGGGGCCTCTGTAGGGAGTTCTTTGGCGGGTGCGGGTGCGGGCCGGGGGTGGGTTTTGTTGGGGGAATGTCGGGGGTGGTGGGTAGGAGAGGAATATGGAGAAGCCCTTTTTAGGACGGGGATTGGGATTTGTTCTGAGGTTGGTGTTGGTGTTGGCTTCGGTATTTTTTGGGGTTTGTGTGCTCTGCGATTGCGAGGCAGATACTTGGGCGTCGAGGTAACTGTACGTGTTGCACATGCGCAGATCGAAGATCTTTACTACGGCTTCGCCGCCGGCTCCGGCTAAGAAGCGGTCGGGGCCGAAGGCGTGGAGGCTGTAGATTGGGTTGAGGTCTGTGGCGTCTTTGTAGGAGACTTCGGAGGGACTTGGGGAACGCAGGTCGTGGAGTCGGACGGTGTGGTCGTCCCAGGCGGTTAGGAAGACTTCGCCCGGGGAGCCTGCGAAGTTATGTTTATTGAGGGGTTCAATGGCACCGATATTGACCTTGGATTTGAGGCTTGTCGAGTCAGTGTCTAAAGAGCCGATTCCGATTTGTCGATATGCGGAGACGCCGTCTGGGGTGATTTTCGAGATGGACAAGGAGTTTTCCACATTTCCGGTTCCGACTGCCACTAGTGACGATGATAGCAGCTTGGAGTAGTTGTTTCGCGAGGAGCCTTCCGGGATAAGCCATGTGAATGGCTCGATTTCTTCTTTGTCAGTCTCGGTATGGTAGAAAGCGATGGATCCATTTTCAAAATGAGCAGCTAAAGTAGATTCGGTGTCGCTGCTCAAATCGGTTTTATCGAGTCTGAGTCCATGTGAAATGAACTTCTGTTTGTACTCAAAGGTTGCTTCATTGGGAGAGATGACAAGATGAGCAATATCACCTCGAATCCGACCAAAGATCAGATGCTCCACGTTGGTATCATTGCTGTATTGATTCCCCGAGGACAAAAGATGCAGAGAACAAATGTCATCATAGCTACTAATATGATCAAGATCATTGAACACAAGCCAGTCTTCTTGCGAGCGAGCACCGGTTTGCTTGATCCTCATCACAAGCTGGTTGGCAGCACCCCAGGCAAGAACCTCTTTCCTATCAGCCCAACGCTGACCATTCCAGATCTCGTAAGAATCAATTGCAGTTCTGTACCCAAGAGTCGGATTGTCTTGGCGAAGCACCTCGTGAGAACCGATTTTAGTCGCAGTTTCAGGTGGCACAACAAACCGTCCGATGATGGCTTTCCTGTCCAATGCCCGGGACCTGGAGGTCAAGGCTTGCGCTGCATCTTTCCAGAACGGCGGTGTTTCGATAGATGGGAATCTGCTTCGCACAAATGCTCGGAAGATCCGAGAATTTTCAGCTGTAACAATGTCATGCAGACGGTGACATGTCTGGGACAAATGGGCTAATGCATTGGCAGTTGGGAGATGTGTCGCGATTTGATATATGATCTCCGATGGGAGCTCGGAGAGCATCTTGAAAGTGTAAGCCTGATTAACAGGGACGTGAAAGGAACAATTCTTTTGTGCTTTCAGACTATTGCCATCGTTCTTTGTTTCCCGCCACTTTCGTGTGTTTTGTTGATGTTCATTGAGTGTGCTGGAAAGGGAAGTTCTGCAGAAACAGCTCTGTTCGTTCAACGACAAGCAGATTACAGCGTCGATCTATATATTTACCCCGCAATTGTCGGTCGTGTGATGTTTATATATCGATTATGTCGTAGGGCAGCAATTTTATACACAAATTGCCCCATGTGGGCACGGGCAGTTGCCTCATGACGTAAGCACATGGCCTCGCTTGGCCAGCTCTGGAGGGTTGGCCCCCATTTTTTACTACCAAAGAAGCTATGAAGTAGAATTTGGAGCTATAAATTAGAGTAAAAGACTACAATAGAGTGTATAGTTATAGTAGTTTCAACTCCAAATAAATAATTACATAATCAACGTGATCTGCTCACTGAGCATCACCTGATCATCCCTAAGCACCCTGATCTCAAGTCTCTCTCAGCTCCTGGACCTCAGGGATACTCAAAATTGGATGATGATATAAGTAGGCTTGGCGGGTACTGCTTTTTTTTCGAGTACCCCCGAGCTGGAACCCGCTGCGGGGTGGGGGGGCTCAAGTTCTTGGGGCCGTCCACGTTGGAACTGGGGCCAATAGGGACAGCGGCAGGAAACTTCGATAGTCGGCATCAAAAAAGGCATGCATCATCACTGTGACCATTCATGCTGGTAAACTGGCTGAAACTAATTGCGCCCCAATGGAGCCTGCTACTTGACCACCCAATCAGCATTACCATTCTACAATAGATGCTCTTGGGAAGACTTTGCTAATCAGGCTTTGGAGGACAACCGGTGGCAGGGATATTGGGTGAATCCAATCGGAGATACTAGCTACTCCCGGGAATACTTTTCCTATGATCCCCTAATTAGGCTACCAATACTAATGAAATTGGATGAGTCTACTCGGAGAATTACGATACGTCCAAGATAGGGACTACTAGAGAAAGATCGTTTAGGATATGGCAGCAAATAGACCTTGACAAGTGCTGCGAAGGCATAACTTTTGCCAATAATTACCCAAAATGGAGGGATAAAATAGTATATTCTAACTAACTACATATGTAGTTAACATATTTCACAAGCGAGTAGGCCACCTTTTAGCAACGTAATTTGTGTCATGTCGTGCACTATATAGTATATTGGAGCCTGGTCTATCTGAGCGTAATGCTCAGACATAATGGTCTTTTGGCCTAGTGTGTAACTCGCCAGTCCAGGGGCAGGTTGTAACAAATTTGGGTAATTTTGGAAATGATGATCATATAGCCTTCGACTTTCTCCAAGGTTGATATATAGTGTTGATAAGTTTTACTAACCGCTATCGGCTCACAATCAATCAAATAAAATGGTGGTTGTTGAGATATCAAGTTGTAATTCATCGCATTTACTGAAGTGAATCTATCTGAATTGAATCTGAATTGAATCTGAATTGAATCTGAATTGAATCTGAATTGAATCTGAATTGAATCTGAATTGAATCTGAATTGAATCTGAATTGAATCTGAATTGAATCTGAATTGAATCTGAATTGAATCTGAAGTGGATCTGGAGTGGATCTGAAGTGAATCTGAATCTGAATTATATTGTAGAGGACTGTTGTATAGTTACAAATTAAAAGTAGCGTATATGTTTCAAAAAGGCGGTGATGAAAAGGCGTTTGAGGTAATAACCAATGACAGAGTTATGTGCCGGTGGTATGTAGTATATAGTTTTTTCTCTCTCTCTCTCCTTCTCTCTTCTCTCTCCCCGTCCACTTCTATCGTTACGAATCCATTTGCATGGTTTCTCCATCTGCATGATCAGTAGATTCCTCATTACATACTTAGTCGCCCGTACACGATGAGGTCCGTCCAGATGTTTCCCCCGATTTATTCACTATGCGACGCCAGAGCGGGGCTCAGCAAGATCTTGCTGGGCGCGAGTTCCTGACACACTGCCCCCGGATCTTCCCCCCGGCATCGCATACTAGCCCTCCTAGGCGTTACAGACAAAGACGACCTAGCTAGCCCTAGTGAGGACGGGTGGTTTGCGTCAGACTTCTACCTCTTCCACTATCTCTTATCTCCACAATTTCCACGACGTGTGTTTCCTCGTCCTATTGCCTTGTCCGTTCTCTGCTAATCTTATGAGTATCACTAGCACCTAACCAAATATGGTTGACGTGCGAAGACCCATCGGCTTTCGTCACAAAATACCATAAATACCTTCATGGTAACCCAGAAGGTGACTGACCGTCGGGCGGTACTAGATGGCGAGAGTCTCCCCGACGTCTTATGGGCTGGGAACGTACGTGTTGTGCCACAAAAGGATCTCCTCGAGAGGTACCTCAGCACACTACAAGAGCAAGCCGCCGAAGCGGCCCGCTGTGAAGAACATCTGGTCCTGCTGCTTTTTGGGCATGGCACCCCAGCCCATGGGATAGAGGTCGGAGGTTCTATCCTACATATGAAAGACCTCCGCCGTGTAGTACAACCATTGTCCCCCACCACCATCTTCTCTACATCGTCCTACTCAGGTGGCTGGCTCGTCCGCCCAGGCATCAACCAACAGCAGCTGAACACCGCAGCTAGAACAGCAGCGGGCGAGGACAGTGAATCATCATCATGGGCCGCCAGCGGGAGTGCTGGGCGCGCCAGCGGCAGCTTAGCCGCCTCCGCCGTTCTACGCTGTCTGATAGACGCCGAGAATGAAACCCAGGAGAGTGCAGAGCATCCCACTTACATTGAATTTTCGAAGTCAGTATATGACTGCGTGAAGGAGATGGGAACACTCGGTAATTCCCAGCAGATCTACTTCTCTGCGGAAAACGACGAGTGGGAGATGAGTTACCAGCCTCGCCTCGGTCTGCCTCTGACGACATATAGTTAGTTAGTTATAGTTAGGGACAACCCTGGAAGTGTAAAATACGATACGCTAATCCTATCACGTACAGCCCTTCCTATTTAGATCGCCTATTAATAGAATGTCGACTAGAATGACTCCCGCCTGTGGCCCTTGATTCGTTTGTTGTAGAACAGTAACCTCCCAGGCGTTGTTCATCCTAGAAGACACCAACATACTTAATATTGACTTTTATATACACAGTATTCCAAGGCAGCAGAAATATCACTATCGAATCCCTCAATATTAAGACATATAATAAGGTCAAAAGTCAGGCGGTCCCGGTACAACAGTGGTCACTTCATATACTAGCAGGAAGAGGAATGACCCATACCAGCCCAGCTATCCAACCCTGAAACGATCCTACATCGGGGGCATGATATCAACCATTCCGTGGCCCGTGTAATCACCAGAGACCTTAACGTATCCAGAGTAAAACCCAATACGAGAGTTATCGACGACAAACTCCTGATCCGGGCGCGGGCTCTTGACAACAAGGTGCGAGCCATCCATCAGTGTGATATCATGGTGTACCGCGTATGCTTGACCGGAGACCTTGGAGTGGAAGAGGTCTTTCTTTGAGGGCTGGAAGCTCGATAGCGGGAGCACGGTGCTGATGCCGGCCTGGTTCTGGATGGTGGCGAAGGATTTGTTGCCATTGATGTCGTCTTCCCAGTTCCAGATGGAGATGTAACTCTCCGTGCCATCTTCCGCAGTTAGATAGAGCCCAAACCAGGTAAAGTGGTCGGGCATCGTGGGCCCCCATTGCCGATCATACCAGGTTACAGACTTGGAGGAGTCGATGAACAGCGTGGAATTGTCGACGACGATGGTGCCACGAGGTCGAGCAGCTGGTAGCGATATCTGATGCTGGATACCGCCGGCCCAAAGCCACGAACCGAGGCCTGCATTCAGTATCACGGGGCCCTCAAATTCGAGGTTGATGTCGAATTCGGTTTCAGGGAGATGGCTGAAGATCCTCATTGGGGGCAATGCCTCCGGGGAAGAATCAGCAGCAGCAGCAGCAGCGCGGTGAGGCATGGTCTCGAGACCGAACCGTCCACCGGGCATGGTCAGGTTGAAGGGGTCACGAGTGCCGTTGTTCTCTCGGACGATGCCCACGTTTTGATAGTTTGTTGCAAACAGGGTGGAAGAATCGTCGAGCGACATGATACCGGCGCGTTGGGTTGCGCTGCCGTTGCGGATGATCGCATTTGCACTGACGAGGAAGCCGCGGTTGTCCATCGTGCGGATGTAATTGACTGCCCAGAAGGAATCCAATGCATGGTCGGCGTCTACCAGATTTATGTCCGATATCTCATAGAAGACCGGCAGATCTTTCTGTATCCCGTGGTTAGCGGAAGCCTTAGGGTTTAGAAGGTGCCCAACTTACAATGGCAGCAGTTGTGGAATTGAACAGTCGGGCGGTCGAGTCTGGGTCCGAGCCCTTAGCTGCGCAAAGGGAAAAGAGCAAAGCCAGGAAGAAGACGGGAAGGCACATGTTGCCAAAGGTGTCGAAATGAGCTGGTCTTCCCTTCCAGAATAGGCTGCAGTAGTGGGGGACATTTCTGCAGGCTAGTGGAGGATTTATACTAAATATCTGCTACTCTAGCGATTCGGTGTTTTCTTCACGGAAGCTGTACATTCCGGCAGCGCGAAGATGTGCAAACATTGCTCCCGAGGCGTCTCCGAGCCTGGTTTCCCGGCACTTGGAGTAACCCAACTTGGCCTAGGCCTCGCTACTGCCTGCCTTGGCGCCAACCTTGGACTAACAGAATTATACATGTGTAGATTCCCACATCTGGGCATGGAACTTGATTGAGGCATGTGCTATAGTACATATGGCACAGGTATAAACCACGTGTATTCTGACGATTTTGCATCAACCTGGGTCAAAATAAGTCGTATCAACAGAACAGTGCAACACTGATGATAGCAATTCATGAGATAGGCAAGGCAGATCACACTAGCAAGTGGGATCTTGTCAAGGTTCCCAATGGGGAAAACCGGTCTTGAGACCTAAATATTCACAGATACTGCATTATTACTTGCACTAGAACAACCAGAGTTGTAGAGAAATTTGTGGATAGCCTGAAGATGTTGCTTGTGGATGATCTCCCAATCTCAACTCACCTTGAGGTGTGAGCTTCTAAACCTAGCAATGCTGATGTAAGCGGAATCGGAATCTCGGGCTTAGGAGTCCCGGATCGTAATGATGTCGGCCTACTCGCGATGCGCTGTTCCGTCACATTATACTAATTGTCCATCCATCAGATTGTGTATCGGAATGTGTTGTTATTTCGTCACATGTTGTACTTAGTAACGAAGACGTTTCAAATTCAGACTAGCATACTATCTCATTTGTGCATGCAACAGCTGGTTCCGATATTATATCCGTTGAGTCAGCGGAAGACCACGCAAGGTAGTGGGGTTCGACGGCGATCTAACTGAGTAACCTCACACTATCTTCGGAGCCAAGCACTCTGTCCTTCCGGGGCGACACGGCCATCTACTGGTGGAGATTTAGAGAGCCGGGTGGGTAAACGTGTCCTTATAACTGCCTTGTAAACGGGTAGACACTTTCCGTGAAGTGCTTGGTCCGTACAATGCCAGTGGTAGGTTTCTGGATACAAAATCAATGGTGTGAGGTGAAAGCCTAACTCCCAGCTTTGATGGACCAAAGCTCCGTTCAGAGTGCATCATCACTGCCGTCAAAACTCTCACAAGTAGACCTTACCAACTCCCGCGGGACTAGAAAATTATACTCCCAGTCCCGTATTAAAAGACTCACTTAGTCCCGCATATGGGACTCTCACCCATTACTTCCGCCAAGACTAACGTTCCGCATTACTCGCCTGAAAATGATAGACAAGTCGCCGAGTTAGCAGAATAAATTACTGCACATTTTATGCAGACAGGGAACTTTATGTGTTTGCATTGTTCTAAGTCTCGTGGCACCCTTTGTGTGTCCACGGAATTAAAAGTCAGTCCCAACTCCCGTCTGTTACGGGACCTTTTTAGTCCCGCGGCGAGAGTCCCGTGGGTGTTGTATGGTCTACTCGCAAGGGATCAAAAGATATCTAGCAGGATCCTGAGGCAGTGAACCGAAGTATAAGACTTTGGGAAATTGGTATTTTGGGAACTCCCCTTTTCGTGCTATGAAAATTACACAAGTGGAGAACGTACTACTTGACGGAGCCATACTCCATCTGTGTGAACTAGTAGCTGTCTGCTCCAAGGTTATTTCGGCTATACCTCGCCCCGGTAGCAGACTTATCCGCATTGAGCGGTGAAATGAGCCTGGGACATGATTATCCAAGCTATAAAAGCCAGGCAACCCAGGAAGGGGTAGTATGCAAGGCAGCACTTTACGCACAAGCCACAGCAAGTTATTTGTTCATCATGGCCCCTTTCACCGTTGTCATCATCGGCGGTGGGGTAGCGGGTTTGACTCTCGCCAATGTCCTTGAGAGATACGGCATTGAATACTCCCTCCTTGAAAAACATAAGGAGATTGCTCCTCAGCTAGGAGCTAGTATTGGAATTCTACCCTATGGCTCCCAGATACTAGACCAGCTCGGCATGGAGGGTCATATCTCCTCCCTATGCGAGAGTGTTGAGACGATGCAAACATTCGGACCCGATGGAGAGTGTCTCACAACCGAACCTGCATTCGGTCAGCTACTAGCAGACCTGTAAGAAGGCCTACCAAAGCACCGGAGAATATGCTAAAACAAAAAAAAGGACAGGTTACAGATTCAGTTTTATGGATCGTCAGGAATTAATCGAGGCACTCTACGACAATCTCCGAGATAAGTCTAGAGTCCATGTGGCAAAGGAGCTACACAGTACTGAGAACCTCGATGGAGAAGTTCAAATCACTACCAAAGACGGTATAACCTTCACGGGAGATCTCCTTGTTGGTGCCGACGGTGTTCACAGCCGGACCAGAGCGGAGATGTGGAAGGTTGTGGAGTCTGAGGACCCTACTTATACCAGCAAATCAATGGCTGATTGTGCGTTTATACTATAATTCCAACCTACTATTTATGTGAGCTGACTGTTTCTCAGCGATTACTTGTACATATAGATGCATGTTCGGTATTGCTGACTGTCCGGATGGTTTTCCTAGAGAGACTGGGCTCAAATCCTACCACAAAAATCGTTCTTACTTGTGCCAGTCAGGCCGGGAGGGTAAGTTTTACTTCTTTGCATTCATAAAAAACGGACAAAGAACTGTCGGCCAATCTATTCCCCGATACACCATCGATGATGAGCAGGCGGTGGTAGATAAATATAGAGAAGACGTCCTGTGTCCAGGAGTTACGTTTGGTGATATATACATGAGGCGTCGGCACTCGGTGCTTGTCCCACTACAGGAATACGTGTTGGACAAATGCTTCTATAAAAGGACAATATTGATTGGCGATTCCTTTCACAAGGTACCAACAGCCTATCTATAAGGGTGTGTAATGGTCTTCAGCTAATGATTATCACAGTTTAACCCTCTTACTGGACAAGGTGGAAACTCCGCTATCGAAGACGCAGCGTTACTTGGAGACCTATTGAAGAAAGCACTGCAGAAAGACCCTCAACCTACCTGCGCCGCAATCCAAGCTGGATTGGCTGACTTCCAGCGACAGCGGCAACCAAGAACAGATTTACTGCGACACAGGGCTAGTTCATTACAAGCACTGGAAGCCCTTGAAAATCCGTTGCTCGAGTTCATGACTCTCAGGGTTATAGCGAAGTTGTCGATTGATCAGACGGCTTTAAGATTCGCTGAGATGTGCTCGCCCGGTCATGCCTTGAGACATCTACCTGAGCCATCGCGCAGAGGCGTTGTTCTCCGCGACCATGATGTAGGCGCAAAGCCGAGCCAGCGGGCTCTGCATGCAACTATCCTTTGGTCCATCATTATGGCTTCCCCCATATACTTGGCTGTGTTTGCAACTGCATGCACAATCCCTGGGACCGAGGTGGGACTTTTTGACCACAGGCTTCAGCTTTACATTTCCATGTGTACGGCTACCTCGAATACTTTGTGGACTGTGGAGTCATACCGACCCGGCTTTTTTCTCAGCCCAATACATAGGTGAGTACTCGCATATCCCAGCAACCAGCTCTCCTTCCAGAAATCCACCGGGTAACTAATAAGAACAGTGCTCTCCCCTACATACTTGCCTCCAACGCTGCCGGATGGGAATACATTTTGCCCCTCTACTTCATCGCACATATCTACGCAAGCCGTTCTCAATCGTTCTACTACCCTAATCCCAGGGCTATAGACACCAGGGCTGCCAAAATTCTGCCAATATGCCTCTTGATTGCCTATGTTCCTTCAATCATATGGGCTCTGATGTCGTCTGCTGGAGACTTGGCCTTGCATCACTGGACGGTGTCCGCAAGTCATTTCGCCCTTCCTTTGACAGTATACCTGGGTCTAAACCTGTCAAAGAGGAACTTCCGCAAACCCAACACCCCGGAGTTGCTATACGGTAATGGCGATATACCTCACTTGCTTCGAACTTACAATATACTTACCGTCGCTTGTGCCACCTTTCATGTACTCACCGTGGGCCAACTTTTCCCCCATTTTCTGAAAACGGACTTTGTTACAACGGCTCTGTTTACTGGTGAAGTCTTGCAGTTGATGGCTCTTTCTCTTGCCATCATAGCCTGGTGCTCTTTCACTATTTGGGATTTGCACCGCACCCACATTATCCACACTCGTCCTTTTGTCGATATTATTTTCTGTTGTGTGACCTGCCTACTTCTTGGACCGGCTGCTACACTGGCTCGTACGTGGAAGCGGCGTGAGATTGCACTGGAAGAGTCAAGGTGCAAGATATCAAGCCGTTGAAGCCGCTGTTCCTAATTGTTTTGTTCCCTGCTCAGAATGCAGAAATAAGTTTCTCGCCCGCCCGGGCTTCACTCGTTACTTCACCTGCACGTCTAATGGTCTTTGACCCATCTGCCAATTTGTTCGAGCCCCTTCATGATACTATATGTAATAATAACTATCGTATTCTCAACGCGTACTGCAGTATGTCGCCCCTCGAGTGTATAGATTTGATAAACCCTATTGGCACAGTGAAATCCCTAATGGCACAGTCCACTAAGCCCCATTGAGCTATTACCTCTTGGCACTCATTTTTCAGCCTAAGTGTTATTTATTATGGTATCGCCATAGTAAAAAACACAGGGAATACCTACATGTAGGTACCTAGGTAGGTCTGATAACAGTCCCGCTTATCACCTTATCGCTTTCGCGGGGAAGTACACCCGAGGTCGTTGGACAACCTCTGGAGTTTCCCTATCGGAACCTCCAACCTACGAGGTAGATACTCCGCATGTAGCTCGCATTGACCACTTGGCACGATCTTCCAAGGTTCCTTTTTTATTACCTAACTATTCACTGTGGGTAAACGCAAAACGAATCAGAGTGAGTGGGATTGAAACGGTATGGGGCTTATAGGTTAATCTTGCAATTAGGGATCACACTCGGCACCACCTGTAATACACGGATGGGCGTCGGCTGGGATAACAGCTAGTGGCATAGCGGTGTCGGCAATCTCCATTGTATACGACCTCCAGGCCCGGAGGGATTCCCAAGTCGCATCTCTTATATCTACCACAGTGGCCGGCACACAAAAGCTTCCCCGCATTCACAATGACATATTCCATCACTGCCCTGGTGGTAGCGTTTTTTGCCGGTCTCATCTTCTACAAAGTGTTAATTTACCCAGCGTTTCTCTCCCCACTATCAAAGATCCCCACCGTACACTGGAGTGCTTCCTTTTCGCCGGTATGGATGCTATGGAGGCGATTCACAAGCCAGAACAACCGGACAATCCAGGCCGCACACGAGAAACTAGGCCCTATCGTCAGGTTGGGACCATCGGAGATCTCGATCAACTGTGTCGACGGAGGAATTAAGTCAGTCTATGCTGGTGGATTTGAGAAGCATGACTGGTATCCACGAGTCTTCGCATCATTTGGGTGAGTATGCCCAGAGACTGATTCGTAGTAGACAAAGTAGCTCACCATGAAAAACAGAACAGTGAGCATGTTCACCATGACAGGAAGCAAGACACATTCAACTCGAAAAAGGATGTTATCCAACATATACTCCAAATCGACTCTGCAAACATCCCCTCATATGCGACTGGTTTCAGATACAGTCATCTTCGATCGACTGTTGCCGATTCTTCAAGAAGCGGCAATGTCCGGCAAATCCGTCGACGTGCATGATCTAAACCAGGGACTGACAATGGACTTCGTCTCCTCCTATCTATTCGGTTTGAAGAATGGCACTAATTACCTGCAAGATAATTCGTTCCGCAAGCACTGGCTTCACCTTTACATGTGTCGAAAGCCGTTTGAGTTTTATGCGCAGGAAGTTCCATATTTGGATGGATGGTTGAGACGGATTGGTCTTCGCGTGATACCCAAATACTGCGATGATGCCAATGCAATGCTTGACTCTTGGGCTCTGGACCTATGCGACAGGGCGGAGCAGATAGTAACATCTTCCGAGCCAGGCATCGAGCCAACAGTCTACAAACAGTTGAAACAGTCTCTGGACAAGCATTCCACAAAGAACGGAGAAACAAAGCCAGACAAGGCCCAGCAGCGACTCGATATTGCTTGCGAGATGTACGACCAGCTGACTGCCGGCTTTGAAACCAGTGCTGTTGGCCTCACATATCTATTCTGGCAACTATCCCGACATCCAGAAGTGCAGGAAAAGCTTCGAGAGGAGCTACTCACTCTGAGTCCCCCGATTTCATACCCAAAGACAGCCGATCTGCCACCAGCCAAGTCAATTGATAACCTGCCCCTGTTGGAAGCGATCGTGACGGAGACACTGAGACTTCATGCTCCGATCCCTGGAATTCAACCTCGGGTGACGCCATCTCCGTCGTGCACTCTCGCCGGGTATGCAGACATCCCACCTAACACCAGAGTGAATGCGCAAGGGTATTCACTGCACCGCAATCCGGAGGTATTCCCAGAGCCAGAAACCTGGCAGCCGAAGCGTTGGCTGGAAGCTGAAAACTCGCCGGCTAACCTGGAAGAGAAACGACGGTGGTTCTGGGCGTTTGGGAGTGGAGGACGTATGTGTGTGGGAAGTAATCTTGCACTGCAAGGTATGGATTTAACAAATTCAATCATTGAAGTATACTGATTGTCCCTTGACAGAGATGAAACTGGCCGTGGCTGCGATTTACACTAACTTCCGCACCACCATTATCGACGATGACAATATTGAAGCTATCGATGCTTACACTGTGAAACCGACAGGCGATAAGTTGATACTTAAGTTTGAGTCGGTCTGAGATATCACGGAGGGATTTTGCAGGCAGCCATTGCTATGAGCAGTATGAACTCAGAGTAGAATTAATTTGATCAACCAGAACGTATCAATATTGCAGCCGAAACAATAAGTGAGAAAATGAAACTCCTATTTAACGATCAACGCGCCACGTACAGCCTGCCAATTAAGAATCTCCGCAAGACTAACACAGTCCTCTAGAGCCAAAGAGAGACAGTCTATATTATCTGCCTCCATAACATTGTCCCACACGCACTGGCCGTGTTCATCCACCCAATGAACCTTGATCTTACCAGTAGTAGTGACCTCTCGATCTAACACGTAAATAAAAGTATGATCAATCGTTCTGAAAGGTGATTCCATATCCCACATAGTTGTATACTGTACATATGAGTAAAAGCCAACTCCCATAGCCTCTGATGCAAAATAAGCGGACCAAATCAGCAAATCCTGATGAAGACCCGAGTATTCGCGTAATAATGTATCAAAAAGAAACCCAAAACTCCAGGACAACACGCTTCTGCTGCCAAGTCCGGATAGAAAATCGCGAACAATCCAGTGCAAAGAACATTTTAACCGAGAACACCGTCCTTCTTCCGGGGGCCAACAACCTTGGGGTACATTCTCATGAGGTGGTAGTTGACAGTGTTCTTCTTCTGCTCCCTGGATTTCTATATGCGGGAGGAAACTCGTTAGAGGGATATCGACAATAAAGGAAAAGAACGGGGGTGGATTATAACGTACCGGTGCATCCATGCACTTGCGCAATTGAGTCTCGAGAGCAGCACAGCCCTCTGCGCCGTATCCAGCGGACGCCCAGCAGTCTGTTTGAAACGAAATATTGTCAATAACAAAAACTCACGATTTCGAGATTCAAGGTAACAACGGAAGAGGAGCAGAACATACTAAGCATAGACGACATCACTACCACGCAGGGGTTCTGCTCATTCTGATTCGGTCGGCGAACACGGAGGTGGTTGATGGTGTTGAGACGCATCGGGTTCAGCCGGGTGGAGAGGGAGCCTTTGGGTGCCATGGTGGGCAATTATTCGGTTCGTAGAACTAGCAGCAGAGGTACTAATTGGAGCGAGAAGAGGCAAAATGCCTTGAAGCGACCGTGTGCGTGATTAACGATGGTAGACTGGCGCCGACGATGGGATCTTCGACAAACAAAATCCGAAGTTTCGACTCCGCGGAGGTGGATGACTAATCTTGGTCGCGCCCCCGGCCCTCTTTATCTACCTCGAGGACTTGCCACCATAATACCAAGTCTTGTACACTCTTTCTAATATTGCAAGCTCGTTGAATATAGCAGGAGCCTATTAAGTATGCCTGGAAAGTACAGTTTGCCAACACAACTCCGTGGTGTTTCTACATGCACCTTTAGAGCTCCGATAGCTCCCGTGTCTAGGCGGTTCTCCGCAGCATGCCACCTGAATCAAACATCGCCCTCGCCTACAGCCAAGGCGGAGGATAAAGATGGCTCAAAAGAGGAAGAGAATGATAGTCCGATGGGACGCCGTCTAGCTCAAATGACTGAAGATGCGATGCTAGAAGGTGGACGATCTGCACGTCGCAACATCGAGCAAGCAGGGTTCTCAGAGGAACTGAAAAATGAGCTCGCAGAGCGTGTTGCTGCTACTTCATTCAGGAGCGAGTATGCTGCTGCTCATTCTATAGTCGAGATGCCCGTATGTGATCCTTATCATGCTCTACCGTCCAACAGCCACTAACTCGCATTCCCTTATCGCAGTCTGCCGCAGGGCAAGGCACACGAGAGAATGCCGCTGCTCCTAAATGGACAGGGATCGAGCGTGTTGAGGATACGACTCTGCGTATGTTAGATGACGCGAGTAAACCTATCCGAATGCCTTACAAAATCCCCAATCCCGTGAACCTCAAACCCACCCCGAAGCCCAAAAAGTCTCGCGGAGAACGAATCGCGGAAGCGAAAGAGCGCACTTCTACCTATACACTGAGCCAGGCTCCTGGATTTTCCGAAGAGGAGCGTGAGGATATGCGCCGCGAGATGAGGGAGCAGTTGACACCCGGGGCACATTCCATGCCGATCTCGATTTCAGGTCTTTCGTCGCTAGCAAATGAGCGAATCGAAGATGCGATTGCGCGTGGACAATTTGAGAAGATACGTCGTGGGAAAGGCGTCAATACAAAGACGGATCATAATGCGACCAACGCATTCATTGACACAACCGAATATTTTATGAATAAGATCATCCAGCAGCAGGAAATTGTGCCGCCATGGATCGAGAAGCAACAACAGCTTGGTTCGGAGCTTAACCGATTCCGCGAACGTCTTCGAGCGGACTGGCGGAGACATGCTGCGATGTTGATTGCCAGCAAGGGTGGATCCTTGGACATACAAATGAAGCGGGCAAAAGCCTATGCTGCAGCTGAGACCCGATTGGCAGACAAAGCAAAGTTGGAAGCTTCACTTCAAGAAGATGCATCTGTCTCGGAGATCAACAGTGATGGCCGGATAGTCTCCAAGTCGGAGACCTCCCAATCAACTGTAATTAAGCATGATAACGAGGAAACCTCGGAAGATCTAGCCCATCTCCCACCATTGCGAGACCCAGGCTACCTCGCAATCGAGCGTTCTTATCACGAGCTCGCCGTGAAACAAATCAACACTCTCGCACGCTCATACAACCTGCAAGCTCCGGCCTCCGCCCATAAACCATATATCAATCTTGATCGAGAGCTCAACGCATGCTATGCCGCAGTCGCACCTGAGTTAGCAGAGGAAATTAAACGCCGAGCGACAGAGCGTGCGCGTCCGACATCAATCGTTCCGCCGGTTTCTTCCAGCAAGTTCGGGTCACTTGGTATGGCACAGTCTGTAAAAGTCCACGAAGAAGATCTGTCGAAGGGATACGGTATGAAAGAGCTGTGGCGCGATTTATTCACTAAATCCTGAAGACAGAAAACGAGCAAACGAAAAAACAGAGAACTCCCCCTTTTCCTTCTGTTCAACATGTGCGGGGCCATATTCGAGATAATAATACACTAATAATGTGACATAAAAACATGACGAGCGATGCCACTCGAAATCAAGTCGGGCAAAGAAGATATTTTCACTGCCACCTCCCCACTTTTCAATTTCCCCCCTTCACAAAACTAGACGTTGCCCTCACGAAATTGGATGGAAATATTCAGCTCACTCACGGCTCGTCGCTCGTCACAGGTTGTATCTTTCTCGCATCCCACCAGAAGCCTAAGGGGTAAATGATGAGGCCACCGATAATGGCACCAATGCCACCCCAAATCCCATTAGACAAAACGAAGGTCGCAGCATCTATTTTCCTTGCGCCAGCAGCGGTCGCCGGCAATCCCAGCACCAAGCAGAGGATGGAGAGAACAAACACAATGTATGCTTGACCGATGCGAATCCAAAGGTCACCGTTAGCCTTGCGCCTGACCGCGACCGTATCTGGGGTGCGAAGTGATGCCTCCCGCACACATTGCCATGTCCTGAAAGCCCGGTTGAGTCTGGCCGTAAAATACATCCACAGAAGGAGAGCGAACGTAAGGAACAAAGCTCCAATGAAGGACGCCGCATCTGGGTGGATTCTCGTGTACATGCCCAGGTACCCATGGTCTGGTAGCCAGCTTGGACAAGTGTGAGGAGTCGGATCCATAGCCAACGAGGAAGGGTTGGTAGTCGTGTTGCTAGATTCGTCCCGCTTTTGCATGGGGATGATAAAATGATGCCACGGGATCTTTGGGTAGTCTCCCTTGGGCCAGCCGGCTTGCTCGAGGTCGGAATCGCCGAAGGGTAAACGTGAGATGACTTCAACGTCGCCGACCCAGATCTCGTTGACGGCGTTGCCTTGGTCGTAGAAATGGTCTGACTTCACGCCGTGCACTGCGGAGACCTTATTGCCCATGGGACTTGGGACAAATTGGTAGATGTGTTTTTATGATATAAGGGATGAATGAGCTTTTATGAACAATATCGTTTCAAGGTATATAGACTGTGATGGATGGTGAGGATGAGTTCACTGGGGACCTTGCCCGGGTTGACCACCTGGGTAGGTGATCCTGGAGTCATATCATTTGGAAGGAGCGAAAGAGGGAAGCTACATTGGGGTGTCTCTGTTGCAGTGAGAGAGATGATTTGAAGTTTGTATCTATTCTCTAGGACTTTAACGAAGAACAAGCAATGAAAGTGTTCGCATCCTTTTCGAAAATACGATCAAGTCACAAGTGGACGAGATATCTTACTTCGACCAAATGCTCCAAATTGTATTATAGCTTAATCGTACATTATAACAGAATAATAGAATATCACTCATATGTTAAGGTTCTCAAAAAGCCTTTTCTCTGGTCGTCATAGATGATACGAATTGATTTTCACTATGGCATACATTGTGTGTATATAGTATGCTGTTTGAGGAGGATTGCCCTAACTGGAGATTCTAGTATATCCAAACGATAATATGCTTTAATTTAGACCAATAATCCTTACCTAAATCACTGAAAAATGTTCTAAAATAAATCCAAAAGTCCAAAACAGACCTTTGAGGGGAGTTAAGGGTTCTTCCCTGTGAGTGGCCGCCGCCAAGTGACGATCGTGCATGAGGGCGCGTATTTGCGACCAACGACAGGCTGAAGACTTTTGATTGTCTCTGCACTGACTTTTCTCTTCACTTCATCACATCCTATGCTTGCTTCTTATACGTGACTCTTTCCCCCTGCAGCCCCCCGTCACTTTTGGAACATGTATCACCCCTCCTCCTCGTGTGAGATTCGACGTTTCGATGTGTCGATCAGTGACTACTACTTTTAAAATAATTCCTTTTCCTCTCCCATCTCTTTTATAATCCAGGCGGAAATGACTACTCCAATAGTCTTCTTTTTGCCCGTCCTTCTTACTCTCTTCATTGTACATAGTACCCCGGTTGAGGCCCAGAGCGTCCAACGTGAATCCAAGTCGGCTGCGCCCCCAACACTGGATAAACCATTGCTAGCAATCCAAATTGGAAGCATTGTGGGAGCCTATGTGATCTTTGTCGCTCTTCTACTAGCTCTACTTATCTTCGTTGGACGTCGTCTGCGTCGAACAGTGCAGTCCTCCAACTATACACTGCATATGGAACTTCTGAAGCCTGCCAGACCGCCTGTCAGCATGGATCCCAGCCCAGTCTCCCCAATGTCGCACAACCTCCCGAGTCCAAAGTCCAGTGGATTTAAGTCCTGGGGATCATTGAACAGGAGTTCCAGACCTTCCCAACCATCCATGAACGGCAGCATGGTGACCATTGACGAGTCCATCGTCGCAAACGACCGACAGCGAGCCCAACATGATATGGAGATGCTCTATGCGGCAGTCATGGAACATGACGCCCAAAAAGCCTCCGGAGTGGATCTGTCCGTCCGCGGGCAAGACCTTCAGGCACCATCACCAGACAGCCCACTCACAAACCCATTCACCGACCGTGGCTCCCACGTCTCAGATAACTCACAGGCACCATTGGCGCCATTGAAATCCCCCACCAAGGGATTCAACAGCTCGCGCTTATCCAAGCTCTTCAACACAGGCTCGCGTGCCAATCCAGAGCCAAGTAAAGTGCGCTCGCCGCGTCTGGCTATCCGCAAGATGCCCATTTCCTCTCCACTAGCCTCGCCAGCAGTGGTCACGCCTCAAGCCTATATACCCGAAAACCCGCCTCTTTCCCCGCGGATTTATAACCCCGGTCCTCCGCCAGTGGTGCCGCGGTTGCAGGCGAGCGAGGTAATTAGGCCCGCTCCGGGGCGTGCCCGTCCACCGGCTCCTCTAACCCTGAATACTTCCTCGCCTTCTTCATCCCTCCCGTCCAACTTACCTTTCCGCGAGGCGTACCCACCGCAAAGTGCCCCGGCTACCAAGACCACTATTTTGGAACGGCCTGTGAAGAACCGGCCGGGTCCTGTTACGGGAATGGCTACGCCGTATAGTCCGTACATGCCGTTTACTCCCGTGACGCCCTTTACGCCTGGGCGCACGGTAACGAAGCGACAGCGGAAGCGGGAGGAGCGTGGGAATGGACTGCAAGTATTGAACGAAGACGATTTGGTCAAGGATGATGATGATATCTGGGGATGATGTCAATCCAGTATGGGAAATGAATTAAATTGGGAGGTCGGGCGTTAAAGTGCAATTGGTTTTAATCCGTCACATATCTACAGATCTATAGGCAAATGTTCACACATACATACACTGGCTGTATAATTCTATCCCAGGATGTATCTACATCTTTTCCTTCAAATGCGTATTCCCTCTAACAATAGCCTCTGCAAAATCCGACCTCGTCCCGGCCTTCTCAAGACTCAAAAGCGTCTGAATCGTACACCCCCTCGGCGAAGAAATACTCTCCCTAACAACCGCCGGATGCTGACCAGACTCCAAAACAGCCGACAACCCCTTAATGCCCTGCAAAACCAACTCCATTGCATCCGCCCTCTTAAACCCCTCCGCAACACACCCATCCAACAACCCCTCAATCGGCAACGTCAACGTCGCCATAGTCGCCCCAACAAGCACAGTCGCCAGTCCAATCTGCTCAGATCCTAAATACTTAACCGCACCGACATGTTTGAAAATCCATTCCGTGACCGCAACCATAGACTCCGGGATCGCCGGCGCGGGAGTCTCGATGATGGTCATGGACTGTCCGAACTGCGCGCCCATATTGGGGATAGCTTTCATGACATGCGGTTGGTCTGCAGAGCTGGGGTCTGGGTTGATGAGGCGGGTTAGGGATGAGCATGTTGGGCCTGCGAGCATGCTGATGACGAGCTTATTGGACAGGGCTTTGCGGACGCCTGGTTCGGTTAGGACGGCTTCGGCCATGAAGGGCTTGCAGCCGAGGATTATTATGTCGGATTCTTGCATTGTTTGAACGGTTTGGTTGGAGACGAATTTGATTAGTTGTTCGTGCTCCGGCGCGATTTTTGTTTGTAGACGGGTTGCCGAGGCCGCTGTTTTTGTGCACGCGATAAAGCGGGTTATTGGCTTTGATGTGGTTTCGGTGCTTGGGGTTGAGAATGCGCTGTTTAGGAGGCCGTTTAGGACGGCGCCTCCCATGTTGCCTTTGGTGGGTTTTGTTAGTGGTGGTGGTGGTTCATAGAGCGTTAGTTGTGTTTGCTTACCGCATCCGATGAATCCAAGGGTCTGTCCTGAGGCCATGATGTTCTATGTTACTGAGATAGTTGGAAGGTCAATTGTGTTCTGAGTTGAGGGGGTTGGCTATCTCTTTTGACTCATATGGATCTCGGGTGAGGTGTCCGACATTGGCGGCAGCCGATGCCGAGGTTTGTTCATCGTATCTTAGAATATTCTCAGATTTAAGAGTACATGTATGTAACTCGTCGTTTTTTCTGATATATTGGGGATGATAGGCCAGTTGCTCTGATCCAGCCATTCTCCGTGAGTATTTCTCCATGTCTAGAATATAATATCATCCAGACCTGGGTTAAATATAACAATTTCTCTTTATTCTTTCCCTTGTAGACTGCCTAGAAGATGGACATAATCAATTTAGTCTACTATTTCAAGCGAATACGAACACTTCAACTCGTTTATGTTGTAGATGAATATATTTGCCTCAGGCACCCAATCCGCCCTGAAAGTGGCGTCAAACAGATTTCCGCTTTGGGATTGGCTCTGCATCGAATGCAGCAGGGATTCCCGTTGTCTTCAATCTTTTACATTTCCTCCTTTTTCTTAACTACATAGATCTTCTATGCTTGTCAAAATCAGATTCTATTGTCTATTGAACTTGAATTGTTCATTGAATTAATAACATCTGTTTTATCAATTTTATCAACTTCGCTGATCGCCCCGCTATTCCCCCACCTGAGAAGTCGCAGTTGTCGTCATCGGAGAAGGCGAGTTTGCTATTTCCGACGCCCCGAGCTATTTCGGTCTGCTTCTTACTCCATTAGGACTGGGCGTGGGAGAACTTGTGTGTACAATAATAGGCTGTAAGTTGTTTCACCCTTATCTTGGCAGAATCGCGAGGGCCTGGCTAACTGGACTTTCTTCGTGAGATCTCAGACTTTCTCTTCCTTTCATCCTGCGCTACTCGTTTACACCTCTCTCCTCTCTCCTTTTTCTGTTTCCAGTACGAACCACCTACATGCCTCTCACAATCCTCTCCCGATCCCAGCTCCGCGAGCTGCTGCATGCGCTCTCTCGCGACGAGATTCTAAACCTACAGCGCAATCTCGCCGAGGCTCTACGAGAATACTCCAGTGGATCCCAGGAGAAAGGTTGCTCGGCAAATTACCAACCCCAGCGAACGGCGATTACTCGTCAGAATGGTACCACCACTATCTTCATGCCCGCCAGCACGGGCCAGACCATCGGCATCAAGATGATTTCCCTGCAGGACGGGGGCGATGCCGGCTTTTCTATTGAACGGGACACGGTGGATATGCAGGAAAAAGAACAGATTTCCTCGCGCAGGCGAGGCTCTTTCCGGAACTCGGTGGCCTCCATATCCTCCGACATGAGTGATTTGTCTGTGGGCTCAGAAGATAAGGAAGACAGTAACTCGATTAGCCCCGTCACCACCACCACCACCACCACCACTGGCAGCAGCACGGCAGGATCAAGCACGGATAGTTCCACACTCCTCACTGGTTGTGTCAATCAGCAAAATGTCACCTCGAATATTTCTGGAACTCTTGGCGCTTGGCCGGGCGCAGGAACTCGTGACACATCGCCGCGCGGCAGTGTGACACTGCTAGACGGCGAAAGTCTGCCATTCGCCTTGATTAACGCACACGAACTGACAGCTTTCCACACAGCCTTGGCTTCGTTGATGATGTTCAACAGACGCAAAAAGGTGCGCACCATTGTTGTATTCGGAGCAGGTACCCAGGCTTACTGGCATATCCGCCTGGCGCTGGTTCTCCGCGGGGAGGATATCCGCCGGGTAATCATTGTGAACCGTTCATTCGATCGCGCAGCCAAGCTTCTGCAGGAAATCTACCAGCCCGAGAATATCCAATGGCGCGGAGACGTCAAGTTTTCCGCCGTCAGCACCGATTTCGGCGAGTATAGTCGCGTTTTGAAGGATCATGTGCGCAAGGCCGACGCGATCTTCTGTTGTACCCCCTCTCTGGAACCACTTTTCCCTGCGGAATATCTCACCTCAGGCGAAGGCCGTCAAAAGGGTCGCTTGATTTGTGCGATTGGATCATACAAGGCACACATGGCCGAGATTCACCCGGATATCCTCCGAGACGAGGTCAATGTGCAGCCTGTGCATCGCCATTGGCACAAACATATCCACCGCAGTGGTGTGATTGTAGTGGATAGTCTAGACGCGGCCATGAAAGAGGCGGGTGAGATTATTCAAGCTGAAATCAAGCCAAAACAGGTTGTCGAGTTGGGTGAGCTACTGATGGTTCGTGATGCCACTCGTGACGCGGCCACTGTGGATGAAGAAAAGAGTCTGCGTGAATGGTCACAGCGGGGGAATGTCATCTACAAATCGGTTGGACTTGGACTGATGGATCTCGTGACTGGCGGAGATTTGGTGCGCTTGGCGCGGGAGCGGAAGTTGGGGACCACAGTGGAGGACTTTTGAGGAGTTCCAGGTTTTTTTTTTTTTAACGAGTGGACTTGGGCTTTTGCTTATTTTACTTTGTTTCCTATTGGCTGATCTTTTGAGACTTGTCTTGTTTCCAGGGAAATTTCGAAGATCAAGAAGATCGCAAGATCGCAAGATCTGCCGGAGAGCCATCTTTAATTCACCTTTAATTGAGATAACCTTTGAATACATGAAATAATAGCTATGGATCAGAGTATAGAATTAGAAATGAGAACTGGAAATATGAAATATGAAATATGAAAAATAAAAAGTGGAAAGTAAATACATAACATCTCTGTTGTATATAACTTCGGAGATCAAGTGATAGTGGGCTGATGGTCTGCGTCATCGGATATGTAACCTCTCGGAGAATCTTCCTTCTCTTTTTCTCTGAGCAATCTCCAGCTTCGCATTACCAATCCAGCTATTAGCATTGGATATATTTGCCTTTGGCTGCTTTAGCTGCCTTAGTTTGCTGTTGGTGCACCATTCTTCCCACCCCGCGCAGTGAGGGGCAAAGCAGAGTCTATAAAGAGGTCTTGTGACTCCTCAGACTATCCCCAAGAGATCAAAGATATCAAAGATATCTCCGCCATGCGTAACACCACTTGCTACTTGCCCAATGGCCTCACTTTCAACGTCTCGCCCGTTTTTGGTGGGGTCACCTTCAAATCCGCCGATTTCAACGTCCAGCATAACTCCACGTTCCCGCCAGGTTGGACAATCATAATCCACACTGAGAAGCTTCGCAAGGAAAACGAGCAGAAAGAGAAACCAGACCAGGAGAAACCCCGCGATGATGAAGACAATTTCACCCGTTTCACCACCCCCACCTTGACCCGCGACTCCCTGTACATCTCGTATATAGTCAACCCACCAACAAGCGACTTCAAGCCTGTAACTTCACCCACACGCCAGATTGCCATGATGCTGTGGGCAACTCTATGGTGGTACTTCCACGAACCCGAACCCGATCTGCACGTCGAGACCGCCGCATCAAGCATGACCCCGCCCGACGGCCGACCAAAAGGCGTCTGGCGCATAAACATCAAGCGAGAAGGAATCTTCAAAGGCCGGAATTTGCTCCAGAAGCTCGAGCGCATGGGCCTAATAGCGACCGAAGACTCCTCCGTCGGTCTCCAACCCATGGAAACCCGCGACTCAAGCAGCTGGTCGACGATGTTCGTAAGCCGACGCAGTTTCTGGCAGCTCGACCCACGTCTATTCCTCTTCACCCTCGCGCCGAGTCGAGGCCGCCCCTCAACACCTCCCTACCGGTCGCGGAATGCGTCGCCCGCGCCCGACAGCGGTCCAACCGCCGCAACGCCGATCGCGCTGGCGCCCATGGAAGCAACCTTCCACACGGCGAATACGGGCCCGTTCACCTCGGTAGGACCGTTCACGTCTGGCAGCTATCTACCAACATACTACCCGCCCCCGCCGATGCAATTCACCTCCACGAACGGGGTGCGACATCCCGTGCGCCCGAAACCGCCGCATCAGGGTGAGGTGTTCTACGTGCGCTATGTGCCGAGTCTCAGTCAGTATCTCTCGTTCCGCGTGGCGTTTGTGCCGATGTCTGCGCAGGGCGCTACGGATAGTCGACCCGTGACGCCTGTGACCACGGGTGTAACTAGTATCGCGCAGCATCTGACCGATGATATCTCCTCTGATCTGGACACGCTGCATCGGTGGATGAATGTACCGCGGGTGGAGGCGATGTGGGGTGAAGGTGGGGAGAAGTCTGTACAGGAGAAGTTCCTGCTTGCTAGTCTGACTAGCCGACACAGTTTCCCTGTTATTGGATGTTGGGACGGGAAGCCGTTTGGATATTTTGAGATCTACTGGGTTAAGGAAGATCGGCTGGGACGACTTGTGGACCACGTGGATAATTATGATCGAGGGATTCATCTGCTTGTTGGGGAACAGGAGTTCCGGGGTGCGCATCGTGTTGCGGTTTGGTTGAGTGCGTTGGTGCACCATTGCTTCGTGTCGGATATGCGGACTGAATCTGTGGTGTTGGAGCCACGGATTGATAATATCAAGTGAGTTGTCGGCTAATAAGAAGAAAAAAAAGGGAACGGAAGATAGAAGATGGATATGCTAACCTAACTTCTCACAGACTCATTAATTACCTCCAAGAAGCAGGCTTCTATAAAGAAGGCGAGGTCAGCTTCCCCCATAAACACTCTGCTATCATGAGGATCAAGCGCGAGTACTGGGAAAGCCCGGCTCTATAGAGCTGTCATGGCGATTTGCGATTTGCATTGAGATGATCACGAGTTAACGAAACAGCTAGCATTGCCTGGATTTTGAACATTTTTTGTTATTTAACGTTTGACTTGCTTGAAACGTTGTTCTGGGCCATTTTACTTAGATGCCATGGGCGGCTTATCTCACTAGAAACGACCGTTCTAGTTATTTTGAATTGGATTGTATGACATTTCGATTACACCTATCTTCGATTTCCTTCCTAGGCTCCTTTTCCGGGCCTCCCCAAGGAGGATTGCAAAACAGACGAGAGACGTCAATGTAGCACACAAGCTCCCAATTAATCCCTTCGATTTTGAAAACACGCTGATGTGAAGTGCTTAGTACTTTTACTTCTACGGATTGAGGCTGGGAATATGGATAAGGGTAAGGGACAGGGAAAATAGTGTTTAGGGTTGTGAAGGGGCATGCAATATACTCTCCTGTATACTATTCTGTATAGTTGCCTATATAGTTGCCTAACGATATAGTTGCGCAAGGGGTATGGTGATTAGGTTCAATGTTCTTACTACGACTAGTTACAACAAGACATCTACATTACATTTTTTTACTTTTACAATTTACAATACTATACGAGATCCAAAGCTGAGTGTTAAGTTCCATTGTCCAAGTAGGAGGTAAGTACATCAAAAGTACAACGTATATCGCGAGGGGCGAGTAAAAGAAAGTCTAAACATAGCGATATTCTTGGATAGTATATGTATATTATCCAGTTGTAAAACGAGTGGAAAGAGAAAGAGAAAGATAAGCAAGCATAAGAGATACCAGACATACAAACGCCGAATGCACAAGGCAGATGCAGTTAGCGAGTGGAATAGTGGAATGAGTAGTGGAATAGATCGAAGACGAAAGGAAAGGCAGAGAAGGTGACAACTCTGATCGGAATCAAGCTCGTACAATGTAAGAGGACGTATGCTAACATCAAAGCACAGATCTGAGCGAGGGGTATGGGCACAAGTGCGTATCAACGGGGGTGAATAGCTTTTTGTTTTTAAAAGCGACAATATGGAAAATATGAAAAGGAAATAAAAGTCATATGGGAATGTGTGAATGTGGGTTAGATCAGATAGTCAATAGATAAGGAAAAATGAGAGATGCGTGAATAGCATCGGGTGATTAAGTAAATGAGATCAGATTGCTTAAAAAAAAAGAGAGAAAAAAAAATCGAGAACCGGCTCGATTTAGTGAGATCGACGACCACCCATGTAAGAGCCCGTTGCGGAAGCCAGGAAGCGAGCCACGAAGCCACCGCTGTGTGCGTGGCTACTGGTCTTCAGCTTCTTGGACGGCTGGCGGGTAGGTTCGAAGGACTTCTTGGATTCGACGTAGGGGACGTTGACGTAGCCGTAGTTCAGAGAGAGGGAAGCTGGGCTGCGGGAGGTATCCGAGAGCATGAGGTCGTCGGCACCGTGGGAAGAAACCGTGCTGATGGAAGCCGGGGTTCCTCTTGAGCTTGGTGCGAGGCTAGAGGAGCGCGAGCAGAGAGAGTTGAATGTCTCGGCGTGGGAGAGGGGTGGCACGTCGCGGACGGATGGTGGGGAGATGGAGCGGTTGATTCTGCTGGGGGATGCACGCTGACGCTGGTAAGGGTTGTAGCGATCGTGCTCTGCAACATGCGGTGGTTCGTAGTGGGTGTTAATTGTTGGGCATGAGACGTGGCTGGGGAGACGGCGGAGGGAGTTGTCATTTGCGCGACGGGTCTCGCCGCGGGCTTCGAGCTTTTGGCGGCGGAGACGACTGGCTAGCAGATCGGCTGATGCGTGGAGACGGCGCCTGGGGGTTGGTTAGTGGGGATGTCATATGAAAAGCCTATTGAAGGGGATAGCATACCATTCGCGGTGTTGTTGTTGTTTGTGGCGGTATTCTTCTTCGGCGAGACGATCTTGCTCTTGGGCGATGAGACGCTGGCGGTGGGGGACCAGGAAAGGCTCGAGGTAGGTGAAAAGGTCCTGCTCGCTGATGCGCAAGTCCCAATCGAGTAGGAAGAGGAGCTGGCGTTCCATGAGGTTGACCTCGGGGAGGGAGAAGCCGAAGCTTTCGAATCCCTTGACTGCGGTGTAACGGGCCCAGTGTTTGTTCTTGGGGCTCGAGTCGTTGAGGTTCTTGGCAGCAATGATGAGTGAGGCGAGGAAGATGCGGTGGACAGTGCAGCGCATGCCCTTTGCGACTGGTGGTAGACGCGAACGAAGACGACCGAGGTATACGAGACAGCTCATGAGAGTGGGCACCTGCACCTGCGACCGAGCGACAAGTGAGGCGATAAAAGCCTCGATTGAGGGGAGGTCAGGCAGGTTAGAGGGTTCCATTGGAGGAGTGGATGGTGGTGTAGGTTGACCATTCTGGTTGACGGTGTTGGTCACATGGGCCTCACAGCGAATGACCTGGGCTGCTTGTTGAGCCAGGTGTGACACCATTTCCCGAGTGACTCGGGTAGTGACGAACTCATCTAGAGCCGCTCGGTTGAGTGACAATGAATCCATATTGTGATAGAGTGATATGGTAGAGGAATATGATAGAGAGAGGAGCTTGTCGGAGGAGAAGACCGGCCCAGGATGGGAATTAAGTATGTCGATAGATAGGCAGAGATCAAAGACTTTTTTTTCTCCAGGCAATGACTTGTCTCGGGACAATCCGATTCAAGGGTCTTTGGGCAAACGAGACAATGGTCTTTGTGTGTTTGCGAGGGTATCAGATGAAAGTCGACAACAAAGTGAAGTAAAAGCCAAAAATCAGATGAAAGAAGCAAACACGTCGTAATTGAGAAAATTGAATTCCTGACCAGCAGGATAACTTTCAGATGAAGTACTCTTTTCTTTTTAAAAAAAAAAAGAATGTTGCAGTAAGGATGGGATAGTTGGGGTTGTCGTGTCAACGCCTATCGATAGCCCTAACTGAGAGCTTCAAGTAAAACTGAGACCCGCGACGGATATTTATTCGAGACACAATCCACAGTTCACTGCAAGTAGGCAATAAATTGGAAATAATGTTTCTAGGGAAAATTATTATAGAAAAGTTGAGAAACGATTCAAAAGCAAAATGGGAATTATTAAAAGGAAAGGATGACGACGTTGAGCATGTGGATGAATCTCGTGAAGAATCTGGGTGGAATACCTGTCTAGTTATAGTATCTGGTATGCGCCAGAGTGGGAGTAGAGAGGGGGAATACAGTGTTTCCACAGTGTTTCCCCTGCAAGGACGTGTCATCCAGTTAGAAGACCGAAGGAATAGAGCCAAGCACAGGGGTGGAATAGAGCGAACCTGCATACAACATACTCCGTAGTTGGGGGGATCTTAGATGGTCCAACCTTTTTTTGGCGCGCGGAGTCTGAGACGATAGAAAGTGAGCTGATTTGTCGAGAGAACGGATTGATGTACATTGGATAGACTATTATTGTACCTGTGCGTTATGATCCCTAGATTCATCCAATAGAAGGTTGAGTGATTCATTTTTCATGTATGTTCTTGTTGGTTTTTTAGTTATTTTAGTTAACTAGTTAGTTATTTTAGTTAGTTTTTGATTTACTTTTACTTGAATTTTAGAATGTGATAGTATAGTACATTAAGACATAAAAACCAAAAATAAGGGGGATATCTAGGATCGCCATAATCGCCATTTTCAGGTCCACTCAATTATTCTATGAACTACAAAGTATGAAATGAAACTCACCGTCTCATATCTACTCATTCCATTCCTTGAACGCGTACCAAATAGTATAGGTATAGGTAACTATAGGCTATTAGATACTCTACTGCCTAATCTCCTAAACCAACATCCAACATCTAACAATCCACAATCCAACAATCCAACAACCAACCTCAGCTGAAAAAAAAAAACAAAAAAAAAAAAAGTGGCGATTTCAAGTTGGCGCCGCGAACTCGCGTTAGTGCCCAATCACTCGAAACCTGTCAGTTTCCGATATCCCTGTCAAGTGTTCCATTTAATCCATTTACTCCTTTTAATCCTTTTATAGCGTATCCCCCCAACCCCCCTGTAACACGAGTTTAGCGTGTTCGAGGGATTCAACATACTTGACCTACAACATACAACATAATGAAAATGAAAATGAAAATACCAGAAACACAACATAAATATCCGAACCTTGAAATACTTCCACCTCACATAAGGTACGTCACATCATTCATGATCTTCCCGTTGGATCTATCGATTTTTCCAACCTCCCAACCTCCAACCTCCAACCTCTCTTTAATATTTTTATTTTAATATTATTTCATTTACTCCCCGATCCCATGCAGTAGTTAATGTATATTGCAATCCCGTGGGATAATGCATGCAATGTTCCGTGCATAGCACTTCTTAGCGTCTACTTAGTTACTTATTCTTACTCTATACAGAGTACTCCATTCCATATACTCCATAACTCATAGCCTAAAAAAAGACAGAACACACTGCATATGCATCCAACATACTCCGTACGGAGTACATAGTACATTATGCATCTATATAAGCGCCTGTCTCCCACATCCTTCCCTCCTTCCCGCCTTCCCGCCCAGCGCTTACAATCCCAACACCATGGAAGCGCTGCGACCTTTCGCGTTTCTAATTTTATATTTTATATTTTATATTTTATATTTTATCCATATAGACATACTATGTACTCCGTAAGTATGTAGGTCTTGTTATTCTTAGATTCCTCTACGCGCGCTCCTCCCACTTTTCTCACTTACCCCAGAACCCCATGCGCGGACAATCACCCGCCATCCCGCCAAGCCGAATCAGGATGCGACATTTGGGAATGTTGGATGTTGGATGTGTGAAAACTGCGCCTCGTTTCAGCATGGCGTCTCGCTGTTTTATCGCCGTTGGAATGTTGGGTATACGGTTGGTTGAGAGGGCTTGCTTTGTGTTGTATGTACCTCCGTACAACAGGTTTTCCCATGTGTTGGTTGTTTCCACAGGTGTTCCCACAAGTGTTCCCACAGATATGGTCCAGGCTCTCCGTCGTTGTTATGGGGCCGTTGGGGTTTCCAAGAGTTTGGTGGAGCTAGGCGCTTGGATGCGTTTCAGGATCGTAGGGTTTGTTTCAGTGTTGGGTCGGCGGTTAGAGATCGTGTTGGTGGGTTTGTCGGGGTGGTATGGGAGTGGAACACAGACAATGCGACCGTGTGTATGGAGGAGTAGTGGGCTGAGACTAATATGTCCGTGTGTCTTGATAATTATAGGTCTTTCTATTATTGGGAGTTTGGATTTATCGCTCGTTCTGATTTTTTTTTTTTTTTTTAAGGATTCTAAATTACATAATTGCATTCCATTCTAATCATACACCTCCCCAAGACAACAATGACCGTTTGAACAGCAACAAGGTAAGAAATCCAAGTCTCAATTTCACCCATCTGTGCTAAACCGCCTAAAAATTTACAGAAGCTCAACCGAGTAGTTGGAAACAGTCAACTCAGAAGTACCGGTGAAAGGCTCAGTGCCAGCCTGCACAGTCTTCAAGTACTTGTTGTTGGGCAGACCCTGGTCCTTGACAAGGTAATCAAGGAAGTCCAACAGATCACCACTGAAGTCAGTAACGGTTGACTTAGCGACGAAGCTGTAGACAGTCATCTGACCATTAGGACCGACCCAGACATCCCACTCGACACCATTGAGAGTGACCGTAGCGATGGCCTTGCCAGTGGAGGAGATGGGGCCGGCACCACCGAGGGCAGCAAGCCACACCATAATCTCGTACTCCTCGCTGCCGGAAGGAGTAGAACTAAGGAACAAGTCGTATGCGACATCGGCGACGATGTTGGTGTTGGAGTAGCTATTCCGGAGACAGTTAGCGGGGGGGTTGTTCATTCAGAGGTACCTGTGTAACCACGTGCACGGAGGTTAAAAGAAGAAAAAAAACTTACCTCCAGGTCCAGGCGGACTTGAGGCTCTTAACAGTACTCAGGATCTGAGGAGTGAACTTGAGCCCGGCACTGGCGTAGCTCTTGACCTCGTTCGGTGCGTTACCGGCCCACGAGAACGAGGTGTGCTATGCGATGGTGTTGCCGTTGCTCGAGTCTAGAGTGGTGCACTGCTTGCTGTTGGGGTCCTTGGCTTGGTTCCAGAGGTTGTTGTAGAGGGTGAACTTGTCTGTGGTGGTTGTGCCCCACTGGTCGCAGATTTCTGTGCCGCGACGGGTGATGTCGTTAACTGGGACGGTGGCGGCGTCGCCCATGGCGGACAGAGCCAGGGAGATGAGAGACATGGGTGCGATGAAGGACTTCATGGTTGCGGTCGGAATTAGTGCTCAGGATAGATGGTGTGTGTGTATATGGAAATGGGAGTTGTCATGAAGTCGGGTTTATTGGCCTGCTTTATACTGTTCATCTTCCTTTCTTTCCGAGGTCGTCCATTTGGGGAATAACTTGAACACTCATGTTTCGTATAGAGCACGGAGAAATCATGTCTCACATTTCATATTGGCTATCCAACGAGTTCGTGACCGGAACTCCACAACATCCGGATAATACCAGAAGCTAAAAAGCTTGCATGGAGCTGGGCGTCACGGAGTACCCAGGAAAGACATTGCACTGTCACAACGTGTGCTTTTTAAGCCATAGACCCTTGTCAAGCAAGTCTTTATCCGGTCACTGCGAATTCAGATTGGATCTGTTTCCCTACAACATACGTAATTCGGATCCCGGCGGAGAGCGGGGCGGAGAAGATGCTGCTTCTAGAAGAGAACGCGGTATCCAAAATTGTGAAAGAGATCCACCTTTTTCGAGATTTTCCCCTGAATAACCCCCGTTAGGATATCCATGGATCTCTGCGAAGTTTCTCCGCGTGTAATCAGACTTGCTTTTCTGTGTCCAGAAGACTAGGATGGATTTTCCATGTCAACATCCTTCAAACACATGGTAAATTCTACGCAAGGAGCAACTGTCACATCGGTTCTTCATGCACATGCACATGCAATATGCACGCACCCCGCAATAATCTCATTTTAACACGGAAAATGCATGCTAAGTCCGAAACCTTGAAGAATTGTTCCAAGTGGACCAGGGGAGATTGCGGGAATCTGACCGTTTTTCCATGGGCCATGATCTTCAAATGCACGTGATAGTACAGGGATCAAACGGTTCTTGCCATCCTTAATCAGAAGATCACCTTGCCCAGGTGATCCATCCATGGCATGTCGCCCGACAAGCACAAACTACCCTCGGTTTATCCGCTGAAATTAGATGGGGTGGGTCAAGGCAGGAGACAAGGACTTTGTGCACATACCAAACGAACCCGCCGGCTTCCGGGAGAAATTAAGCAGGAGAAGCTGTCTTCTATTTTGGATACATCGAATAACTGTCGACGGAGGTATTTTATACTAGCATAAAGGATCCACGCTCTTCCTATGTGTGAGGTGGCTATGTTGTGTGGGAACAGAGCATTACCTTAAGGCAACATCGACTAGCTGAAACATAGTTAGTAGCTCCCATAACTAGATATAACTAGTTAGTTAGCATGTACGCTACATATGATGTATGAGAGAGACAAGAATCAATCTAACAACTTTGGAAGTCCGGGAGTAAATAAACACACAACAAAGCAATGGGGGGAAGCATCCATGACTGACAAACAACATGTATGTAAAAAGGGGAGAGTCAGTCGAGTCAAGGAGAGCATGGTGTTCAGCTCCTGATAAGATCAGTGGAGAACCCAGGAAAGCACAAATTGGATCCACAGAGGTAAGGTTAAGATAGCCTAATAGGTTCCCAAGAGAGGTCGCTGGGGATTCCCCTGGAGCTCCTGTTCGGACAGTCCGCCTAATATACTTCGTGTTATTGAATTAGGACCGAGGCCTTAACTGAACCGCGTCAAAGATGATCAGTGTCCTCGGGATACCTTCACTAGACAACAGGCACCACGATGTGCAATATAGACCCGGAGGAATAGAGAAGGAAGAAGAAATGGGGGTAGAGGCAAACGGGAAACTAGGGTAGGTGATGACCAAAAGGGAAGGAACACATGGGTATCTGAATACTTGGATCGCTAACTAGAGGGAGCTTCCCTGGTATTGCGCAAACTATGTAAGAGATAGCCCTGCACTTCGACACCAATACATCCATGAATATATTTGCGCAGTAGACTTGACAGGTGCACTTCTATCAAATATATATATCGTCCATTTCCAGGTGAAAAGACCCCTACCAGTACGACCCAACAACGTATGCTTCCGACTCCCAGAGAGGCGTATACGTCTTCACTACAATATACTCAAGCTAGGCTAGTGATAGTACCAGCCCTAGGCCTTGTGGAGTATGATAGAAGGCTAAAGTTTGATACTCTGGCGATCGGGTTCCGCGGACTGCGGGAACTTGTCTAAGGATCTGCCATCGACGCTTTCAACACATCTGTGAAACTTGTAGTAACTCACTAGAATGCATGGAGTAGGCAACATCATTGCTGGAAGGGGATATCGAGGACAATTGGCCAATGAAAGAAACGCCAATTCGGATTCTGAGCATCCGGCATGGGCTGTTGATGTGTCAGCTAAAATAAACAATGCAAACACGTACAAACATATACAAACATATCTACAAACACATTTCAAAATATATAAACACTCTATACAAATTAGATAACTAGTTATCCAGTATATTGGGAGGTACATGTATTGAAGCAAGAAATGAGACATATTTTGAGCAAGGAATTGACCTAGACTGTACTTTGTAGGAATGAATTTCACCAAAGCGAGGGTGTTTAACTATTAATCAATTGTTTTGCTTTGATGCCCCACCCGAGTGGAACTCCGGGGTTTTCGCCAGGGGCTGAAATTAAATTTAAATGCTCGATTGCCTCTTCTTACTACTCCAGGACCCTTCCACAATTCCCAAAATGCCTTCCAAATCCTCCAAGTCCACCAGCTCCAGCTCCGGCTGCCGCTGCCGCTGCTTCTCCCTCAAGACCCTCAGCTATCTCGCCATTTTCCTGGCTCTGTTCTCCGCCGTCTACCGATACCTCGATGCGCGCCTTGAGCAATTCTACATCTTCGACCCAGAGCACCTGCACGATGTGTCTCAGCGCGCCATCAGCGCCCACGGCGAGGACACCCGCTCCATCGTCAACTTCATTGTCGCCGAGCTGGAGCAGAAGGTCGGCCCCAACTACCTGAGCACCCAGGAGGAGTGGGTATTCAACAACGCCGGCGGCGCCATGGGTGCCATGTACGTGATTCACGCCAGTATCACCGAGTACCTGATCATCTTCGGTGAGTTTTGCATCCGCGACAAAGTCTACCACTATTTCCATTTCCCCTTCTAACCACATTTGATTATTCGCAGGTACCGCCATCGGAACTGAAGGCCACACTGGTCGTCACACCGCTGACGACTACTTCAACATCCTCCAGGGTACCCAGCTCGCCTATGTCCCCGGCGAGTTCAAGCCCGAGGTCTACCCCGCCGGCAGCGTGCACCACCTGGTCCGCGGCGAGGTCAAGCAGTACAAGATGGATGAGTCTTGCTTCGCGTTGGAATACGCCCGTGGCTGGATCCCTCCCATGCTCTTCTTCGGTTACGCCGATACCTTCTCCAGCACCCTGGACTTCCCGACCTTGTGGGCTACCTCGCGCATCACTGCCCGTGAGATGGTCGGCAACTTGTTGCAGTACAAGCTGTAATTGTGTGTACCATTTTGGTTTTTGTTGATATGGACGCTTCAGTTGGATCCATGAGGTCTATGTGCAATGTATGATACGGGCATTGGTTGGGCACCTGGCAAGGTGCTGTTTCGGTTGTAAAAGTTATTGGATATGGTGAATACTTAATTGGTAGTAGCACATTTTTTAATGAAATCATCAGCTGAGGTTGTCGAGCTGCCTTTGCAACATTGATCATTGGAATTAAGGCATGACCTTCTAGTACGGAATCGATACTCTCAACGTAGTACCATCGACGGTCCCTAGTAGACCGCGAGATGTTTATGTAGTTCTCTAAGTGACCTATAGCCAAATGCATATGCTTGGCTCTATAAAATGCGGAATTTGTAGTCAAGACTCGGAATTTAGAGTTGCCCAACTAGTCAAAGTGTGATTCAGTCATCATAGACCTACCAAGGTAGACCCCAATGAATCATGAAACTTATCTCTTCTGGTCAAAATAAGCATTTTCTGAACCTGAGGCACAAAACAGGTGGCGTTCTCCGAGTTGGATGCTTGTGCAGGTGTACAAATAAACAGTTCTATATAAGTTTGCAGTTTGCTTGCACCTGTCTCCTTCCCTTTCTCCTTCTTCTTCTTCTTCATCTTCATATTTCATCTATCCATCAAAGTCAGTACTCTACTCAACACATCACATTCTATCTCACGTTACATCACTGTCCTTGTTTCACTCTAGAGTGATAGCCCATCATGGCTGGCTACTGTGGATGCCTTTGGCAGGACCATGGTAACCGTCAGCCTCAGTATCTCCCCCAGGTCTCACTCGAGGCCCATGCAACTATTCTCTCCTCTGTGGCCCGTACAACCTTGACACAGGTATTTGTCAACCCATCTGACAGGGTCATCGAAGAGATATCCTACCACTTCCCTCTTTACGATGGCGTTAGTGTTGTCGGTTTCGAATGCAAGGTTGGATCTCGTCTCCTGCACAGCAAGGTGAAGACCAAGTCACAGGCCAACGCGGACTACCAAAATGCTGTGGCTCAACATCAGATTGCTGCTGTCATGGACCACACCTCCATGAATGACGTTTTTATCATTCGACTCGGTAATGTCCCCGCTCATGGAAAGATTAACGTCGACATCACTTTCGTGGGAGAGTTGAAACAAGACTCCCAGACTGATGGAATTCGCTACACACTGCCAAGCACCATCGCACCTCGCTATGGAACTGGACCGTTTTACGATTCTACCCAATTAGATTCGCTTCGTCTGCCAGCCAACCCCAAAGGGATGTCTATCACCGTTGATGTTCAGATGGAGAAGGGTTTGGTGATCCGAGAGCTGGAATCTCCAAGCCACCGGGTCAAGGTCTCGCTCGGACGCATTTCTTCTACAACTGCCCCATCGTCTGCCTTTGAACCATGGCAAGCATCTGCCTCTGTCATTACCCAGCAGAACAACACGTCCGTAGTTCTGGAACATGACTTTGTTATTCTCATCAAAGCGGATGGGCTTGATACTCCCTGCGCATTGCTTGAAAGACACCCAACCATCCCTAACCAGCGCGCCCTGATGGCAACCCTCGTGCCAAAATTCAGCCTCCAAGCCGCTAATCCCGAGGTGGTCTTTGTCATTGACAGAAGTGGGAGCATGGGACCCAAACTCCCAATCTTGACATCCGCACTTAAAGTTTTCCTGAAGTCTTTGCCTGTTGGTATCTGCTTCAATATCTGCTCCTTCGGATCTTACAACTCTTTCATGTGGCCAAGGAGCAAGGTGTATGATAAACTCAGCTCGCAGCAAGCTTTGGCTTTTGTTGACACCATCGACGCGGATATGGGTGGTACGGAGATGCAAGGAGCAGTCATGGCAACCGTTCAAAAACGACTCAATTTCAACGATTTGGATGTGCTGCTGCTCACTGATGGGAAGATCTACCACCAGGATCGATTGTTCGACTTCGTCCGCGAAAAGGCTGCTGACAACACTGTTCGGTTCTTTTCCCTCGGCATTGGCGAAGCAGCATCTCATTCTTTGATTGAGGGAATTGCAAGAGCCGGAAATGGATTCTGCCAGTCGGTTACGGAATACGAAGAATTGGATCGCAAGGTCGTTCGCATGCTCAAGGGTGCCCTGACCCCTCATATCCATGACTTCGAACTCGAAGTTGAATACGACACCGAGACAGAGCGTGAGTTTGACTTTGTGAGCGACACTGAGAACCTCATCGACATTGAGACGGAGGGCAAAAAGAAGGAGGGAGATGGAGACGTTTCCATGAAAAGAACAACAGGCAGCTTATCGCAGTCGATTCTGTTGTACGATGAGAACTTCCAGGAATCCGACATGAAGGTCGATGCCGAAAAGAGAGCAACTGAAACTCTTCCCACTCTCACCGCTCCAGGAGCAATCCGAGCTCCCTACAACGTCCCGCCACTGTACCCGTTCATCAGGACAAATGTCTTCCTCCTTATGGACCCGCACTCGCCTGAGAAAATCCCCAAGTCGCTGAAGTTCACTGCCACTTCCAATAACATTCCACTGGAGCTGCGGATCCCGATCTGCGACATCGGAACCGGCGAAACAATCCACCAACTGGCTTCACGAAAGGCTGTGATCGAGCTCGAAGAGGGACATGGCTGGCTCTCTGATGCCGAGGACGAGAAAGGAAACAAATTCAAACAGTTCCACGCCGACACAAAGAAGAGGCTTGCAAAGCGTGAATGCCAGAACTTGGGAATCAAGTTCCAGGTCACTGGGAAATACTGCTCGTTTGTGGCCTCGGAAGAATGCAGTTCGTCTTCAGAACGACAGGACCAACAGCATACCCCGAAGGAACATGCCGCAGAGCGAGTTCCTCCCATATCACAGTCTGCTAGGTTCTTAGGTGGTGGACCCCCACACAATGGTGGCGGTTGGGGCGCCTCCCTCCCGATGCAGGCACTTTTTCAGTACACTGGACCCCAGCAGACTTCGAACAACGGAGTAGCACCTTTTACGCTCATGGGACCTGGGGAATCGAATCGTATGTGTCGCCCACGCGCGGTACCTGCAGCTCCAATGAATATGATGCAACCCCAAGCTAGAGCTCTAATGATACAAACCGAAGTGTCGTCACCTGGAAACACAGAACCTACAGTCCCGCGTCCTCTCTATGGATCAGCTGCATCATCTGCAGCCCCAAAGCTTGGTGCCGTGCTGGCCCGAGCGGCACGAGTTGCAACGCCCCCGACTCCTACTTTGACCAAAACTCCGCAGATGAGAATGCACGAGCTTATTCAGCTGCAAACCTTTGAAGGCAGTTGGGTGTGGTCGAAGGAACTCTTCGATCTTTTGGAGTGTAACATGAAATCAACAACCAGAAAATTGGCCACAATGTACCACAGTCTCAATCGGAAGGTTGAAAAAGGGTTTCCACAGGGCGACGAGGCGACTGTTCTCGCAACCCTGCTCGCAATGGGATGGCTGTGCAAGAAACAGCCTGCTTTTAAGGATGTTTGGGAACTTGTGCATGACAAAGCTTCTGATTGGGTTCGAATCCAGTTGAAGAAGATGCGGGATCGAGGTTCACCTGCGGCTATTATTGCATCGGTCCAGGATGAGATTACTGATATGGTCTGAGATATGACTTTGGGGGAGAAGATGGATCTGATATCGGTTCTTACACTTTTCCTTGCGAAATTGCTTAGGAACCAATGGTATTTGCTTGGGGTTGGAGTTAAAGAAAGAAAAATACAAAAATATTGGACAGCTTTGTAATGGGAAACTTTTCATATCATTCTTTTCTTTTTTTTTCAAAGTAGAGGAAGTGGCATGTTCACCTTATATCACATGCTACGTATGTAGACCTTCGTATGAATGATTTGATATATTCTGTCCACAGGTACTACACAGTTCTTTTATAACTGTGATGGTGGATCTCTATCATATTTGATCATAATCTGCCCAAATCATTAGGTTTCAATAGTCTCCTTGACCATGAATTGCCTGCAATCCTCAGCTATTCACTGGTTGCCCCAAGAAGATCCTGCGCATTATCCAACAAAATCTGTTGTGTTCTTTCCGATCCAAATAGACTCTGCAATCCATCATCCACTCTCTTCGCCAGAGACTCAGCCAGCGCTGCAGGGGTATATGGATAATCACTCCCATACAGCAATCTGGACGAATCAACCAGCCGTAGAAGCCCATGAATCTGATCGGGAAACGGCACACCGGCAAGATCAAAATAGAAACGCGTCTGCAACAGCTCTTTAATCCTCTCCCCACTAACCCCATCACCTGCACCAGGAACCATAGACGAAAACTCCGCGATCCTCTCCATAATCGGCGGGAAAGTTGCACCACAATGACAAGCCACGAAAGTAATCCCAGGACACCGATCAACCGTCCCAGAAGTAAGCAAACTCATAAGCGACCGCGTCGAATCAAACATGAACTCCATAATCGGCGCAGCAACACCAGGGAGCGGCGTCACCTTCTCCAGGGAGTCATCATCATCGTGCCGGATAAGACATGTAGTAGTCGGGTGAAGAAAGACGATGGTCTTTCGCTCATTCAATTTGTCAAAAACGCGACTGAAGCGTCGATCACCCGGGTAGATGCCGTGCGAACTGGTCAGGATTTGAAATCCCACTGCGCCAAGATGGTCTAGTGCATAGTCTATTTCTGCAAGGGAGCCTTCCACATCTGGAAGCGGGAGAGAGGCGAAGAAGAGGAAATGGCTTGGGTGATCGGCACAGGTTTTGGACATGTCGATGTTGGCGCGGCGGGTTGTGGTTCGGCCTTCTTCGTCGTTGCCCGGGGTTAGGTGTGTTGCTGGGGAGGACATGCTCAGTACTGATTTTTGGATTTTTAGTTTTTTCATTAGATCAATATGTGTTTCGGCGCTCCATTCCTCGATCATGTTGTGTTAGCATGGGAATTCGATGTGGTGTGCAGGTTCAGAGGGGACTCACTGGGATCGCGGGCATTCCATCTGGGTGGCCTCTGCCTGCGAAGTCATTCTGTAGGCAATACTCGCGATACGAGGGGGGCACACAGTGGGTGTGAACATCAATTCTATTCATTTTGGATCTTGTGAGTGTGTATGAAGTAGTTCTGGGGGAGGATTGTTGCTGATATTATAGTCCTGCAATGCATCCCCATCCTTGCAACTCAGATCGACATTGCCAGTTCGTATTCTTCACCGGTTTTCTTATAAAATGCAGTCGCTTATTGCTTACCGACTCGAGATTAACTACAAGGGTACATGATGTGGAACAATGAACCTGACAGGCTCGCAAACCGTACATCTTTGAACCGAAACCGTCTAAACAAATAACTATATCAGATCTACTCTTGGCAGTTCCTTCGGCTCAACAATCAATCCCCTTGCAGCCAACAGCCGGGCCTGAGTGAGCTTCAAAAACCGATAGGTAGTATCCAAAATCGGTGTGCTCACATCCTTCTCCCTCGCAACCCGCAAAGCATTCCCCAGAATAACCTCCACCTCCATCGGATTCCCTTTATCCACATCCACCAACATACTAGGCCGGAAAGACAACTCCAGAGGAGTAACATCAACCATCTCATCCACAATCCCGGGCCCGAGGTCATACCCATCCGCCTTCGCAATGGCCGCCATCTCCGCCATACCAGGTCTAATCAAACTATGCTCGCCGCCGAATCGCCGAACCGCAGCACTATCAAGCTGAGTGATAGCACACATGGGATTGAAAATCCCATTCCAGAGCACCTTCCGCCAGCGATAGAGGACGATATCATCGACGACATTCGCGTTGACCACTTTGCTCCCGTTATAGATTGTCGCGAACTCTTCGAGCTTGGCGCGTTCGATCGCTGCGTCCAGAGATGGATTGTGGAATGTGCCGATGTGGAAATTGTCGTGGTCGTCGTGTATAACGTGGCCGTTGTGTTCGTGTGCGCCGATGAAACTCGGCGCTGATAATACCACGTTCGAGGGGAATGCTGCGATTATTGGTGGTTCGATGTACAGACCGTTTTGGAAGAGGACGATCGTTGTATAATCCGGGGTTATGGCGGGGGCTATGATATTAGGGATATTGTTCACTTCGGGGATGTTCTTCACGGTGACGATCACATAGTCGAATGGGGTGTTGGGGTCAGCTAGGGGGACAGAATTGACGACTATCCATGTTGTTAGCTTTGTACTGCGCCTTTGAGGGAGTTACATACTTGCGCTTGGTCTCCAGCAGGATAGTTTTCCGTGGTCGATGGACTCAATTTCGAATCCATGCTGGATAACTTGTTCATAATTGGATCGGAGCACAGAAGTCACAGATGCCTGTCCAGATCTTTCGAGAGCGACGCTGACCATTGTGCCCACACCACCAGATCCAATCACCAGCACTCGGCGCTTTGCCGTTGTAGTATCGTGGGACATACTGGGCTGATTGACTTTGATATAATTTTGGAGGATTCAATGTCAAGAAATTACATTTTAACCACCAAAGTCATTTTACGCAATACGAGAGCTCCGACCTCGGGGTTTCCTTCTTTCCCCTCTCTTGTCGACATTCTCCCCCTCACTGGGTGATAACTCCGAATTTCTCTTTGAACATTGGGAATAACCCGATTTGGTTATTGTTTACTGTGTCACACTCCTTGGAATATGATCAGGAAGAAACTATATCCCAATGTTCCACCATGGGCGTGCAAACCATATTCAACATCACAACTGATCGGATGATAAAAAGTGATGTAACATTTCTATACCCTTACCCTTCTAAATAGCTTCAAATCATCTCCCAAATGTAATTTCCAAAATCGCAACCCAAAATGAAGAACCCAGTCAAGCAAATGCGCTTCCCAGCGCTCGAAGACTTCCTCGAGTACGTCCAAAATGTCGCAGAAGCTTCCAGCAGATGGGTCAACTGGCAAATCATACGCGGCAAGCGACATATATGGTGGGAGACCGACTGGGACGTGGTATCCCGATGGGCGCAATCGATCATCGAGACAGAAGAGCGTCTACGCGAAACCACCCAACGCGAGAACTTCCTCAAGAAGTGGATCCATAAATTCCACAACGGGTCCAGCGAAGCCGGCAAATTCGTTCTACCAGATTTGATCGAAGAGTTAATAGCTCTGGACCACGAGTACACACGTCTCGAGCGGATATACGACACGCTCCTGGCGGGTTGTCCCGTGGGCCCTATCAAGAGCGGGTATATGTGGATTCGAAAACAGCCGCAGTGGTATCTTCATAGTGAATGGTTGCGCCAGGATTGTGCTAGGCGTGGTGGCTGCTGTGGTCGTGAGTGCAGGTGTTGTGAAAATCCGCCTGATCCGAATAGGAGGAAGGGTTGGGGTCATTGTACCGCTCAGTGTCCTTGTTGTATTGATCTTCATCAATTTCAACTCACTGAGAGGGAACGAAGGATGTTGCAGCCGGAATTTGATCTTACTGTTTACCCGTGGAGTGATTATAGTCGAGAGATATTCCGTGCTTATATTTGGTCGCTTGACTAGTTTGTGTCGAGAAGATGTTGACCTCGGGATGTTCTATTGCTCGGTATATAGTTCTAGTCAATTGCCGCTTCTCTTCTTATTAGTGTTCCAGGGTGAACCTATTTTGGAAGTCTAGGTTGCGAGATCGAAGATATCAGTGCAGTTACAGACCTATGTGAATCAAAACGATAATGAAAAGATCAGCGTTAGAGGCTTCCTATTAACCCCGAATACGGGCTAAGTATGCCACCTACAACAGCCTACCCTATAAAGATTCACTAATTTAATTCTTCCTACTTCAACTACCCTCTCTATTATACAATTCAACTCCAATTCAACTCAGATTCAACTCAGATTCAATTTTCACTTCAGATTCACTTCAAATTTAATTTACTTTAAAAGTCCCTATGTCCATTTTAGAAGGAGGTATTCAGACATCTTTAAACAAGTTATGCCCCAGGTGACATACTCGTACCCGAATCCCGCCAAGCCGGCATGTTCAACGCATTCTGATTCGACCGAGTGGCATATCAAGGTCATCCACTAGTATACTGAAGATTTCCCCGCAGTTTATATTCACCCTCGATAAGACTTGCGGTTGAAACTCCGCGCAAATCACTGGGTTGCTTAAATAGACAGATCATGCCTATCATGCTGGATCAAGTTCATCCCTTTCCTTCAGGATCTATCAACTATGGAGAATGATATCCACCAATATGAGACCACCTGGGCTCCGGGAACAGTCAGACTAGAGGATAGTAAGTGAAACACAACCCCCAATACTACACTAGATATACAACTTGACTTACCAAGTCAGTCCACCAATCCAGAGACCAACTCGTCCTCTTCCCCACCCCATCATCCGACCCCAACGACCCCTCAATTGGTCAAAATCTCGCAAAATCCTCAATTTCACCCTAGTAAGCTTCTTTGTGTTATGGACCTTCGTACAACTCGACATTGGCTTCACAGCATGGGGTCCAATGCAAGGAGAACTCAACTACTCCCTCGACATCCTAAACGCCAACGCAGCCATCAACTACGGCGGTCTGGCCATAGGCTGCATATTCTTCATGCCGCTAGTCCACAAATACGGCCGACGCCCAATCTACATATTAAGCGTCACCCTACAGTTGGCATCATGCATCTGGCAAGCCCAGATGTCCACCGTCGGCGATCTAATGACCAGCGGCCTGATATCCGGCATCGGCGGCGCAATCAGCGAGGTCATCGTGCAGATTACCATCGCCGACATGTTCTTCGTGCACCAGCACGCAACGATGAACGGATGGTTTGTCATCGTCCAGTCTGCGGGCGCATTCCTTGGTCCCGTGGCTTCGGGATACATCGTGGTGGCACAAGGGTGGAGGTGGATGTGGTGGTGGTGTGTGATTTTCTTCGGAGTCACATTACTTTGTGTGATATTCCTTTTCGAGGAATCGAAATACGTCCCTTATCTCGATGGTCGTGACGTTACCGTTGCTGGAGAAGTGACTGGTGAACAGTCGGAACCTCACAAAGACGCGGACGTGGCGGATTCAAAGACCACCCATCGTGAGACGCCCATGAGTCGCGTACGTACAAACCCGGATATTCCTTTGAAGACGTATTTCCAGCGCATGGCTTTGGTGACTACCACCGACGAAGCACTGTGGCCGCATTTCTATCAGCCCATCGTCGCGCTCTTCACTTTCCCGGCTGTTTCGTATGCGGCTATTACATATGGTTCTACGCTGAGCTGGTTTGCCATCATGACTTCACTACAGGCTTCTTACATGATTATACCGCCTTATAACTTCGATGCTGTTGGTGTTGGACTGATGAATGTGGCACCATTTGTTGGTGCTGTTCTCGGTTTTCCCTTTGGTGGATATTTGAGCGACAAGTCCATTTTGTGGCTATCCAAGCGCAATGGTGGTATCTACGAACCGGAGATGCGTCTTTGGCTTGCTCTGCCTATTGCTATTATTAGTCCTGCGGGAATCCTAATGTTCGGGTTGGGCCTTGCCTATGTGAGTGACGCATCCGAAGCAGGAATTTTTGAATCTTTTTAACACCATCTAGGGTGCGCATTGGGCTCTTCTTGCTGTCGGATTTGGATTCTTCGGCTTTTCACTTGCTGCCATTAGCGGTATTTCGCTTTCGTATCTAATGGATTGCTATCAAGAGGTCAGTATCTATTTCATTTCATGTGCTTGGGTTCTTTTTTCTAATTTGATGGCTTCTAGATTATCGGTGACGCATTAGTCGGGGTGATTTTTATGCGAAACATCTTCTCGGTTATTGTACTCTTTGTGCTCACACCTTGGGTCAATAAGATGGGCCTGCGGAACTTGCATATTATATGTGCAGTTATCTCGTTCGTGATCCTCTCGATCCCCGTCCCACTTCTCGTCTGGGGTAAGAAAGCTAGGATTGCTACGGCGCCGAGTTATAGGAAAATGGCGGCAAATCAGCTTAGCCATCGGACTATTTAGATGCAAACTTTTATGCTTAGACGAATTGGAGGTCGCCTTTGTATTTGTTGAAGCCCTAGTTCTGACATTAAGAAATGGTATAATATTTTGAGATAAGCTCATAAAAGTATAAATAAGAAGACTAAAGGTGTATAGTGTTAAAGAAGGTATCACAAAGAAGATTATAAAAGAGCGTGCTAAAGTTTTCCTTTTCCTGTTTCGCCTGACTCCGACGACCACCCTGTGCAATCCGCATGAAGCCTCTCCATTCCGCAAAAAGTCCGCAGACCTAGACTCTTTCCACTGCCTTCTCATCCTTGTAGTCTTCATATGGGGGCATCTCAAAAGTTTGCCGAGCCGTAAATGAGTCACTTTTCTTATGAGTGGAAGTGATAGTGCCTGCATTGTTGCTCGAGCTGACAAGAGTCCTTTCGGATACGTTGTTGGAGGAACGAATCTGAGACCAGAAGTTGCGATGACCGATCTTGAAGAGAGGGCGGAGGTTAGGGAGGCAAGCAGCTGTGATTCCAACTGCTGCTTCGACACAAGTCCACACGATGACGGGGACTTGGTTGTCTGAATGGATAGTTAGTGATATAGATCAGGAGATTGAAAGAGATAATAGCACGTTGATACTGACAGGTAATATCAGGGCCTTGCTTAACCAGGGTAATCATGGCATTGAGGCGGAAGCAATCGAAGATCAAGGTTCTAGAAGCGATGTGTTAGGATCTTTCCACTGTAACATGAATGAGATATCAAACATACAGGCCACCAACGAGGAAGACTCCAGAAAGAAGCGCTTTCTGGGCCTTGGGAATCGGCAATGTCCACACAACTCTCATAGGCATGATCAAGAGAATGAGGTCAGAGAGGATGTTGGGGATCTGAAGGCCATAGTAGAATTTGGCGGAGTCAAGACAGGCTCCTTCAACGGACGGGTTCCAGAACTTCTCGGTGGGAATGCAAATAAGAGCACCGGCGACGTAAACACCCACAACCCAGAGGCAGATGAATCCAAACATGACATTCACTGCAATTGTCATGTGTCGGACTGCAAAGAGTCGCTTATACAGCGCCAGAATGGAGAATTTAATGAAGGCAATACAACCGGTATAGATAAAGTTGTTGGCGAATCCAAGCTATCTTGAGTCAATACGTGTACTTGATATAGCACTGACTTTTGTTTCATGTGAACGTACTTGCAAGTAAACCAGGAGATTTTTCGCTGGGATCATTGTGATGTGTGAGCCCATTCCATTGAATAGGACTGATATCGATGTTAGTATGAAGTTGGCTTGATGCTGTATTTTTGTTCATGTCACTCACGAACAACGACTCCACTGGAGCATGCATATTTCAAGAACAGAGCAACCATAATCAAGTAGTCGTCCATGAACAACCTGCTTCCCGTAACCTTCCTCGCCAAGATCCTCAGAACAACCGCGAGAGTGGATAAGGTATAAGCAAACACCAGTGCAATAATCATCGATCTCCGAAATTCCTGATTCGGGTGCTCGAAGTCTCCCGGTGTCCACGTGGGGGTGGAGGAATGTTCTGTGGAAGACATGACTGGTGAATCAACTCCAACAACGAGATAAGATTAAAGGAGAGAAAGTTGTTGGTTTGAATGATTTGGAATCATTTAAGGCTTCGCATGGGATCTTTAATATACTTCGAGGAGATGGGGAAGGGGGGAGACCCCATCTATGTATGTGTCATATCTCTTGAAATCCATGAAAATAACGCAAAGGTGACAAAGATGACATGAACAGGTTTACCGATCACATCGATGACAGAGCGTGGCTTAGTTGCAGATGGCATTTCAGCCCAGAAATGCTCCAGTGCGAACAATGACATATTGTGTTGTGGGACTATTTTGCCTAAGAAAAAGCAAGATAAAAAGAAACACGCTGCTAACCAACGGCCCGTCAGATCATAAACAAGAAAGTATTATGTGCCTTGACCGTAGAGATTTCGCCAATCATATCAAGGCATAGGAACACTTTTCCTGACATATCATCTTGGGATAGTGGATATATCAGATTTGAATCTGACACTTATGGGATCCACTTCGTTGCAAGACATTCTTCCCACAATCTCCCCGAAAACCCGGTAGACAGGACATGTTGAGCGGTATGACAAAATGTGCTGGCACATTGCTTTTTGATTGAGATAACTATTGAAAATATGCAGCGGAGAATGATTGTTCAATGCTTTGTAGTCAAGTTCTCACTCACACCGGCAGATTAACCAACGAAATTCAAAACCCATGCCTCTATTCCAGGCAAGGGATTAACAATAAAGGATTCCACGCGATTTTACATACACAAAAACCGGGGTAGAGTTTCCCATGCTCCAGGAGAATAACCAGAAATAGATACATACACTCCGTACGGAGTATTTCAATGCCTCCTGTCACTGACAGCTGTCTCCCGATGTACAGCCCACAAGGTAGCCGAAAAACGCCATGATCGTCCAATAATTGACAGAATCAAATACTTTTCCGAAGTCGCCGTTTTGGTAGATCCTCGGATAATAAGACTGTGAAGGGCTGAGGTTTACCCAATATGATATGTCGATTAGACAGCGGACACGTCCGATTACAGCCCACATGGTGGAAGTTAGTGAAATTTAGCCGTTATATTTGATCCACTTGATAGCGTTTTTGTCATTGATTACGAGGTCAGTATACATCTCATGCAGCCGGATTGAATTTCCGTTGCTTTCGGTTGCATTTCCGCTCCACCTGGATAGATGATCTTTAGTTGCTTTTCTTGGATTGTCGCACAGAAATGCATAAATGCAATCTCAATTGGAATTGTTCAATGCATTGTTCAAAAGCATAGTTTTGTGCCACGCAACTGATAGCTTAATTGTCCGCGATGGAAAATGTCATGAATCCAACTAATCCACTTGGTACTCCGCACTGAAGATCCCCGATCTTCGCAAGGGGCTATATCGGGGATTACAACATCTACTCTACCCCCAACTCTCTTCAGAGTATGTCACTAGAAGGTCCACCTCATCTTTCGTCTTCAAAGTTTCCGTTCGCCCTTGCCGTTCTGTCGCCCAATGCCCTCAATAAACCTTGAAGTCGGAAAGTCTAAGATGTGCCGCATCCCAAGTGTCTGTACTTACTTTGACCTGACGTACTTGTCTCAATCCAGGAGCGAGAATTCAAAACAGTTAGTGTCTTCCAATATTGCTATTGCTATCCACACTACGAGCAAAGTATACACAAACCTTCAACGCACAGAACTATTCGAAAAACAAGGGGTTTCCGAATACAACCCAAATTTCTGGGGACAGATTTTAATGAATCGGACGCGAGGAAGCGTTAAAACACTTGCCTTGCAGCTGTCGCGACTCCGATTCTGACTTGCAGCTTTATAGCCCACAGGGCTGATGGCATCAACGTTTCAGCCCTCTGGAGCCGCATCTCATTTCCAGGATTGCACTTTCCCGGGAAGATCCACACACTTCCACAGTTCCATACCCGACCCATTTCCAGTGCCTAACAATGTCGTATAATTGGATGTTGGGACTATATTTTCCTACTTGTGACTCCACTGTGGGCCTACAATGAACCTTGGAAGCGATGACTTACCGTTCCGATCCAATTGTTGATCCCAATATTCATCCATCTGAGCATGGACCCTTCCAATCAAAGAGATACGATGCTTGAGATGCATACCGTCGACGATTAGCGTCAAGCCACACCATCGATCGATCAAAGAAATGCCCCTCCACCAAAACATTTCGTCGCCGAAGTTTTTTCACTAGAATATCATCATTCGATCGGAAATTCTACATAGCGAATATGGCCAAGGTCGCTCTGATCACCGGTGGTAGTATGTACCATCCCACAATTCCCGCACGGATCGTCGATCATTCGTTAACCAAAGTTAAAAAAAAAATAACAGCTAGTGGAATAGGCCTTGCAGTTGCCAAGGACCTGATCCAGACCGGCGGCTGGCAGGTCAACATTATCGGCAGCAATCAAGGGCGCGGCCAAGACGCAGCAGCTTCCCTCCTCAATGTCACATTCTACCAAGCCGACGTGCGAAACTACCAACAACTAGCCGGTGTATTTGACCAGATCTTCCATGCGACTAGTCGAATAGATTTTGTCTTTGCGAACGCCGGAAGAGCAGAGTATACCGATTTCTTCGTCAAGTCTGAGACTGGCATCCCGCCCGAACCGAGTTCCGAAATTGTCGATGTCAACTTGAATGGCGCTCTATATACCAGTTACCTTGCCATGCACTATTTCCGTCGCTCTCCGGAGTTAACGAAAGGGTATAAGAACTTAATACTCACGTCCAGTATCGGGGGTCTATACCCCTGTATGCTGACTCCAGTATACTCTAGTACTAAACGCGGGTTGAGAATAAAGAAGTCAAATTACTCTGTTACAAGGAATGGCTAACGAATTGCCAGATGCGCTTATTGGATTCACTCGCTCTGTCGGAGACAGACTCTGGGATGAGGGAGTCCGGGTTAATGCTCTGTGTCCCGGGGTAGTGGAAACGCCCCTTCTTGCCGATGAGACGTTTTACGGGATCTTCCCACGGGAAATATTTATTCCTGTGGACGTTGTAACAGGTGTAGTATCACAATTACTGTCTGGGGCAGATATGGTAGATGCCAAGGGGATTCGTATCGCTGGTGACGAGATGCATTCCCGCGCTGTTCACGTTTCAGGAAAGAGCTTTCTTTTCATTGAAAAGCCCGACATTCATGATGAGCAGACTGGAATAACATGGGCTGCAATGATGGGGCATAAATAGATGTTTGAGGGTTTTGTCACGCTGCTTCGACTGCATCATGGTCAAATGCTGGAATAGTAACACAATTTCTAGACTAGAACATTATACGTCTGTCCATGTGGAAGGCGTCTTGTATATGTAATTACCTATATCGAACCAGTAGATCTGGTCTCCGTCATCCCTCCCGCCCCACACCGAAGACAGGGAGCGCCTAACTTGAAGCTGCAATTGCCTGGAGAAAATCACAACTACCGGAATCTTATCAACGACTGCTGCTCGCGGTTTGATCTCAGTGACCTCGAAGCATGCAACCGTATAGGGAAATGTCATACATGGTATTGAACGCCCTGCCGATTTCAAGACCATATCGATCTCCGCCATAATTGCACGAGATAGTCGCAACGCTTCCTTGTCGCGCTGCCCATAGGGATAGCGCAACCGATGTATAATAAGACAAGCGGCAAGACGGAGGACCTTAGCCTGAGTGAGCATTCCAACCACCTCAGACTGGGTAAATCTTTCAATAAAGTCAGGTGGTGGCGAAGGTTTCCATCGCTCCAGGGAATCTTGTATGGCGTCCAATCGTTCAACCATCTCAATATCCATTCTCCCACCAGTAACTCTCATCGAATGACTAGCATCGCAAAGATCATATAAGAGACCAAAAAGTGACGAGCTAATCCCAATGAACCGATCAACAACATCGCAACGATCACGTTCACCGATTCGAATAGTCGGCGTCTCCGACCGAATCAGACATTCAAAAGTCTCCTCAGTAACCAAACACATCAACAAATCCAAAATACTAGGATCCATTGTCAAAAGAGTGTGATAAACCGGCTTAACAAGCGCCAAAGTATAACGCGATATAAGAAACGGCTGTCCATCAACAACATGCATAGCGAAGGTCACTATACCCACGCCGAGAATGAGTGCAGTAACCAAATCCTGCTCTTTACATATCTGCAACGACCGCAGTCCCGAAACAGCCAGTGCAGCTCGTCGATACCCGACTTCGACGCTTGTTTTCGTGTACTGCGCATATTGGGCGCCAAGGAGTACTGCGGCACAGGCGACTGTGGCGTCTTTTAATATAGACGTAGGTGCTCGGAGAAGGTTCTGCACAAAGAAACGGTGGTGCGACTCGTGGAAGCTTGGTCCGATTAGGAATTTGTCTAGCGGGGATGGTGCGCCCGGGTCTTTCATAAGATTTATGAAGTATCTCTCCCACTTGTCTAGTTCTGGGAATAGGGCTGGGTTGCTAAATAGGCCTTCGTCGAATGGGAGGTAGACATAGGGATAGGGCTTGTTGTTTTGGGATGAAGATAGGTCGAGTTTCTTTGTGTTACAGGTGGCCAAGCTGAATTTGGAGGTTGGAAGATTATAGGATAGTTTTCTTGCGATATGTGGTTTTCGTCCGAGTTTTGCAAGGTTTCGCGTTGTTTTGCAGGTTTGGCTTAGTCTATCACATCGCTCGCATGACGTTGTTGCACTCGATCGTCGGCATTTTTCTTTCAATGTGTGACATTGATCACAGGCTCGTTTTGGAGCGGGTAGGGACATATTGGGTTGAAGCTGTTCAGCTCAATGAATTCGGTAAGGTATGTATATATATCAATTCCACACACACACACTAATTTCAGGCATTACCGTCATGAGGTTTGTAAGAGAGGAATTCTCAATATCTCCCAAGCATAAATGTCCCTAAATGTCCCTAAATGCCCCAGATGATAAGGTCGGGTGGACTTGACTATTCGGCACAAGCGCCATCTTGTGCGGGGATACCCCTACAACCTTGGAACAACCACGGGTAGCCGCTTTAGCGTGTGATCACTCTAAATTCCAGTTTCCTGTCTATCTCTAATTCCATAGTTCATGTTCAACATTCATAATTCTGCAACGCCTGATGCACATTTTGAAACTCGATCTCTTTGCAAATCCCCGGCAAGTAGCGCCATCTAATAAAAGTCAAATGCATAACTAGTCCACTCGTTGACCATGCCCATCTGTGTCAATCGCGTCATGTTGCGGCCCATAGCAACAATTGAGATCGCAAGGCCAAACAACTGATTATAACGTTTCCAGTGAGGCATCATCATTTGGGCGTTGGCGAACGAGGATCGTCCAAATCGGAAACCCCAGAGGATATTCTCCGCCAAAGTGAACATCCAAAATATCATCTGGCATACATAGCTCGCCGTGAGGATCTTCATTGCAGATCCAATGAGCGCGGGTTTGTGAGTTAGAGCAATGATCATAGCGCCGATGCCTAGAAGTAGAAGGAGGAGGAGGTTGGTAGTGAAGTAGATAGGGAGTCGAAATTGAGCAGAAGACCAATGTTTTCGGACCTCAAACAGCGCATCATTTTCTTGAGTAAGATTGACGGTCACCATGCATAGGGTGGGCCCGAGGAGAAGAAACAGATTTTGAACGCCATAGGCTCCAAATCTATCGGTATCTTCTGAGGAATACACTCGTGCCCCTAGTCCTATCGCTTGAACTATTAAGATGTCAGGGGGAAGATATTTTAAAATCAGATCTGGTTGTTCCTTACCCAGGGCTCCCATCAACATATAACTACCATCCCATGCGTTAAAGCGCCATACACGGAGAGCATGGCTTGCAAAGAGGGCGCAATATATACCCACTCCAACCACCGCCAGAATCAAACTTGGCGTATAGGCATAGTACGAAGTCGAAGACATCCTGCTAGGAAAATCGTATAAAAGACAAAGACAAAACTTGCTCTTAGGGGAATAAGTGAGTAGTAATGGAACCAAGCATTGAAACTTCCAGAACCCCCATGGCATTTATAGCTGGACCTTAGTTCGGGTCTGGAAAGACAGTCTCTATACACAACAATGGATCACTAATCCAATGTATTTCAGATGCGATCCAAAATAGAGCTTTTATAGCAGCCTAGTGACCCTTGGGAATATCTTGTTTCTACGACATACTCCATAAAAGGTCTCGGTTTTCAGGCAGGGCAATTGAACAAGACTTCGGCTCGGGTTCGGGTTCGGATTCGGGTTCGGAAAGCTTAATCTACCTTATTTTCTACCTTGGTACTATTGCCACATTACTCAAGGCAGATACAATATAAATGAAACTGATACACGCTTAACTGTGATGGCGGGCTATCAAGCTATATATAGCTTATTTAATTATATTTTCTGTGAGGGAACGAGGAGGCAATATTGAGCCCACCAAGGTCTTGCAATATATTCTACTTCTTTTGCCATAATATTAAAAGACAACTAGTCCCCTAAAACGTGGTATAGCCGCCTCGTTTCAAACGGACTTTCGCTTTGTATATTGAGATCATAAAGCGGCAAGCTTTTCCAAAAAGCGATGCGCCGTTGAGCCGTCCGGCCGTCATATAATTTGGCACCATGGGACCTTTTCTCAGGCTTTTGTGTGTATTGCGAGTCGCACCAATGAAGAAAAGCCAAACTCGCTTTTGAAATTGGATATGGTAGGGGCATCATGTACCATGGGTTCGATAAGTTTGCCTCGGACCGGAGTTGCTTTGAAATATCACTGGCTAGGCCGAAGATGTGGGCAGTAGGTGGATGCAAAGCAGCCTGTTCAAGGTATGGTCTCAGTGAACTGGTTTAATTTTTGGGTTAACTGAGTAGAGGGCGGGATTACTAACCTGGTAAATAAAAGCTAACTAGAGATCATGCTCAGTTACCTTGGCCTTTATAAGTGCGTCGCTGGAATACGCAGGCTAGTATTGCCTGCTCCCAGTCGGCGTACCGCTCATCATCAGCCGTGAATAGAATAGCGATTTCTATCGATTGCCTTGTTCGTTCGCTTTGGCCGTCGCTACGGGGGTGTCATTCTGTTGTTAGTCGCAGCCGCGTTTGCAAACGACTGAAGATTGTTTGCCAGACTTCCCGCACTTGCGGTCCCTGTCGGATATGATGCTTGTCGGGATACCCCAGCCAGCTATCGACAAAAAGTCTAGCAGGCGTATTGCCCAAATTTCGGCTGTATCTGTGTCCTTTCCGGGTAGGAGGCCCGCTCTCTTTGACAGCTGGCATGTGACTGACATACATGCGTTGCTGCCTTTTGTAGAGACTGATAGGCCGACGATAAAGTCGATACAGATACATTGGAAAGGCAATGAAGCGACTTCTATCGGTATGAGCGATCCCCGTGGCTTATGACGAACTGTCTGGTTGGTGGTGCACTTTGGACAGTGGGCGATGGATAGCCGGACCTTCTTGGCTAGCCTCTGATGTAAAACTGATTGCGTATACGGCGGTATACGCGGTGAAATATATATATCGTAAGGTACTGAATGTCATCCTGGTTTTCCTAAAAGAAGTCGACTTCCTTGGTGACGGGGATTTTTCGTGTACTTCTGATTTCAGAGATAAGGGTAGCTGGCCAACCGTCTATTAGGACTTTTGAAGATAATATTAGGGACGTTATATATAATTGGGGTGTTACCTACTGTGACGACCCAGGTCTTCAAGCAAAGTGAGAGTACCCGATTCAAAATACTAAAGGAGGGGAAAGAAAGGAAGCAAGAGAAGCAAGATCTAGCGAGCTATAGATATAGCCAGATCTATGCAAACCCCAACCTTCTCGCTAAGCGAGGCAAATAAAAAAAGCAAGCAAACAAAGAAATTAAGGAAACTAATCTAACATGTGATCAAGTATGTGATAACTAGCAGATCGTGTCGTGACACCTATAACAAACAGTCTACCTTAGAAAGATTCACCCACCTCCACTCATTCTTACTAGTGCACAACTAGCGTAGTATTCTATATAGTATTTTTATAAATGATATATATTTTTTTTTTTAAAAAAAAACGGGGCTCATTGCACTCCTAAATTCTAATTCCTAACTCTTAACTCTCAATTTCTTAGTTACTATCTTACTATCTTAGTATGTAACGTTAGTAGGTCCCCTATTAGCAGCAATCACTGTATCAATCAGATTAGATAGGAATTCCCCTGCTATAGTATCCTAGGCCTCCTAGACCATACCACGAAGCTTCGATAAAGGAAAGTGCTAATCCCTATACTTCAAGGAAATCAAAAGTCTCTTTAGTAGTATGCCTAGGAGTATTATCGTATATAACAATCGGACCTTACTCCCTTTTTAGACGGAAGGAGCCTTCTATCATAGTATGTATAATATAGGATTTACTATATATATAGGGACTTCTAAAGTAAATTGAATCTAAATTGAATCTGAATTGAATCTGAATTGAATCTGAATTGAATCTGAATTGAATCTGAATTGAATTGTATTATAGTGTATTGTAGAGAGGGTAGTTAAAGAAGGAACAATTCGAAATCATCGCGATCCCATCCATTAGTCCGACGCTATTAGCAAGCATGTAACTTCATATCCCGTATCAATCAATGTGTTGGTCACGAGGTATCAGACACTATCCGCTGGGCAAAAGCAGGGACGAAATCTCAACCGCCGCTTTAGTGGAATTCTTCACAAATCATCTGCAGTATCCGTTGCGTAATGACGACGTCTGCTTGTCCAGCTGGTCGGTCTTCCCGCATAAGCTGCTCGTAGTTCAGGCTGATATCTAGACTCGAACCCTTGACCAGTGTGACTTCACCCTTTGTGACTCGCAGCGCCTGCGTAACCGATAGTAGTGCTTCACCCGGCTTGAACTGTGTAGGATGGTCTGGGTCAAGAGTTGTGCTCTGGCGTGTAGGTAGGCCTGGTCGAGGACTGTAAGGAGCTGACCATAGTTCGATATCTACCCAAAAAGGGTTCTTATGGATCTTGAATAGCAAAATCAATCGAGTGGTTTTGTTAGAATTTTCGAACCACCATTCGGCATCCATTCGGAGAGAACGGTGCGATTGAGACATCCCGACTTCAACGACAAGAGATGGCCAAGTGGAAAGAGACTGGAATGGGACTATACTAAAATCCGGTTCCTTTTCGCAGTAGATCCCCTTTCTCTGTGCGGCGGCAGTCCCTCTCCAGCGATTACCACTGCGTGGTAAACCTACGGCGGTCATTGCTTCCGCGAATAAAAGAGAAAAATCGCCAACGACGCCTTCGTATAGTAGGCTAGGCATGATCCTTAGTAGGATGTTATAATCGTCGAAAGTAAGTCGTACTCCGCCGATCCTGTTGTTTAGAAGGTAGGTACGTAGGGTATCGTCCGGGTTGACGATCAAAAGATATTGAGTTGTCTCCGGATTCGTATCAATCTTCCTTGCGATCTCCTCAATCTTCCTGACTGTTTGCTGCTTTGTTGGGCGAGTCAAACGCTCAGTATCATCAGGAATATAGAAGTCTGATTCTGAGTATTGAAGATCCATGCGGGAATCAGGTTCGTGGAAACAATCAGGTTCGAGGAAACCACGAGGTGGTTCGGATGTTGGCATCGCACCTTCTTTCTCATCTTCCTTCCCGCCTTCATTCTCATAGTAAGGTATTCCAGTATCCCCCATCGCCATGTTGGATGAGTCACGGCAACACAATATGTAGATTCAGGATGAGAAGATTGTGAGGTTGTGTAGGGAGTTGGCAAGACAATATGTAGATTCAGGATAAGAAGATTGTGAGGTTGTGTAGGGAGTTTGAGTTACAAGAGTAGTCGTGTTCAAATGATGACGCTATGTTTCACCGCTTTGGCATAGTCGAGGAATTGGGAAACTCGGATGTCTATTCGTGTTCATTAGTAAAGCGTCTATCGCGTCCCACGGGTGGAGATATCGTCTATTACCTACCATGTGAGATACGAATGACAAGGAAGGGAGAATGAAAGGTGAGAATGATTCCGGCTAATAAGCCTCAGGCACCCTTGGGAAAATCCGTTATTAACCAGCGGAATAACGGCCACAAGAGGCTGGTGGGATGGAAGGGGGAGCAGGAAAGAGAAAGAGGGAAGAAGAGGAAGAGGAAAAGATATCAAGGGTGAATAAGTCCCCTTGAAAGAGAGTAACCCCCTATGACAGCACAAAATCTGTCCCAAGGTTGGTGTTGTCCAATGCATCCTCAATGTATAGATGCATGAAGATTCAAATTGCTATGTCGTCTCGTTGGCTAGGTGGTGCATGAAGCGGTGTGCATTGATTTACAGGCAAACTTGAATCTCACCCCTTGTGTCATTGATTCTGACGTATTAAGCGAGGTTGGTCCATTAGTGTTTCGATATTTGAGATAGATCATTGGACATAACATACGGAGTACGTGTTAATCACACTCTCGTTATTTCGGTCTATCTAAGACATGTTAACACCGGCACTACTCCGTACCTTTCCCACAGCCAATATCAGCTTGAGATACATCACGATCAGTTACTCTCTTTCCATACCTATCGTTTCGCTATTCCTACATAATTCAGATGGCTGGACCCTACTCTCCTAATGTGATGGATCACACAGCTGCATCGGCCTCATCTTAGCTGCAGATCTGCATGCGCCCGAAATCGGAATTCACTGCCATCATCGAGTTTCCAGCCACAAGATCCAATAAAGGGCAATGCAAGTGTGATTTTAATTATGGCCATAGACCCCACCAGAAGGCTCCTGCGTGCGAGGTTATTGCATTATATATACCGGATATTTCCATTTTACCCATGAAGGTGGAGATTGGAGGTTCAGCAGTCCATCATGATATGGGATCATTATAATGGCAAGACTCTGTTCATCACCGGGGGCACAGGCTTTATTGGAACTGCGCTTCTGTGTCGACTTTTGAGCCAGTCGTCCCCGAAACGAGTATACGTGCTATGTCGGGGTGGTTCCGAGTAAGTGATCAAAATACGAATCAAAACAACACTTCCCAGGGTTACTGACTTGAATTACCAGCAAAGCAAAGGCAAAATGGTCCGATATACTTCCTCCCTCTGCGGCACAGATCCTCACCCAAAACGAGCGGATAACTATCCTCGACGGCGAAATGGGAAATACCGCGACAATGAGTTTATCAGAAGAGACACTACAGATGCTGAAACGGACAGTACACATTGTCTTCCACGCCGCATCATCAGCTCAACTACACAATTCTCTGCGAGAGTTAGCATATACTGTGCTGGCACCAAGCATATGTCTCACACAATACGCCCTAAAATTCCCCAACCTTGAGCGCTTTGTATTTTTGTCTACTGCATATGCCAACGCCCATCTATGGAAATCCCACGAATCGCCCGACGTATCAGTTGACGAGAGAATATATCCCCTCGGCAGGGAAGAGGAAGATTACTACAAGATTGCACTCGAAGCATGGAGCGCAGTACAAAAGACCGGTTCATCGGACGAATACGACGCCCATGATTTCCCATGGCCATACGCATACGCCAACCATCTCGCCGAACGACTAGTCTTTCAGAAGGCAGCCGAGCGCAACAAAATGGACAAAGTCCTAATCATCAGACCCTCTGTCCTCGGACCAGCCGATAAATTCCCATACCCCGGTTTCGCGACATCACACGGAGCCCCATCGACAGCCTGTGCAGCAGAGTTCATGTTACATCCAGGTCGGCGAATCAAGCTCTCAACGCGGTATAAAAATCCAAACCAAGAATCCACGATCGACGAAGTCCCGGTTGATGTCGTGGTGGATCGAACACTGGTCCATGTAGCGCTGGGGACGAGTGGATGCGTCCATGCAGTTAGTGGGGAGCAGGGCCGGTTATCGACTGAGGAATGGTGGCGGACGTTCAAGAAGGAGAGACGGCTGCCATGGAATGCGAAGCCCACTTGGATATCTGATGACTGGCATTCTCCCCATATCCATCATGCGGCTCGGCGGTTCAAGATTATTGGGACTTCATTTGCATTCTCGCAGGAACGCACTGTTAGGGCTGCAGAGAAGCTGGGCGATAAGGAGAAGGAGAATCTTCAGTTGTTTGCCGATCGGTCGAAGCCTTACTCTCTGCATTTGAGGCGACATCATATTCGTCTTCAGGCCATTGAGGTAGCTAAAAAGAAGAAGTGGCCTCTTTGCTTTGCTAGGCTGCTTTGTCGGAAGGGAAAGCCTGTGGCGCAACTAAATAAGAATGTAAAGGCATGAATGCGAAAGTGCATATAGAATGCAAATCTATTTCTTGTAATAGATCATATGTTTTGTCAAATAACATTGATCCCGATCCCTCGAGAGCAGCCCCTCGTATATACTAGATCTAACCCTGGAACCCACGCCCTGCGCACGGACCAACTCGATCGGCCGCGGGGAAAAAGAAATTCTTCTCCGCCACCAAATCACAGGCCTAACCAACTCATCATGGCACCGACGGCATGTTTCGATTGCAAAGAGGCGCGAGCCGTCATAATACGACCTAAGAACAGGCACAAACTCTGCCGTGCCTGTTTCATCAAAATTTTCGAAACGGAAGTACACGAAACCATCATTGGCACCAACCTCTTCTTCCCCGGCGAGCGAGTAGCGATCGGAGCCAGCGGCGGCAAAGATAGCACAGTACTAGCAGCCGTACTGAAAACCCTCAACGAGCGATATAACTACGGGCTGGATCTATGCCTACTCTCCATCGACGAGGGCATCCGCGGTTATCGCGATGACAGTCTGGAAACCGTGAAGCGCAACGCTGTGCAATACGAGATGCCACTTGATATTCTGGGATACAGCGAGCTTTATGGGTGGACGATGGATCAGGTTGTGGAACAAGTGGGCAAAAAAGGAAACTGCACGTACTGTGGTGTGTTCCGACGACAGGCGCTCGATCGAGGCGCCGCCCGCTTGGACATCAAGCATGTTGTCACGGGCCACAATGCGGATGATGTTGCAGAGACTGTTATGATGAATCTCCTGCGTGGTGATCTGCCCCGTCTGTCGCGCGGTACTAGTATCGTCACTAGCTCCGACGCTTCGGATATCAAGCGCAGCAAGCCTCTCAAGTACGCTTATGAGAAGGAGATCGTTCTCTACGCTCACCACCGTCAGCTCGACTACTTCACTACTGAATGTATCTACTCGCCTGAGGCATTCCGCGGTAGTGCTCGCACCCTGATCAAGGATCTGGAGAAGATTCGTCCCAGTTCGATCCTCGATATTGTCAAGAGTGGCGAGGACATGGCCGCGCTTGTACCGGTGGAAGTCCGGGGTTCCGGTAAATCGAAGCAGGATGGCGCAGAAGAGGAATCGGCTGGTGGCTGTGGTAGTCAGAATGGACGAACCATTGGAGGTGAGATGGCTGCAATGGAGAAGCAGCTCACTGCGAACGACGCGGCTGAGTCGCTCGAAACTGAAATCAAGCTTCCTAACGGTGCACGCGTGAAGCCGAACCGGGGCCCGACGGGTAAGGCTGTCAAGGTACAGACTATCAAACACTGCGAGCGCTGTAACTACATTTCCAGTCAGCGGATTTGCAAAGCGTGCACGCTGCTAGACGGTCTGAACCGGAACCGACCCAAGACTGCGATCGAAGTTGGGGTTGGCATGGAAGACGAAGAAAGCAGTTCGACTTTGATGAGACAGATGGAGCGTGCCCAGCTCAGTGCCACCTGAAGAGTCAACCAGGGAAGCACGTCTATTCAAAAGCCCAACTTTCAGCGTCAGCGTCCTCACAGGTCCGGGACATTTCCTCCATGACCCTTTTGCTAGGCCGTCGCCTCTGCAACGCAACCACACCCAGTGTCAACATCAGGTGTCCATTCTCGGTGCCCCCAAACACTGTGCGGCAACCCATGTATGTGGTTTGCAATGGACAAATTATCAGATCCAAGTATCTGAACATCAGATACCCAAATTTACGACTGGAATGTCAATCCAAATGCCCGTCTATACAAAGTTAATGCATAGCACAAAGAAAGTCAAAAAGAAAAACAAGCTCATGGTACTTGACAATGCTCTCTATTTTATTTTATACATAAAAAACCGTAGTATACAAAATCCTGAATCAACAATAACAACGCCATTCCATGGAATACATGCTTCCCAGCAAAATCACACCTTCACAGACAACATCCAAGCCAAGCACAGTCCGACTGTCCCATGGAATCAGAATTCAAATCATCCATCGACTATATCCACAATCGACAGTCCACAGACAGAACAAGACAAACCAAGAAAAGCAAAGCAAAGCAAAGCCAACAGCCCTACTCAGCCCAGCCCAGCTAGACCACAGCAGCTTGGAACATGACAATTCCTCCAATAAACCGAACTGAACTACTCCTTCCCCTCAGGAACATGCAACTCAGGCAAATCAAATCCAACCCGTCTCGCCGTCAGACGAATCTTCTCCTCTTCATCCATACTCATACCCGGGTTATAGCGCTCAAGGAGATCAGAGTAGACACGCTGGGCGCGGGCATACTGAGCGAACTGGTCGGCTTCTTGGACGCGGAGGGTTCGTTCCTCGTCTGTTTTAGGGGTTGAGAAGGGTAGAGCGTTGGATTGTGACGATGTCGCTGGTGATGAGCGGAAGATTGCGCGCAGGTGTTGGTGGATTGGGGAGGGTGTTTTGAGGTGGCGGCGTGGGAGTTCGCGGAGGAGGGCGCGGTAGGTTGTGCGCGCTTGGATTGTTGTGGACATTTTGAGGAAGGAGGATGTAGGGGGTTGTGGTTGGTTTTATGGGTTTGGTTTGGTGGTTTTGAGACCCTTATGCACCGGGGGTTTGGAGGTGAGATTGTCTTTGATCTTGGAGATGGTCGGAGGTTGACATAGCCGGGTGGATAAGTAATTCACGTGATTTGAAATGTATCCTATTTAGTGCTACAAAATACTAGTTTCAGTGTTAGTTAGCTCGGACCTTGATTATTATTCGATATTGTTTGTTATGTGGCTACCATTTTATTGGATAGATGAAGAATAGGAAGAGATATATCCATAAAGTTGTCAATATATACCGGGGTAGAAAACTCCTATCTGCAAGACGGTCAATGACCATCACTACCCACTTCATCACGCATATGTACAAAATGTCGTAACGGAGCTTTTTTTTTTAAAAAAAAGATGCATCACCATTACAAGCGTCATACCGACCCCCGCGGGGGAACCGGGTTCATAACGAAAAGCAGGCAAAAGACAACAACAGTATTTATCAATCATATAGGGGCGTGGCGACATGAGAAAGGAAGAGGAAAGGAGGGGGAAGGTAGGGGCGAGGAGGGTAGTGACGGTTAGGTATGAAGGTAGGAGGAAAGGTGTTGGATGAAATGGTTGTGTAGGAGAGAAACCTCAATTCGTGTTGAGGCTGGTGGGGATGAGTGTCCAGGGTTGCCAGACGTGTAATCAAATGAAGCGACAGGGTTTAAGAGCGCAACCAGCCGAACTTCCTTCGTCCCTCGGCTCCCGTGGACGGTTCGACGTGCAAGCTACGAGCATACAAGTCCTAGATAACGTTAGTGAGGAGAAACAATGATTGACGATAATAAAGATCATACCTCTTCGTCTCCAGAGAGCTTCGAGTCCAGGATCAGTCTCTCGACATCGTCGAATTTTTGAGCCTGCGGATGAGGGCTCTTTTGGCTTCGCTGAATTCCGAGAACAACCTCACCCATGACCTCGAATTTCTTCCAATTGATGCGAGATTTGTTCTCGCCGACAAATGTCTTGTTACCTTCTTCGGCAGAGACAAGGTCGCGACGGTGGAGAGGTAGGAATGGGATTCGCTCTGAGAACGAATTCTCCCAAGCAAGGCGGTAGGCAAAGTGGCTTCGTTGGGTGCTCATGAGGATGACCAAACGCATGAACTCTTTCTGAGCTGGGATGGGGATCAGGTCTCGAGTTTGTGTGAGGCGGTGGACAGGGGTGCCGTTGATGGCAGCGATTACAGCACCCAAGGAGTTGTAGTTGTTTTGGCGTCGGAGTTTCTGAGAGGTGTTAGTTGCTGCTGACCTTGTAGTAGCTGGATTGAGAAAACCTACCACTGCGATGTTCATGAACTTCTCCAGCGCCTGCGCTCTATGCTTAGGCTTATCGCGTAAGAGAATCAGGCTGGCCACGAAGAAGGCCAGATGATTGAATTGCTTGATCATCCGATTGACATTCGTCAAGCTCTGGATCTTATCCTTGTCAATGCCTGAGATGCTGACATGACGCACAAGATCACGCGGCCGGAATGAGTTGTACATGACCCAGTCAACACGCGTCAGTTCTCGTGCGAACTCCTCTTCCGGCGTATCCATGAAGATCCGCCACTGGAGTTTGCCAAGTGAAGTCTTATGTGTTAATTCAAGACGCAAAGCCTCTTTTTGGGCTGCGTCCAGGCTCAGCAATGTGAATGACTGGCTGGTAATGCCGTTCGGTTTGTCGGGATTCGAGGAGACTGAAAGAGTGCCTGAGAGTCGTGATGTTGAGTCATGCGGTCCACTACTGAGATCCAGTGCACTCATACTATATATGGGGTCTTGTTCTTCTTCGGTGTCGTAAGTGTTCGTGCCAGAGGCAGAGCCAGTGAGACCCGCGGCTGGAGAACTTCGGCCGGAGTTGTCGAAGAATGTCTCAACCATTTCGGACTCCTCGAGATCACTGTCGCCCCCATATGCCCAGCCGATATCATCGTCTTGTGCATTGGAATCTAATTGCGACCCGATCTCCTTCGCAGCAAACATGTAGAAATGGCTCTTTTCGAGTATAGCGACAAATTCAATGATCCGTTTGTGAAGGTTGGGGTGAGCGAAATCTCCAGGGTAGTCCGACGCCCATTGCGCCATAACATCGAGTAATCGCAGCTGATCCGCCATGCGGGCCAGCTGGTCCTCGTTACCCATCTCATTTCGCTCGAATCGGCTTATCAAGGCATTTAAGAGACTTGCGGGAGCGGCAAACTTTCGGTACAGGCAGAGAAATGTAGAACGGAACTTTTGGTCTTGTTTCGACATCGGCAAGGAAATCAAACGATCGACTAGCTCATCGAAGGATAGACCTGTCTCTGCACTCGAGTTGCTCTCACTGCTCGGCTTTGCCCGCACAACTGCGCCAGGGCTCGTGGGCCGGCTCTGATCATCGTCTGCCTCGTCATCCATATTTAAGAAACTGTTGAAAGCGTCTGATCCACCACTGTGTCGCCAGGCGTTATGCAATCGTTGCTGACGGTTATCGTGATTGGGAGAGTTTTGTTCTTGTGCCGACGGTATGTGGGTATTTAAACACGCTCCGGATGGCGGAGTTTGCGGTCGCACCGGTTGCAAGTTACTGGGGGCATAACGGTGGGAATTGGACGTATGCTGCAGGTGGTTTCCATCGGTTGGGAGACGGTCCTCACCATCCCCATCGACACATTGATCTGAGGCCGTTTGTGGGCCGCCAGCGGCTGTGAACACGGCTGAGGGGTTTTCGGAGTTGGCACGGGTATGGTGCCAATCGTGGGTAGTTTTGATTTTCGTCGGTGAATCCAGAGGAATATTAGGATTATTAGAGAGATCTAATGAAGAAGAGGGGTTAGAAGGGGGAAAAGCAAAAAAGACTGAGAGGTTCTATGGGGAACGACAAAGTAGCGAACGCTCCTACCGCGACCCACCTTGGCCCGCTTCCACTTGGGGGGGTCAAGGCACATTTCCAACTTCGATGGGTTTGGTTTGTCCGAGAACAGAAGAGAGAAAAAGGAAAAGGGAAATTTTTGTTTACCTTCTCGAGTAGAAATCACTGCCCCCAAAACCAACGCTATACACATGCGTTGAGATCGAGGCGACGAAAACGACGTTCGATAGATCTCATATCGATCATGGATCGCATCCACTTCACTGTCTTCCAAAGGTTCAGGGTTGACATCGCACTTGCAGGCAACCTGCAGGAAAGGAAGATCCGAGGCAGCCAATGAGTCTAAATTCCCGGGAAAATCAGCCCCCCATATATACCAGGTACTATCCCGTGGTTGAACCTACCAATAAGATTCGTTGTTAAAGCAAGTCGATCCGGTTTGGTGGCATCATGTAAAACCAGAACTCCGTCAATGACTGGCGTGGATTTATCGTGCCCTGTACGAGGCCAGATGATCTTCTTGTCCTGGTCGAACCGAATCTGGGTCAGGTCGACTTCCATCAGATGCACAATATAGACCGATCCGTTCAATGACATTTTCTTCTTGTTCATGGGCGAGGCAGGCGGGCTCTTCATATCGAGGGCACATTTGACGAAGCTAGACTTGCCGGCATTTTCTTCGCCGGCTACTGCAATGGTCACTTCGGGGAAGCCAGTCTTGGTGGATTCCTATAGAAGGGGGGAAAAGGAGCCGTCAGTAATTGAAGCTCTCTGTACACCGTAACCATGAACCATTCATCGCCCTAGATCAATTCAAGACGTACCTCCTCCTGTTGACTGAATCGTGTGCGCTTGATCGCCTCGTCCGTAATTGGCGTCCCTTCATCTTCCTCCAGCAATGTGTGTTTGACCTGCGTTCCCGTTCCTGGCTTCCGCGCCACATCGAGTTTATAAAGGCCCCCGCAGGGGCTGAAGCGGTTCGACTTCCCATGCCTGGTCGTTGTGAAGCCGTTGCAGTCATTGCTTGAGCTTTATCGCTGTAAGCTCTCTCTCGGCGAGATTGCGGCGAGATCATGACGGAAGCGGTCGGGACTTGCTGAGGCCACGGAATGGCCCGGTGTGACAGCGCTCTGATTACTGTGTAAGTTCAGAGAACGAGCAGTGCAGCGCATCCATTGTTAGAACAGATCAAGTTCGGTCGAGCAGCGAGGCAGCCATCCGAAATGTGGTTATCAAAATTGGCGCGGAGTTGACTTGAAAACTACCCTAATTAGCCGGAGCTGCGTCGGATATCTGTGTCTTGGCGTAACGGGGGAGAGAAATGATAAAGCAAACAGAAAATATGAACAGATCACAAAGATTGGAGAATATATTGGGGAATATGAAATATGAAACTGCTTTAAGATCATCCCATTTTTATTATTATTTTTATTATGAGATTCTCACGTTTCATTGGAAGCCTAAAAGATCTGAAAGCGGCTCAGCTGAACTCGACACATGGGAATATCCCAAGGTCTCAAGATGAGTGGCCACTAGAACCGAGGCTGGGTCTTAAGACGAGTTGCTTAGTCGATAGATCTACAGTGTTGCATTATGTCCTGACAAGTTGGTATTTGTTAGTTGACTAGAGCTGCAGTAGCTACCTTGACTATGCCGTGTCATCTCGGAGCTGTTTGTTTTTGAAGTACTCCGTACTTCGTATAAATTACCTACTACGTAGGTAGGTACTCTACAGAGTACAGAGTACTCTATCCTCATCATCTAATGTCTCATGATCCATGTGACTAGTCACAAGCATGCAGACTCCGAGTTTTCAGTACTTTGGTACTTTTTTCCACCGAAATTTTGGTCTTCGGAGTTCTGGGCCGTTAGCATATATGCTCCGCTTTCTTGGGGGCGCTAAAAGCGCCGCTAATCTGACACTATGTAGGACTTCGGCTCGCATGCTAACGTACGATGTATTCGTATGTGCGATATTGCACTTGATGGGCCTGAACACCCTAGGGTGCTCATCGCTTTGATCTACCCGTGGATTAGCAAATGCGCTTGTTAGTAGACCAAGGAACCGAGGGTAGCATGGAATAATGAATCATATATAAGACTAAGGAGGCCCGTATTCATGAGTTGCATGAGGCTGAATATTGGCTGAAGCTCTCGGATCTGACAGCAACTCTATTGGAACAGCCAAGGTAGATCAAAAAAACCCCCACCATCTCGTAGCATCTGCGTGTCTCACTTACACGGACTCAGCATATAAATATGGTGCAATCAAGGTATATGTGCCGATGGTCCAACTGGTACGTTGCTTTTCACCAGGAAAATATAGGTGACTCAGGCTGAGTCTGGGCTGCTTCCCTTGACAAGCGCCATAAACCGCATGAACGCCTCGGCGGTCTGGCCAGTCTCCGTCCCTTCCTCACAATCCTGCCTTAGCTTGCGGACTCTGCCCAGGCCGCGGTTGAAGCCTTTCTCGGACGTCCATGGGCCACGGCTACGAGGAGTGAACCCTCCACGGCCTCGCCCGCGGCCACGTCCACGTCCACGTGCAGGGGCTGTGTATGATTCCTCCCATTCTTCTTCCAGCGTTGACTGGAACATATCTTGTAGCTGACTGCGGAGTTCGGGGTGCTGGTTGAGAAGCTCTTTCATCTCCGCTGATGCCGCCACTGCTGCAGGGGTCATCACGGGGGCGCTGGTGCCAGTTGGCTCTGCAGGTTCAGGATCGTTGATATCGTTCTCGGGTGTGGGATCAACATCGGGCGCTGGAGTGTTACTCGATTCCTCATTCGGTGGTGGTTTCGGAGTACAATATATCTTATGCGACTGAGTGCATGCAAGTGAGCAGCTAAATCGATAACTCTTAGCGACTGGTCTACGTATGGATAGGGATGGAATCATAATCATGGCAGTACCTCATCAGTCCACATGTGGGACAGCGATATTTTGAGGGCTCTAAAGAGCAAACCTCACAGGAACCAGGCATTCTTGTTGATTTCCCAATGAATCCATCAGCTGCACAGTGATCAAACTTGCTCCCTCATTTTTCACTGGTCCACGTCCTGCTGGGAGGATAAGGCTAAGCTACCCGATTTGCATGATTTGCACAAAAAAAATTCTAAGAAGCTCGGGTCATCTTTTATGCCTCAGGCATCAAATATGTCGAGGCACACACATAACAAGAAACTCCATAAATATGTGACGTGCTGTATATTTAGATCAAAAGGCTACACAATATATGCGAAGCGCGCAAAGGGGATGTCGGATTTTTCCCCGAGACCTAGTTGGAGCCTGACCATCCACGTCCAACCTTGGGAAAGCCAACCCCTGTCTAGTGTGACGAAACAAAGCCAGAATGCACAGGATACATCAGGAGCCGGCCACGTTTGCACGGGATACGCAGGGGATCGTGTCTTCACCCACTACAGAGTACTCGGGGAATGAAAGCATGACATTCGTATGATAGCCACGATAACACTTGTAGGGATACCAACCCGGGCTATACTAGGTGGATCTTAGTCTTACTTTATTCGATACTAGTCCTAGGTACGACTATAGTTTGTTACAAATTGCTAGTTAGTTATCTTTTAGTAAGAATCTGAGGAAATGTGAGGCTTTACCCATGTGCCCCTAGAAGGTCCTACATTACATGGCAGGTGCGTTCCTACGTGACAAAGGAGTCTGGGAAGCGCAAGAACGTGACATGTTCTTTCTAGAAACACAGACCAAAAGTAGCTGGCTCCCGGAAAAGTAACTTCTCCTCATCAACATCCCTCTTCTTCTTCTCTCGAAGAGTAAACCCAACTCGTCCGTCGTCCTTTTTTTTTTTGCCCCTCAAAAGCCCTCCAAACCATGGCCGACGCTGGTCCTCCTCCCCCTCCCGACAACCGAGTAAGTGCAGATTCTCTGCTCATCCTAATTCTGAAATCCGATGACCACGATGCTCCCAACGCCTAGCACTCATACAGGCACACACTGACATATTATGTAGTCCTACTGCTCGCAGTGCCGCCATTACGGCCATAGCGATGTCGATTGCAATTGGCTAATGAGGATGGCGGTCATGATCCGCCATGTGACGGCGGCACCTCCTCCAGTAAGATCATGCCTTAGTATCCTTCAAAGGGACTATGTTGACTTGGAGGGTCGCTGACATAGAACAAGCGGAAGGCCCACCGGGCCGGCAAGGGTATGTTCTATTGTTTCGCTAAATCGGATTATCATTCCATGATACAAGCAGTCCATCTCTTGCTGTTGCCTCGTGCCTGTTGCTCTGCGCCTCGGCCCCGTTGCCGCCTACAGTGCCTTGAGACAGACAACTAACTCTTATATTAGGCCGACGCGGACGTGGCAACGGGGGTACGTATGATATTCCGATTCAATGTGAGCGAGCAAGTTCTGACCCACATCGTCTGCTTAGCCCGGAACAACGGTGGTAAGCCTTACCCCTCTCTATCCCTCTACCCGATTTCTGTGCCCCTGCTACGAGTGCTCTGGTGCTATATGAGTGCTCTGGTGCTGCGTATGCACCGGTGCCGCTTGTGTGCTGGCGGGGTTTATACGCAAAATATCCAGTCAGTTTTCATTCCTACAGGAACAGATATTAATCAATATAAATAGGTGCCCCGCCCCCCCGCCCCCACCGAACGCCCCCCCGGCCGCTGATGGTAAGCCTTGCCGTCTGCCTCTTTGCCCTATTGCTGTGCTCCTACTCCGTGTGCTCTGTGGCTCCGTGTGCTGTGTGGCTCCGTGTGCTCTGCGGGTCCATGTGCTCTGCGGCTCCGTGTGCTCTGCGGCTCCATGTGCTCTGCGGCTCCGTGTGCTCTGTAGCTGCGTGTGTGCTGGCTGGGTTTATACGCAAAACATCGAGTCAGTTTTCATCCCTACAGGAACAGATATTAATCAATATAAATAGGTGTCCCGCCCCCCGCCCCCCCGGCCGCTGATGGTAAGTCTTGCCGTCTGTCTCTTTGCCCTATAGCTGTGTTCCTACTCCGTGTGCTCTGTTGCTTCGTGTGCCCTGGTGCTGCGTGTGTGCTGGCGGGGCTTATACGCAAAACATCGAGTCAGTTTTCATCCCTACAGGAACAAATATTAATCAATATGATAGAGCTCCCCCGGGCCGCCCCTGATGCCGCCCCCGCCCCTGGTGCTGCCCCCGGCCCTGGTGCCGCCCCCGCCCCTGGTGCTGCCCCCGGCCCTGGTGCCGCCCCCGCCCCTGGTGCCGCCCCCCGCTCCTGGTAAGCCTTACCTCTCTATCCCTCTACCCTGCCGCTATACCCATTATTCTATGTGCCCTATTACTCCGTGTGCTCTGCTACTACGCGTGTGCTGGCGGGGTTCATATGCAAACCATCCAGTCAGTGTTCATCCCTACAGGAACAGATATTAATCAATATAATAGAGCTCCCCCTAGCCGCCCCTAATGCCGCCCCCGCTGCTGGTAAGCCTTACCTCTCTATCCCTCTACCCTGCCGCTATACCACTTGCTCTGTGTGCTCTGTTGCTCCGCGTGCTCTACGGCTCCGTGTGCTCTGTGGCTCCGTGTGCCCTGTGGCTCCGTGTGCCCTGGTGCTGCGTGTGTGCTAGCGGGGTTTATACGCAAAACATCGAGTCAGTTTTCATCCCTACAGGAACAAATATTAATCAATATGATAGAGCTCTCCCGGGCCGCCCCTGATGCCGCCCCTGATGCCGCCCCCGCCCCTGGTGCTGCCCCCGGCCCTGGTGCCGCCCCCGCCCCTGGTGCCGCCCCCGCTCCTGGTAAGCCTTACCTCTCTATCCCTCTACCCTGCCGCTATACCACTTGCTCTGTGTGCTCTGTTGCTCCGCGTGCTCTACGGCTCCGTGTGCTCTGTGGCTCCGTGTGCCCTGTGGCTCCGTGTGCCATGGTGCTGCGTGTGTGCTAGCGGGGTTTATACGCAAAACATCGAGTCAGTTTTCATCCCTATAGGAACAAATATTAATCAATATGATAGAGCTCTCCCGGGCCGCCCCTGATGCCGCCCCCGCCCCTGGTGCTGCCCCCGCCCCTGGTGCTGCCCCCGCCCCTGGTGCCGCCCCCGGCCCTGGTGCTGCCCCCGCCCCTGGTGCCGCCCCCGCCCCTGGTGCCGCCCCCGCTCCTGGTAAGCCTTACCTCTCTATCCCTCTACCCTGCTGCTATACCACTTGCTCTGTGTGCTCTGTTGCTCCGCGTGCTCTACGGCTCCGTATGCTCTGTGGCTCCGTGTGCCCTGGTGCTGCGTGTGTGCTAGCGGGGTTTATACGCAAAACATCGAGTCAGTTTTCATCCCTATAGGAACAAATATTAATCAATATGATAGAGCTCTCCCGGGCCGCCCCTAATGCCGCCCCTGGTGCTGCCCCCGCCCCTGGTGCCGCCCCCGCCCCTGGTGCCGCCCCCGCTCCTGATGCCGCCCTCGCTCCTGATGCCGCCCCCGCCCCTGGTGCCGCCCCCGCTCCTGGTAAGCCTTACCTCTCTATCCCTCTACCCTGCCGCTATACCCCTTGCTCTGTGTGCTCTGTTGCTCCGCGTGCTCTGTTGCTGATGTTACTGGACAAATATGCTAATAGTCAGTTAGAGGGCAACGAGGATGCTGGCACCGCCCCCCTTAGGGGGGATTAAAAAGCCTTAACCCATTGGTCGCTCGTCGGAGCTTTTACTTTTATTCATTATATTTACATAGCGACGGGCTGCGGCCCTTTCTGAAACAACAAGAACTTTCGTGTGCCCTGCGGGGCCGTTTGAAATACTTCTTCTAATTGTAGAACGGAACGGTAGACAGGATCTAACAACAGAGCACTAACTGACAGAAATCAGGTGTAATGTGAGCGTACAGTGTAAATCACAAATGTGTAACATTGATACTTTTGCCGTGTTTCTTCCAGCTTACAATGGTCACCTCCGAACGGGACAAAGCTGTCAGACGAGAACGTCTATATGGCAACTAAATGCTCGTGTTTCTGCTAGTCTAGCTTGGGTTCTTCTAATTCAAATCGAGATACTCACTACGAGGTTTACGGCAACTTTGCTATTCCGCGATCTAGGTCAAACATTCCAGCCCCGTAACCGGTCCTAACCAAATCACCTACTTTCGTCGTCAGTGATGTGCGTCAAAGACGGTTGAGTCGTGCCTGGCAATAGCAGCCGATCAACACAGACAGTCATGCAAGATTGCCGCTGAGCTACAGGCCGAGAAGGAAGCACAAAAGCAACAGAAGGCTCGGATCGTAAACTTAATCCGGGAACTAACGACACCTCATTGGCGAGGCACCTCATGCATCATCCCAAGTCGAAGCCGTGGAAACCGGGAGAGAACTCTAAATGCAACGCGCGCAGTCATCCAGGCGATGCCAGACGTTCTAGGTGACGTCCGTTTTACATCGGGTCTCTTGGTCCATGACTAACGCATTAACGATTAGGCTGTCGTCAAGCTCACTCCGGAGGCCGAGGAGTGCTATTTTGGGACCAAGTCAAGCCGGAGGGACCGCTCCGGCGAGTTTTGGTTCCTTGGGATTTTGGACATTAGATTGCCTTTGGCCCGTTACAGGAAGGCACCTACTATGCCAAGCAAGCCCGACGTAACAGGTGGAGTGTGCAACGGTGCAGGCGGAAACAGAATCTGATTCATCATTGATTATGCCTCCTGTAAGGAACTCCCACCATAAGCTTCGACGACCCATCCTCCGACGAAAATTGCCATTGGTTGGCACGCATGGCGGTTATGATCCGCCATGTCACGGCGGCGCCATGACCTGCCTGAGGGTGTCGATTCGTGACTGGTCCGAAGGTGACCCGGCTTCCATGCAGCCCTTTGTGGTGGGCTGTTTACGCTGAAACCTATGATGGCCAGAATTGCCGACATTGCAACGGGCTACACAAGCCTTGTGAGACGGTATGTCATCGACACTGTCCCTTTTGCGTTTCGGTGGCGACCCGTGCTAATAACACTAGGTTCCTGAGGGCACCGAGGGAAACCGGTATGAGCTCCTGGCCTGCCTTTCATGGGCACGGCAGCTTTGGACCAATTCAGATGATTGATTCGGCGTGAACCCGGGTGATGTGGACGAGAAAGGTGATGATTGGGTCAGACTGGGATATGGCCCTCCCTAGGCCCTAAACAGAAACCTTGGTTTTTGTGGTGGCCTAGTGGAATAATGCCGTATTTTATTCCTTCAGATTGACTCCCTGCTGCCCCGTGGACTCGTTGATGATGTCGCGGCATATGTTCGACACTTAGTCGCGAGCTTTGACAACTTAGTGAAGTCACACCGTCGCGCTCATTCTCTTCCCGGCACACACGTGTCCCCGATGAGGCTCGTCCGCGATTCGACGGACCTCCTTATGTCGTATAAAGTCTGGGGTGAACCCCCCCCGGAGTTGTTGACATTCCCGAGGACCGATGGATGGCAATCTCTTTAAAGCCTGGCTGGGAGTCGCGTTTACCAAAACCCAAGATATACCCACTGGGCCCCAACGATCTTATGTTTTGTTCCAACTGACCATTCGTAGACTATAAAGGACCCGTACGCCCAGTAGGTTTCCGCTCGTACATCGAACGATACGTCGAGTGTTTGCAGCAGAGGGACGGCTATCTCAGGGCCAGCGAGAGGTTGCAGAACAAGTATAGCGAACTACAGTTCCAATAGCACACGGAGATCTACAACGAGCTAGATTCTAATGCGGCTGATTCTGCTCGGGAGAAAAAGGAGCTCGAGAAGGAAATCAAGCACCTACAGGAAGCAGGTGCCAACCTTTAATAAAGGAGAGCCGTTACACCAAAATGTCGAAAGAATGGAGGACAACAACCGAGTTCTGCTGGATCACAATGAAGAGCTTCTGCGGTATCGGGCATCGAACTCGGTGTCAGTTGGTGGTTCCAGAGGGTGGTTTCCAGATGCTGACTGGATTAATCTCCTCACTGTTTATTCTATTCGTTGCCAAACAGCGGGATTGTATTGCTCCAGTTGTGGATGGAGCGGCGTTCCTTCAGCCCAGAAGAAGGGAAATCTTATTCTCTCTTGAGACTCGGAACAGGGTGGACAACCTTGAGCGCCAGGTAGTGGATTTCCACACGGAGGCAGCGGACCTCACAGAGGAAGTTCGCACCTGGCCCCAGCAATAGCCCATTTACACTGTAATATGCTCATTCTCTTCTAGTATATCTATTTTCAGCAAGGATAAGGCTCTTATTTATTGAATCCTATAGTTCTGCTAAGCATAAGCGAAGCAAATAATACAGGCAACAAGTTAAGAATCTATGCAAAAATAATTCGTCTTTTATATTTGATATCCTGGCCTCTAATTGAATGGATGTGAGAGAAAATATATCCGCTTGCCTTGCGTCAGAAGGATGATATCATCCATCGTAGGAATAGGGTAAACATCACGCAGGACTTCCTTGTTTAGCGCGCGAAGGTCCACTACGGTACGACCCTTGCGATCAGGTTCGCGCCCTGGTTGTTGACCCGTACACCAGACGACAAAGACGGGAAAGCCGGTGGCCGTACGCCCAGTTGTATAACTCATTTTTCCTTGGTCATGCAAGGGTTGGAATGTGACGTCAATAGCAGCACGATCCTTCGGGCCGAGTGGGTAAATCTTGGACTTGGGAATGCAGTAGGACTACATCATATGTCAGTGTGTGTCCTAAGCGTGTATGAATATGTGCTAGGGTAGGGAGCATCAAGGAATGCCGTTGCATTTGGAGCTGACCAGGTCCATTGTACAGCTTACTTAGCGCCATGACGTAGAAAGCGGGGCCTTACATATGAAGGGTCTAGGAAATGGATCGGAACTGGCAACGGATATTGTGCCAGGAACGGTCGTTTTCCTACGTGAGAAATTGCAGCAAATCACGGATGACGCCACTTCAGATCCTCGTTCATATCGCTAGTCCGGTTCGCATCATCACATTGATATACCCTCAATGTGAAGTCTGTTGTGTCCAAATCGGCACGTCGAAGAGACACTTGTGTGAGGACGCTGGCTGCCCGAAAATGCTGGGGGCTGGACTGGTGGCTGATGTGCTACAGCACTTGTGCAGAATCACTGAGATTTCCGAGGGCTGATGACCTGATCGATGTAGCGGAAACAGATATGTATCAGTCACTGGGTGTGCAGAGACACAGGCTGTGTATATGATAAACAAGAAGCAATGACTGCATAAGATGCAGCGAGTTGTAGCGACAGTGAGGTGTCGACGATAACCTGAGTACGTCCAACATATGAGAAGGAGAAGCAACGCGAGATATTACTCATAACCTACATACCTAGGTACCTACATAGATAGGTAGATACCCAGGTACCTAGGTACCCAACCTACATAGGCAGGTACACCTGGACACCCATGGATGTATAGTAGTGACATAATAGTGAGCGGGTTACCTAGGTACCAACCTTGGAACCTACACCGCCGCCTATTCCTCCCGAGGCCTAATTCCATTCTTTTCATTTCTCCTTCAACCATCTCACTTATCTTCCTTCAAAATGACTGAATCAAGTCGACCTCATTCCTTTCTCAGGTCCCTCTTCCAAAGACTTAAAGACCTTGAGCCTGATTTCCCTTCCCCTGAAGACCTTCAGGGACTTGGAATCCAAACATTTGAAGTGCCCTTCGACCCGGACGAAGAAACTCTCAAATTTAACCCGTGCTTCTTTCGACCACACCCAGATAAACTCCTTGAAAAATATCCTATCCATCCTGAAGTGGACCAGGATTATCGTGAGAGTTATCTGAAGATACAACGTGCCCGCACCATACAGGAATACATCGATGATTCCCCAACGGAACATCAATATCCCCCACACACCGCTCCAATATTTGAGAATCTCACGTGGATGGACCGTGATCATTATGAGTTCCACAACATTGAGTACGAACAAGGCCAGGAGATAGAGAGTGTTATCGGTTCTCACCTGGACATGCAAAGACAAGGACCATCCGATTACTTCACGCTTGAACAACTTAGGAACCAAGAATATTGGAGGCAAGTGGACTACGAATCATTATATTTACACTGATATTTGGAACTAACAACTTATAGCTCGGCCTACAAAGCAGGCGATCCTTGGCCTTCGGAGGGCTATTTAGCAAAAAGAACATGGGGAGTGGTCAGTCCTTACCGATACACCGATCGCCCTCTCAAGCCTCACTCGCTTATGTCAAGTATTGCTCACATTCGTCCTACTGAGACATGTCGAGGAATCACTACACATGAGCTGAGAGCTATTGTGTGCACGATGCTCCTTCGAGTAAATCACAAACCTTTCCGTAGATGCCGCATCCATCCAGTAAGTGTCTCCACGTCGTGTTATAGTGTGATGGTATCTAAACCCTATATAGGTTTTGGTTTTCTCTTACATGGGCGATCAACAGGGGAGAATCATTCAGGCTTTGTATGATGGAAAGAAGATAATCTTGCAGTGCTCGCAACTATGGAACTTCGGGGACGAAGAAAAAGCTCCTGTGGAATTGTTCGTTCGGTATCGTTTGTCTGAGCCAGTCGGTGGTACGTACACATTGTCTATTAGATAAGATGATGTTTCATTGCTCCGTTGAATCGTAACTAGCGACTTGGCTACCTACATCAGAATGCTTCCAAAATGAAATTGATCCGTCTGTTCCATTATTCCAGAATTAGGAGTAGGATACTGTTGGCACACCAAACCCCTTTTTGCCACCCATCTTTCAATGCAAGTGCCATTTATTACGATATCACCATTGTAGAATCACAACCTCCGAACTACTTCTTACATACTGATTTCGGTGAGAGAAATAATCCATCATCTTTGTAGATGATAGGGTTGAAAACTCTTATTACTCCTGTATCATAAAAGAAGAGAATGCTACATAAGAAGGCAGAAAACCTCGCATTGAAATAGTTTCATTTGTATACAACAAGCTTCTGTCTTCACTATGCCTTATATCCATGAAAGAGTAAGCATGCGAATGAAGCTTAACCCTACGTCGGAAGATCTGAAGGGGTGTCAGTGTAAGAAACTCCCCTTCGCATCAGCTGTTATGTTTAGGGAGAGCTCCGAACATCTGCGCTTCATCAGCGGAACCATGGGCTTCCATACTACCGGGGATTTGAGCTTGAGTTGGCTTCACCCCGTATATGGGCTACTAGTCAACAGCGCCACGAAGAGGCCCAAGCTCGTTGCTGTTGGCGAGCACGCTGAAGTCTTTCAACGTCAGACAATGCTCATAAAAATAAATCGGCAGTCACCCATTGCAGGTGCGCACATCCTCTTGGCAGTCACCCATTAAAGGTGCGCACATCCTCTTGGCAGTCACCCATTAAAGGTGCGCACATCCTCTTGGCAGTCACCCATTGCAGGTGCGCACATCCTCTTGGCAGTCACCCATTGCAGGTGCGCACATCCTCTTGGCAGTCACCCATTGCAGGTGCGCACATCCTCTTGGCAGTCACCCATTGCAGGTGCGCACATCCTTAGAGGCCCAAGCTCGTTGCTGTTGGCGAGCACGCTGAAGTCTTTCAACGTCAGACAATGCTCATAAAAATAAATCGGCAGTCACCCATTGCAGGTGCGCACATCCTCTTGGCAGTCACCCATTGCAGGTGCGCACATCCTTCTGATAGAGCCGACACAAGGGCATATAACCTTTGTTTTTCCAAGTGCAGCGGCTAGCACTAGTCCGTACTAGTCCTGCTGAAAATTAGCTGGAAGAGGCCAGACCCAGATCGTTTGTCACCTCGAAAGCAACACAGAGGATAAAGGTAGCCAGCTCCTTCATATGAGTTGGATAACCGATGTTCCACGGGCCGTATGTATTCATTCTTAAGAATGGCCCATCAGAACCCAAGGGCGTCTCCTCGTTTTTCAGGTACGCGAGATACCTACTATCGTAGTTGGCAATTGTAAGGAAAATCTCGTGATTGTCCTGCGATACAAGGAGACGTCTATTAAGGCCGGTTAGAATATATCTCCTAATAGCGCCGTCTTATCACTCACCGGCGAAGATCACACTTTCGGCGGTGTTGTTCGTCGTGCATGATCCACGCAATCATCTCGCCTGTCTCTTGCCATAAAAGTTCCGGGCGTACACTTGGGGCCCGAATGTTTGGCTTAACCTCGATGATAGCGAAGACCTCGCCATTTGCTTCCAAATAGCCGTCTGTACGCGCATTCATCTTGTTCCTGCCAAAAACTGCAGTAGAAAATGGCGAGCGGTGCGCTGTCCATTGGCATTTTAACTCAGGTTGATAAACCAAGAGAGCCCTCAGGAACAGCAGCAGAGCGTCGTTGACAAGTTGCTCGTCTTTGGTTGGCCCGGGTGTAATTTCGGAGTCGCAAGCAGCCGACACCTCGCTGTATGTTGACGAAGATGACGAAGAACTATCGGCCGCTTCATCATCAGATTCCGAGGCCTTACTGTGTTGTCCGGACGGTGAAAGCTTGCGCTTTTTGCGTGGTTCGATGAGCGATTCTTGCATATCAACAGAATCAGATTCGAGCTTCCCGACGGGCTCCAGTGGGATCTGTTTCTGGGACTCTCTCACAAGGAGAAAAGCACCCATGTCCCGATCCACGGCGCTTGTGTTGGGTTTCTTGATATCCTTGATGTAGGCTTGGAACTCGGGGAAGTTCTTCAAAACTTCTCGGGCCTTGCCCATTATCTGAGCATCGAAGCCAGAATTCAAGCGTTTCGCGAACTGTACTTCTGGCCATACGGCTCTCATGGCAATGAAGTCCGTAGAGGTCAACTTCGAAGCTGAGTGGACTTTGGATAGGGTATGAAGAGTGAGATATTGGGATTTAGAGTCCCCTGCGGCCGTTACCCACTCGCTAGGTGTTTTGGGCACGTTGCGTTTGGGGGGATTGGTAGGATCAGGGGACCCGGAGGGTTCGGAGGGTTCAGAGGACGTCGACATGATTATTGCTTTTTTTGATCAAGAGGTCTATGTCAATGTGATATAAGAATCTTGGAGGATGAGAGGAAAATGGGCGAGGCTTCACCCAAGTGTATGCGCTCCTGCCCCCGAAGTCCTATATTATCTACAAGGTAGGTACGTTCCTACATGGATAACCTACCTATGAACGCTTTCGCGAATTTGGCAATAACATCCTTAAATCCCATGGACCATTTCGCAAGGATCATCTCCTAGACTGTCTCACGAAAGGACATCGATAGTGTGCACATGGACAAGCGTGCTATGCATATGTTGAACATGTTTATATGGCTTACTATGCGGCCTCTATACTTGATTATGGTGAGACTTGGATAATTTGAATATCTAGTCAGTCGAAAAGCACAATTACAGAGATTCTCAGACAACACAAGGATATTAGAGAACCGTCTCCGAGCTCGACACAGGCTAGTGTTGTCCGGATCGAGCATTTTAAGGGCTGTCGCCGTCGTTATTGTCGGGTAAACTCACCTAGGCATGGAGTATGGCTCAGCTAAGTCACTTAGGGAGTTGGTCTATACCTACTAATATATCGGAATTCTAGTCATATATATTAGTCTAATCTACTCCGATTGATCAATTGACAAAGCTAGTCTATAGTATAAACCACTTCTTCTCTTACCCTACGGTAGCTAATCTAACCTTACCCTTATCGCCTCTATCTCCCGTGTTATTAAGGATACCCTAGTCTTATTTTTACCCCCGATAAAAGCCGATAAGACTTTTTTTTTCTCGTAGTTCCTAGTGTCTGCTCTAGACTATAAGTTTAGCTAGTATACCTAGGGCATCTAACTATTATCTCTTTATTATCCGCACTTTAGGTTATAACCTATAAACTTTTTATATCTCTTACAACGAATCTATCTGCTTGATTTCTCCATACAATCATTTTTAGATTCTACATTACAAATGCAGACAGTTTTTCAGCCAATGAGAAAGATGTTGTGCAAAATTACAATTATGGATGTGCCGGCTGTCGGAGGTTGAGAAACCAGTAGTTCATGGTCAATTGTCATTCTGTATCAAATATTGAAACGAAATTCTGTGTTTCGTTCTACACTCAGATAGAGTACCATCATCTGCAACCTTCCTCGCAATCAGTCTTTAGGGAAATAAGCTTCTTTCCTGTCTTAGTCTCATAGTAGAGGCTCCCTTTCAAGAACATAGCAGTTCCAAAGTCTCATGACGGAAGGACATTGAAGTATGAACTTAGCCTAGCGGCTTGTCAGAGGTAGCCCATACAGAATGAAAGACGTCTGGTCTAGTCTAGCGGATGTGATCCTGCCCTGTTTTAAGAATGAGAATCTAAAAACACCTGGGCACCATTTGAAGGCTTACGTTATGCAATGAATGATCTCAAACCCTAAGAGGGACCGACGGGGACAAGATCACAGTGTGTCACATTATATCAATATCCTCTCGCATTTCACAAACACAAGGATGAGTCAGTCCATCCTTCAAGGATACCTAGCTAACAATATAACAAGTGCTCTTCAGTAGACCAATCATGCTCGGAAGTTCTCTCTTTTCCATAGTTGATAGATGTACTTGTATGCATAGGTCCGCTTTTCAACCACGTCACACACCCGATAGACCCGCTGATCAGCCAGCAGTAGGCGCCAAATATGTGATAGCAAAGTTGCGGTAGTGCCTACATAGTACTTGTAGCGGTGGAACGACAAATATGATATAATATGTGGAGCAGCCAACACTTCATTGATGAGTTGGATCCGGTAGGCTATAATGGCTTTAAGAGGTTGGTAAGAGAAACCTAGTACCTAGACAAATCCCTTACCGTATTAGATTAAGAAGTAGTAGTATAGTATAGGTATCTATACGGAGTAGGGCGAGTAGTATCTAGTAACTAGGACTACTTATAATAAATCGGATAGAGTGCCGTAGTATCTTATAGATAGGTACTAATATAATCTCGATAAGTTATAAATTAACCGGCGGATATATTAACTAAAAGATAACTAACTAGTAATTTGTAATAAACTATAGTCGTACCTAGGACTAGTATCGAATAAAATAAGACTAGGATCTACCTAGTATAGCCCGGGTTAGTATCCCTATAAGTATTATCGTAGCTATTATACGAATATTATACTTTTACTCCCCGAGTAGTAGGTAAAGATACGATCCCCTACGTATCCCGTATAAACGTGGCCGGCTCCTAATATATCCTATATATTCTGGCTTTGTTTTATTATACTAGATAGGGGTTGGCTTTTCTAAGGTTAGACGTAGATAGTTAGGCTCCAACTAGGTCTCGGGGAAAAATCCGACATCCCCTTTGCGTGCTTCGTATATATTGTGTAGCCTTTTGATCTAAATATACAGCACGTTATATATTTATGGAGTTTCTTGTTATATGTGTGCGTCGACATATTTGATGCCTGAGGCATAAAATATGACCCGAGCTTCTTTGAAATTTTTTTGTGCAAATCATGCAAATCGGGTTAGCCTTATCCTCCCAGCAGGACGTGGACCAGTAATAGAAATTCAGGATTTTAATTTTTCTGCTGTTCTAAAGTCAGGCAGTAAGGCAGCAAACCATCTATAATGGTTGATTTGGATTCTTGATTGGAGAGAAAAATCTGCATTAAGTAAGAAGTGGGTCCAGGTCGAAACTTCAGAGGAAAGAGTTACTAGTGGTCCTGCTAGCAGATTTTAGGCACTTATAACCTAATGTAGAATCTAAGAATGATTGTATAGAGAAATCAAGTAGATAGATTCGTTGTAATTGAGTTGGACAGAGAGAGAGAGGGAAAACTGGGATCTGTCCCAATGTGGGTGCCTGGATGCCTGAGGCACCCAGGCACCCAACAATTTGTCATCTGGTTATGGTTCAAGATCACGTGCAATCAAATTGCGTCAGAGCGGCAGGCGAAGAGGACCCTCCAGTGTTTTTTCTACAATTCACCTGTTATCAACTATCTTTGCACATTTCATTCCATAACATAATGTCTTTAAGCACTCCATCCACAACAATGTTTCGCCGCGCTCTACTTAGCAGCCGTTTGGCCACTCCCGTCGAGTCCTCTGCCCGAACAATCAGACCGGCATTCGCTCGCTACAGATATGTCTCCAGCGCAGCCCGGCTCCCGACCATCACAGCTTCCGAGACCCGTCGCCGACCAACAGTACGACCGTACCAGCAGCCTGCCTCACAGGGTGGAGTGAACGGTCTCTCACCAACCAGCAAGCGCACCATTTTCATCCAGACCGAGAACACCCCCAACCCCGACGTAAGTTCCAGGGCTCAGTTAGTTTGATATTGACGAAAGAAACTGAACTGACCTTTCATCTTTGATAATATAGGCTCTGAAGTTTATCCCTAACCACCGTGTTCTCCCTGAGGACTTCTCCAGCACGTTCCTTGAGTACATGTCACCACGATCAACCCTTGCGCCACCACACCCATCCCCGCTCGCGGCAAAACTGTTCGATGTTGAAGGTGTCACATCCGTCTTCTACGGAACAGACTTCATCACAGTGACGAAAGGCAGCGACGCGAATTGGGCGCACATCAAGCCGGAAGTCTTCAGCATCATTACTCAAGCTGTGACATCTGGCGAGACCATCGTGACGACAGTTGAGGGTGCTATTGACGGCGAGCAGGAGAGTGGCGAGGACTCGCTTTCTTATAACGAGGATGATGATGAGGTTGTTAGCATGATCAAGGAATTGCTCGAGACTCGCATCCGCCCTGCTATCCAAGAAGATGGTGGTGATATCGAATTGAAAGGGTTTGAGGGTGGTATTGTTATGCTGAAGCTGCGTGGTGCTTGTCGCACCTGCGATTCCAGCACTGTTACGCTGAAGAATGGTATTGAGTCTATGCTTATGCACTATGTATGTCCTTCTCCGCTTTCCAATTCCGGTTTGATATAAGGGCCGTTTGCTAACCTTGATTTTTAGATTGAGGAGGTCAAAGGTGTTGAGCAGGTTATGGATGAGGAGGAGATTATATCCATGCACGAGTTCTCGAAGTTTGAGGAGAAACTGCGCCAGCAGAAGGGTGCTGCTGCCACGGCTGGTGCGCCTTTGGACAGTGCGCCGTAAAATAGATCATTTGGGAGTATATACCTTTGTACATTAGTTTTGGGGAAATGAATTTTAACTATTTTGATTCAATCTCCGGAAATCGTTGTCACCATCCTACTCTTTGATTATTTCTACCTTATTTACTACTAGTAGTAGCAGTCAATCTGAGCATTCATATTCTCAATATCTCTACAATACAGTACTGTACAAATGCAATCTAGAAAGTGCCTAGGCGTTCCGGTGGCTAGCTATCCTGAACGCTTACTCGAAACTGGACAGCGTGGACTATGGATGTTCTATCATTCACATAGCAATAATTGTTCCGGTATAATACACCTCTTCTCATAACTCTTTCGCGGAAGTACTCCGGCTCTGTTCCAAGGCTCGTTGTCCCCAGTGTCTCATCCATTCCGAGCCCAATACCAGCTGAGCTGTCCCTCTTTCGTTTGGCCGATAGATCAACATCGACCGAACCATTACCTCAAACGCCCTCCTTTCTTTTTCTGTCATAGTCTCTAGTCGTCTTGTATAGAGTACTCAACCCTCTGGTCTGAGGCCCTTCGCGCAGACATGAAGAGAGAGGGGAAAGAGTCAAACAAGCAGGCATTACTAGCCTGGCAAACCAGGTAGATACCATAGTATTTTCCTAAGCACCCCCAAACGCTTTGTCTTCGATATTCAAACTTGTGCTCTTCTGTCTTCAATTCAACGTCTCTGCCCACCTCAATCGTATCATTACTTTCGATCGTCGTTCATTTCAAGTCCTTCGGAGAACCCTCGACCAGTATCCATAACATTTCTTTCTGAAACCCCGATCAGCAGTCAACATGTGTCATATCGTGGTTCGCGTCTACAAATGTGGTCATTACACGGCTACACTGATGGGAGATCCATGTGGAGACGCAGTGAAAGCTGACCAGATATGTGACCCGCCCAAGGTTACCAAACAATCCACGACGGGAACATTCTGCAACCAAGCAGGCTGTGATAAGAAGCCAGGACTCAAAAGAGAAGGACCGAGTCAGTCTTCATTAAGATCTTCTATTCCATGTTCTAACGAATATACAGAGTCAACAGTAAATGGCGGACTCCAGAGGTATCTTTAGTGGACTGTCAGGTTTCTTAGTCTCTATTTTAGCTTCCATAGCTTAACTTTCTCAACTCTTCACTGTCTCACATTGCACCATGCACTTCGACGTCCACCACGTAGACCTCTCCTAACATGGACCATACATAAGTCACATTCAAGTTTGAAGCTAGTCCTATTTGATGGTTTGTTGCTATGGAGTGCTGAATATTGACACATGGACCCGGGGCGGAGCGGAGGTGCACTTTCTCCCAAAGCCAGGAACTATTTGTTGTGATGTACCATTATCGGGCAAGAAACTTGTCAAGTGATAGAGTGTACTGTAGTATTCCCAGCCAGCTTTCTTCCGTTGAAATGCTTGACAACTTCAATCCAATCAAAAGATTCCTGGTATATGTAATGTATGCCAAAGAAAAAACAACAATATGAATCCTAGGTAAACTGGATTAGGCGTGCCAAATCTAATCAGTCATTCAGTCATTCCAAACTTGTGAATCACACGTGATCCAAGCAAACGACTTAACTATCACCCCTTCCCTCTTTCCAAGATTTTGTAAATGTTTCCTTTTCTTCGGAGGCAAAAAAAGGAGCTTACTTTCTGCAATCGATCACAATGCCCGAAATGACACATCCCTTATGCAGATTGGAATTCAAGTCGTTTCAAGACTGGAACGGTGACCGTCTATCACAGACCCTGATATTCCACAACAATGGTTCTTCATGGTGGATCAAAGTTGTGGTGGATGGGTCACTGCCAGAACAAGTACTGGGTCTGGGTTATTTCAAACGCCGCTTCGTCTTTCAAGAATTTGTTGAAGCGGTTGATCTCGGTCAATTGCAGCTTTTGAACGATACTGTGACAACCTTAAATTTAAGTTTGACCGAGCAGAGCCAAAACTCGATCACGATACAGAATGGGCATCAAAATCCATCGAACTTGCTCATTGCCGTTGCCCATCGAATGTACTGTACGATCGCAGAAGATCCAAAGAGAGTCACATACCCGATACTAGAGCAGCGGCAACGATGTTTACCAACATTTGAGGCTCGTTGTTTGCAGACTGTTGAGGTTGTCGCTCCAACAGTTAGAACTGTTTTGTTTAAGCAACAAATATTTGCTTACAAAACGATTGACCGCCCTATCTATGAGCCTGAAGACACAGAACATGTGTTAAACGAGATCGATGTGCTTGAACAACTCCGCGGACTTCCTAGTATCGCGCAGCTAGTTGGCCTAGTTGTATCGGAGGACCCGTATAAGACCTGCCCGTCAACCAATTCGCCAGCAGTGATCACAGGATTCCTTCTTGAATATTATCCCGGAGGTTCGCTAGAGCAAACTTTTGAGAACGAGTCTCAATTTGATGCTTTCGCAATACAATGGGCCTTACAGATTGGGACAGCATTAAGTTCATTGCACAAGAGAGGGCGAACTCATCTTGACATCAAGCCGTCGAATATCGTTTTCGATGCCAACGACAATGCCGTACTCATCGATGTTAGCGGAACCGGTGGTTACGTGTGGGAATGGCTTTCACCAGAGATGCAGATTCTCATTCAACAAAACAGTGAAACAAGTCCTGCCAACGCACCATTTGAGGCACGGGTTTCCACGGATTGTTGGGCTTATGGGAGATTGCTCTCGGCTATCGCAGAAAAGATTGACACTTCTAGGATTGGTAAAAAACTCCAATTTATTGCTGATGCTCTGACCAAGCCGGCCCCCGAATCTCGCATCTCGCTATGCGACGCTCTCGCGCAACTGAATGAGAAGGAGTAGTCGTCGTCCACAGGAAGCTGAACCCTGCAAGAATAGAACCGTGTACATCAATTACATTTTCTTTGCCATTCAGCAACCCACTCCTCAACAATAGGTTGCTGCTGGTTTGCATTTTGATCGCGTCTCATGGTCATTTCAATGTATCATTATCACTGTGTCACTTTCTTTCTTTTGAATGATCACCTCATAAATCCACCCTGTACTCCAAAACTGCCCTGTGGTATCTAACCACATAAATCATTCGGTACTATGCAATCTCTGATTTCCAAGTTTAAATCTCACCTATAGCCATTTTCCCGCCTGAACACGGAACCACTTGTGGCACAAAGAGTCGCAAATGGCTAGTTACACATTCATCGTGGAACTTGCCGAAAAAGCTCCGATCACTTTGTCAGATGAGCACCTCGACTAGGACTTTTCTTACGAGAACATCCGGCATTTTCGTGCATACAAGGGGGAAGCTCAATATGGACATCTCCTGCTTCAAACAAAGTGGAAACACTTCGCCACTTTTTTATCAACAAGGAGAGCCTTCGAAATGGCGATGTGAACATGCAAGTCATACAGAGAGTAGTAATTAGCCAAGATGTAAGAGATGAGTTTGTAGATCCTTCTTCGCGGACATTGGATTATGGTTGAACGAGACAACTAAAGGGATGTGGTCACTCAGATATTGTCATATATGATTGACAGTGGGGTTCAATGCGGCTACATCTGCACGGGGGAAGCTCTTGTTATCCCCATATCCCGAAGGATGATCCCACCGTTGCTCTGTCAATAGTCGCATTTTCACGTCCCAAAAGAAACCAAGACAATTTCAGTCCGGTTCGTGCGTTAGTATCGCTAGCATCGGAAAGTCGGGATAGGTAACTACCATTAGTACCGGCACGCTTATGCCTGTGACCCTAACACCAACCCAAGTAAGTCACTTTGCAGTACCCCTCTCGCTCAGTGAGTAAACTAACGGCATGCTAGACCGGAATGGTTTCCGGTTGTCTTCGGTTCTATGATGTACAGAGCGGAGAAGGCTGCGCGGATATCGCATCTCAGGCAGGTGTTGCTCAAACGTAAGTCTCCCATTGCTCTAGGCTTCACAGTATGATGTGTGCCCTACAGGTTAACTGAAACTATGTAGGGACTTCTATAATTGGAACCCGGCTGTAAGCACGAACTGCGCCGGCTTGCAAGCCTCCGTCTTTGTCTGCATGGAACTGCCAGCCCAATCACGATGATCAATTAGTAGAACTCCAGTACCTACCACGTCCAAGAGCTAGAAACCGAATTGGGGAGCACAATTTCGACATAGAATATAGGTCATAGAAATTTATGTTGACCAGGCCAAATCCGCGAGAGCAAGTGAGTGGTCGGCCCATGACGTAGATACAAGCTCCAATCTGGCAAGCTCAGACATCGATCCTTTGATTTCTTGAAACCAGTCGTGCCAATTGAACGGAACGCAAAGCTGCAGTCGAGTCCACTCCCGACCTTCCAAGAGTTTTTTCCATGGTTCGAGGAACACCTCCCCCTTTCCATGAGTATCGAAAAGCTCTTGAGCCTCACAGGGCGGCATTTGAAGTAGCACACGTAGCCGGAGCACGCCGCGGAAACTCTTCTCAACTAACCCAAAGAACGCATAATAGGTTGCCATCCAGTCCTCCTCAGCTTGTCCCGGGCCCCAGAAGCCAACAGCAAACGAGATGTCCATAGATGTCATAAGAGATGCACAACGCGGTGCCAAAATCCTTGATATCAGATAAGGGGTGTCCATAGCCTCGTTCATCACAAAGACATTCGTCCCATAAAGAACTTCCAATGCTTCTTCATATCTGTATGATAATGAGTCAATACTCTGACAGTGGAAGGATACCGACTTACCCGATTTGACAACATCTCAGCCACTCCACGCTGCCAATTTTGGGCCTCGGGATGTGCATGTACCCCTCGCGGCCCGAATTTGAACAGACCTCAAAAGGATCATCGATAAATCCATCAGAATGGTCACAAACAGCATGCCACCAGTGCCAGCGAGGCTTGCTGTGCGCTTCCGGCGATGGCTTTCTCCAAAAATACCGAATATGCACTCGCCGATCGCCCATAAGCTCGAGATATATCAGCCTCCTGATCTCAGCCGGGAGACGAAAGAGCGGACTTTGCTGCTGGGAGCTTTTCTGTCGAGCTCCAGGGCTGCGAGGGCGTTGCTCTGGTTGGATCGGCAGCTTCCATCGATTGAATATATCGCCGTTGATCTCACAGGTCGAATCCCAGATTCCTATTGCGTTTGGAGAACATTCTCGCAATGTAAACCTGGGCTCTTCCGGCCCTTTCTTTTTGCGCTTGAAAAGTTTGTTGAAAAAATGGGGTGCCATGGTGGTGGAGTCTGGAGGAGTAGGGGGAGCGTCGACTTTATATATTCCTGGATGTGGGTGGATGTCCCCGATGCGTGGCAGTAGCACTTCCTCGAAATTGAGGGGAGTGCTGGTAGATGGAGTGCTAGTAGATGAGTACGAGGGTGGGTTCGTTGTGTCCACTTCGGATGGAATGCACCAGCTTCCAGCCTTTAATCCATTATTGAGTACACAAGTTGCCGTCATCAAGTATATTATGGATAATTGGCAGCGTCTGTGGTCAATTGAGATTTCTATCCAATGAAATTACCGCTTTCCCATGAAATTACTGGATAGTGGGTGCTACTATCGAACAGAGCTTGTGTGCTGAGCGCGGATGGAGACCCAGGCGGCTTATGCCCTTTAGGGAAGCCCTTACTCGCATGGACCTCAAAAGCGCTTTGGCCTTTGGTTCGTTCCATCGATAGCCTTGAACGACGTGTCATGGATGCTAAGTTTCGCACACTTTGGGAACATTATTCGCGCTGTAGGGCGCAAAATGTCACAAGTGAACTGGGATAGGTCCATCCAAGTAGTCTATTCACCTGCAGCTCGCTAATACAGACAGGCCTTGCGAGTCCTATGAAAAATTTGTGGAACAAAGCGGTGGCTCTCTTCGATTCTCATGTTTTCTTCTCTGGCAGACTCGAATCACATTCCTTAAGAAGTGCCAGTGCTCTCTCATTCAACTTAGGATGGCTGCGTAATGCAAAGAAATCCAACCAAAAATTGTGGGCCTCTGTATGATCCGGCAGGTGGTTGCGAAGCAAATCTTTCCATTCTTTATCATCTTGCCCTAGACCAATTCCTGCACAGGTAAATTCCCACCAAGCAGGGGAAAAGGCCGAAGATTCCTAATCCAGAATCCCTGCTAGGTTACCGTTCTCGACAATAATGTTGATATTAGCCAGATCGCCGTGAGTAAAAGTATAGGGAGTCGTAGATGGCATCCGCTGACGTAATTTCGAACGAAAGGGCTTCTAAGGTTGCTCCGGTACTTGATTTAAGGCCGGCGACATCTTAGCCCATAGTTCATCGTCGGATGAAAAAGGCCCATATCCAATACTATAGCTATTAGGAAAAAGAAAGGCCGAGTAGATTGGTTGCCCGCCGATACTTTCCACTCGGTCCGAGCGAAGCTTATGAAGCTGTATCAAATATTCAGCGGTCTGTTTTGTGACGCGTTCTCTATCGGCTAAGGTCATCATTGGTCAAATTTCACTTAATGGCTGACCTCGAATCCGTTTGGTAAGGAGAAAACATGCCCTGTCGTCTTCCTACCATTCTTCGACGATTTGAGGTATAAGAAATGAGGTTCTTGATGCCAAAAACCTGATATTAGAGACCTCAAAGTTAGGTGGCTCGGTAGACCGTTCTTTCAGGATCAAACTTGAGCCTAAAGGCCACACCCCTCGATTGCTGACGCCGTAGGAAAGGTTCACGTGACTTCTTATAACGACATGCGTCTTGACGTGTTGGTGACCAGCTACACGCTGAACAGGTATGCTCGGTGGCCATTTGGTAATAAAACAATTTTTCTCTTCAAGGGATGTCAGATTTTGGCGGAGTCAGGAGCATAGGCTGATATAGGAGATTGATAGGTCAATTGAGTAGCTCCACTGCGGGTTTTTCGCTTAGATAGGATCGAGACCGCTAGGATGAACGGTCATGTTGACGGCGTCAGTCCGTTTTTGATGGGATGGGATGGGGCGATCTAGGTGGGAATGCTAGCGTCTCGCATTTTATTGATGTAGCTTACTCAGGTCGTTCAATCCTCTACTCAGAGAGCAAATCAGATCGCTCATATGAGATTACACATGTGACTATCACATGATGCTTAATCAACTTATATAATGATCTGTGAGCGGGTCAGAGTGTTCAGGGGCGTGCTCAATTTAACTCTGAGATCAAAAAGCGGCATGAGACACTAAAATGGAAGGGGAAAGGTCTCAAGTGCCAGGCATTATCCGGTACATATGTACCTATACGTACCGGATTTTCCCTGGAGGGTGGGGCTTTCCTATTTGAGATGCCGACTGAGTAGATGTCAGCACGGACTCAGATCAGTGATCATGCCCAGTGAGTGCTTAGTGAGTGCTCATTGGATGCTCCCTGATTATTCAGTGTTGCTCACACTGAGCATCACTGAGGCACTCAGCCTACCGCAGACTATACCTAGAAGGGATTAGCCCCCATAGGGTCGTTTATACTGTGATAGTTAGTTCGTTGATAGCATTGCTGCTGACCTCAATTTTTGGAGCACTACATCTTATCAAGGAAATACGTCATAACGAAAGGGCGCGGTTCTTGCCAAGTAACCCACCCCTGCGGGTGTTGAGTTGCTTGGCAAGGACCGGGTAGTCGTACATTTATACTTCTAGATTCGGAATTACTATCCGGGATAGCAATAGGCCGTAATTTACATCGGGCTACCTTCTTCCCTCCCTTATATTAGCATATAGTACTATTTATAGGGTAGATACTATAGATGATCTAGCGTAGTATTCAAACTAGTAGAGCAGGGCCTTCATAAAGGCCTAAATTGGCAGACTAAGCGCTAGCAAACTGGTAAAGAAAAGGCTCAGTATCCCTAGTACAAAGGAACATCCCATCTAGGAAGGATTCTCCAACAGACGCTCATTCAATTTGAGGTCGATGGAGCGGTAATGGGTAGCGGTTCATCTATAGTACTTTCACGGGCGGACTCATACGATTCTGCTAGATCCGAGATTTTTGGCCTGCGAAACACCTCGGTTGCAGCGATGTCAAGACCATGTTGCTTCGCAAGTAGCACGAATCGAAACACAACAACAGAATCCATACCAAGCTGGAACACGTCGTCATCCATACCTACTTCGTCTGGATGTTTCTTTAGTACTTGTGAAATAAGCGTGCGTAGCAGGTGCTCTGTCTTTGTCGTAGGTGCCCGCTTGGTCTTTTCTTTAGAGGTGGGTGACATAGATAGCTCCTCGCGGGACATTTGGGAGATGTGCAGCCGGAGCAAACGACGATCAACTTTTCCGTTCTGTGTCAAAGGAATCCTGTTCACGGGAATGAAAACTCGAGGAACCATATAACCGGGAATGCGTTGGCTCAGTTTTTGTCGTGCTTGCTGTGCATCGGCTATGAATTCGGCCGTGGGAGGTCTAAGGACTTGACCCGCCTGATCGTCCTTAGAGTTGGTCTCACCAGTCCAAACGAAAGCCGCCAACAAGGTCTGCGCTTCATCTCCGGGCAGCGACGGTTGGACTACCTCAGCAATAACTTCACTGGCATGTGGAAAACACTGGCCCACATGGTACTCGACCTCCCCAAGCTCGAGGCGTTGCCCGTATATTTTTACCTGCGTGTCTTTACGCCCGATAAACCGAAACGAACCATCCGTACAGTACTGCACTAGATCGCCACTCTTGTACAGAGTTCCAGTCCGGCCCAACCGGCTCAGCCACGGAGGGCTATCCGTTATGAAAGCTTTGGCAGTCATCTGGTTGTTGTGAAGGTATCCAGAACCCACAAGAGGCCCTTCGACCACCAACTCACCAACAGCACCGATAGGGACGAGCTTCCTGTGGTCGTCAGGATCAACAACCCAGCAGATAGCGCCTAAGCCGCGACCAATATTAACGGGATCTGACCGATTGCTGAGTATTTGTGATGCAGTCACACAGTAGGAGCACTCAGCCGGACCATAGCAGTTTATAAGCTGCACGTTTTGACTCCACCGCTCCACGTCCTTTCGAGCCAGGGCCTCCCCACCAACAGTTATTGTTTTCACGGAAGGAATGGCTTCTGGCGATAGAAGCCGTAGAACAGAGGGGGTAATATCCATCCTATTCACATGTAGTCGGCGAATAACCTCCACGAGGTTGTCCTTCAACTCGTCCTCCCGAGGAACGCACACGCAGCCACCAGCTAGTAATGTCCGTAGGTAATCCGCAACACTCACGTCGAACATGTAAGAAGCGAACTGGAGGGCACGAGATGACGGGCCTATGGATCGAACATGATCCTGCGATATAGCACCGGTGATGTACGAGGTGTGACTGATCACGACTCCCTTAGGCTTTCCTGTGGATCCAGAAGTATACACCACATAAAGAGGGTTCGCAGGGCAAAGGGATGGTTGTGGTAGAGGGGTGACCTTTTCAAACTGTGCTGACTCAAGGTCTTCGGATATGATGACCTCCGCTGCTAGCTGATGACAGACTGGAGCAGACTGCGACGTAGAAATCGCGACGGGTGCATTGAGGTCATGCCCAATTACCGCCAAGCGATCGCTGGGCAGCGTTGGCGAGAGGAGAGTGAAAGCTCCTCCAGCCTTTAAAACGGCTAAGATGGCAACGGCGGTCCAGCATGTTTTTTCTTGGCAAATGGGCACGACGACCCCAGGCCGGACATGCAGATCCTTCAAACGCCATGCAAGCCTGGTTGCGTACTCATCCAGTTGCTTGTATGTGAATTCCCCGTCCCACGCGCATACAGCAGGAGCTTCCGGATGGGCAGCAGCATTATTATATATCACGTCGTGTACACACATCTCGACCGGTGTAGGGACAGTACTGTTCCACTGGCCAAGCTGCTCGATATCCCTGGGGCTGAGTGTTCGAACGTCTCCTATCCTCTTGGTAGGCATTTGAATTAGCTGTCCGACAATATGGCTGAGCTGGTAGCCGAATCGCTGCGCCTGCATGCTGTCTATCCAGGTATCGTCGAAATGTACTTGCACCTTTGTAGTATTGTCTTTAAATAACCGACAGGATACCACAAGTGCAAACCCAACGCCTTCATGGCCTTTCGCCATGCTGGTGACTTTGCTTTTCGACTGCTGCACAACCAGGAGATTGTGAGATTGGCAGACAGCCTCAAGCTTACGATAAGAGGCAGGGGTGGTCCCAGCTGTGCATCGTTGAAGATACCTCCGAAATTCCCTATCTTCTTTAATTGCCCTGAGCTTGTCGGATATGAGGTCGGAAGGATCGATGCGTATCCTCATCGGGGCTACCCCGTCTTCCAGCCCTGCATCCATGACCTGAAACAGGACGTCATCAGAGCCGGTGTACTGAGATATGACAACGGCCCAGGCAAGCTGCAGCAGACAGGAACTCTTATCGTCAGAGAGATATGGCCCTTCCTCTTTTGGTGCGGACAAAGTTATGGATGCATTGGCTTTGGGGGTGCAATTTGGAGGAAGTGTTGGAAATGCTTCCCCGCTATAATTGTCCATTTGCGATTGCCAATATTTCTCTGCCTCATGCATACCCCAGATTCTTTGTGAGACGAGCCGAGAACTATGACGTGAAAATAGTGGAAGTTTCCCGATTACCGAGTCAGGGTCAGTCGCAATAATTACGGAGGCAGCTTCTCGGAAGGCCTCTCCCAGCTTTGCCATGTCCGTTTCGGAAATGATCTTAGTCCGGCAGGTGAAAGTAATCGTAGCTATGTCCTCGCACATACCAATCAGGACTGCTACATCATGCTGCGTTCCGCTGTCTTAGCGTGGAATTCATCGAATAGGCCAGATAGGTTCACTTACCTCAGGATTGTCTCCGCCATCAATAGTTTCAAGAGATATTGTCGAGGCAGGGGCATTGTCGTGCTTGCCGCTTTGAATCCTGTACAGTGACATGCCCGTGTTGAAGAGTGCGTTGCCCGAGAGATTCAAAGAGTGAAAAACATCAGCCAAGACAAAATTCTGATGGCCTAACGCTTGCGAAAAGTCCGCTTGGCTTTGCTGCATGACTTGCCGCAGGGAGCCCCCAGGGTCAAGTAACATTCGTGAAACAAGCAGGTTGATGAAAGGTCCCACGCCATCGTCAACTCCAGGGAGAGCTACATCTCTTCCTGAGTTCAGATAGCCAAAGCAGACCTGATCGCAACCTGTGTAGCAGCGAAGGACCAAACCCCAAGCTACTTGGAATATGTGGGCTGAGGTAACGCTGTGTGCCTTGCAGTAGTTCCACCAAGTCGAGTCCAGTTCAATATCAAGGCTCAGAGACTTCCATTCTGCTTTATCATCGTCCTGGCTGCTTTGGTTAAGGCGAGGGAAGAGGCACGGCTCAACATGTTCAAGGTACCTGACCCAGTAATGACGATTTGGCTCATCGGATTGTGACTGCAACATCGCAATGTAGTCACCATATTGAAGCCCCGGAGAGCCACGCAGTTGCCCGTTGTATGCCCGTGAGATGTCACGCAGGATGATGTCCATTGAAATTGCATCAATAAGGGTATGACTGATTTCGAGCTTACAGAAAGCGTCTCCTGCGGGGACTGACCACAAGGTCAACCGATGCATGGGCTGCCTTCCTCCGGGGAATGTGACGCCAGCACCAAACGCTTTTTCCATTGTTGCGGTATCTTCAATACGTCCCAACATATCAATGTCCGCTGTCACTTTCTTCAGCACAACTTGATCGTGGTACCCCGTTCCGGTCACGTTCCCCATAAATATAGTCCGCAAGATGTCATGACGCTGGATGACTTGCTGCCACGAGTCCGCCACCCGGATCAGGTCCACGGGTTCCGTTCGAGAAGTAATCTGACAAACGATTCGGCAATTGTATGCCTCAGGGTCTTGTGACTGAGATATTAGCATACCTCGCTGAATCGGAGAGCATGGATATGCATCTTTCACCGCTGCCGGTAGCACACCTATCTCTGGCAGCATATAGTATAGGAAGTTGCTAAATTGTTTTGGTAGGAGCTGTCCCAGAAATGGCTGCGGGGTTGAAGTCGGACAGAATGGCTCCTCCACCTGCTCCTCAGGCGTCCCCACGCGAGATTGAGTCACCTCACCCAAAGATCGTGCCAGGACCGAGATAGTTTTGCAGCGGAAGATGTCTGCTACCTGGCAAGTCAGGCCGGCTGCGCGGGCTTTTTTGGCCACCTGCATAGCGGAAAATGAGTCACCTCTCAGACGGAAGAAATCCTCATCAACGCCTATCACTTCGCGCGGTAAACTTAACACCTGGGCCCAGATTTGCTGCAGCTGGCTCTCGGTGGGGTTGCTGGGTTCGCGCCTCCCCACGGCGGACAGAAGGTTATACCTGAACAGCTCTTCTGGTGAGAGAGATGCTGCCTCTGCCTGCAGCCGTCGACGATCGAGTTTGCCCGTGGCCGTCAATGGTAGGGAGGATAAGTTTAGGAACACCCCGGGAAGCATGTATCCAGGCAACTGACTGTTCAGTTGATTATGTGCTGTCACCACCTGCGCTCTCGCATGAGTTGTTGGCTCAGCGAACATCGCTTGGTTGGAAGCGGAGTGCAGCTTTGTGTCACATAGAAACACGGCTAAATATGCACTTCGGTCCCCTTCCAGGGGAGAAATAATTTCCGCAACCACACTGTGGAATTTATGCATACGCTGGTGGACATGATGTTCGATCTCGGACAATTCAATACGTTGTCCCCGCAATTTTACTTGGGTATCTTTACGGCCCAAGATTTTCAAAGAACCGTCAGGTTGGATGCTCCCACGGTCTCCTGTCTTGTAAAGCTTCCTCGAGAATAAGTTGTGCCGGAAGTGGGCCAACCATCTTGGTGGTTCAATAAATGCTCCCGCAGTCTGTTCTGGATCGTTGGCATACCCGTCCCCCACAATGGGGCCCTCGATGAGGAGCTCGCCGGCGGTACCAATTGGCATGAGTCTCTCCTGGTCCTCCTGGTGCACGATCCACAGTCGAGCACCAATAGGCAGTCCGACATTTGAGGAATCTGTCTGCGGCGTCACACCGACGTTCACAGTGGCGTTGATGGCACATTCGGCAGGCCCATACACATTGACAAGTGTTACATGGGGACCCCAAGTTGTCATAACGTCTTGAGAGACGGGTTCGCCACCCACGACAATTGTCCGGAAACTGGGTATCTGTTCCGGACGCAGCGTTCGCAAGAGCGTAGGTGTCATATCGGCGAAGTTGGCGCGGAAATAAGCGGCTGCCCTTGGCAGGTTGTTTAGAAGGTCACTCTCCGAAGGTATACAGATACAACCCCCCGCGATCAACGGGATCAGCATATCCGATATGCTAACGTCAAACGCGTAAGAAGAGAAGGCCAAGGCACGCGTCTGTCGGCTATAGCCTATTCTGTCGATATACGGTCGAGCCATACTGCAGAATGACCGGTGGGAAACCTGTACACCCTTTGGTTTCCCCGTAGAACCTGAGGTGAAAACAACATAAGCCAGGTTGCTACTGGGGAAACCTAGGCTTCCCACAACGATAGCCGTGCTGGATTTAGACAGAAACTGTTCATCACACACAGGGAGCACTTCCGGCCCTAGGCGTTTTGCTGTGGCCAGGAGCGCGTTGCTGCAGACAATTAGCCTTGCGCGCGACGTTTCGCAGGCTTGATTTAGGCGAGGCAAAGGGGATGCCGAATCAAGTAAGACGAAGGCCCCGCCAGTTTTCAAAATTGCTAGCACCACGACTGGAGTCCATTTGGACTTATTCAACAGCGTAGCGACGACAGAATTGGGACCTGTCCCACGCGATATAAGCTGAGTTGCTAGCTGTGAGGACAGCTGGTCCAGGTCCCAATAGCTGAGGTCCCCATCCCATGCACAGACTGCCGCATCAGCGGGCTGGGACAAGCAACGGCGCCTGATGAGCTCATGAATACAGCTGTCCTCCTGTAGCGGGGGTGATCCATTCAAAGAGCGGAGACGTGAAACATCACCTTTGCTGAGCATCTCGGTCAGATATAATGATTCCCCTGGATAGCTTTCTCGATCAGACCGACGTTCGACCTCGTGAAACGAATCACCCGTCATTTCGTCGTTGATTCGGAATCAGGTCGACACAATGTTCAGATAAAAGCACAAGTATAAGGTTTTCAGGAATGGGCTGAGTAGTAGAGTCATGAACGAAGGAAGGGCAGACCGAGGTTTTCTTGTCGTGGAGTGAAGTTCGTACATACCTCATCCGTCACCAGGCTGTGCAGGTCGTGGTACCCCTGGCTAGTCTCAGCCAGCCCCAATGCTTCTGACAAGTTCACTGCAACCCACTACGCCCGCTTCCAGCTCACTTACAAGCAAGGTGTCATCCTGTCAAGTGTAACGTGGCCGTATCTATATACGGTATTAACTGGCATACACGGAGGAATGCTACATACCTTATTCAACTCTACCCAAGTACTCCGCATGATCCTGCCGGGTCGGCACGGACTCACTCCGCCGCATTAGGCACTTTTAACACCTGTCAGGAATGAAGTTTAAATACAGTGGTTCTTCATGCCCAGCTGGTCTTGATTGCAGAGAAACCTGAGATCGTTTTTGTCCGCTCAAATTTGTCAATACCGGACTTGTTTTGTATATTGGAGAACTTGACCAATGTAATTCATGCCAATACGCTCGTCGCACCCAGATTTCTGTCAACACCCCCTGATTCTGCAATTTTGCAATCATCTAGCTCACCAGCATATGCTGTATTTCCTGGAGTGCGGGATTTTTAGTTGCTAATTTCCAATAGTATGGTATGTAACTCAATGGAAGGGCCCCTGAGCTCATTGTATGGTTGCGTCCGTGCCAGAAATGTCCCAAATAATTACTGGCAGCTTGCTTCAGCTGAGTATACGCAAACATGTAACCTGATGCCTACTGGTAATGTCACTTTAGTGACCGTCACCTAACTATCCAAAACGTTTTACGCAAGTAGGTTGACCCGAAAGAATGCCAAGTTTAGTCACAGCTTGCCGCCATATCAACCCGAAACGGGCTCAAGCATGGGTCCGGGGTGGCCATATAAGTAGTAGCAAGCTTGTACCGATTGTATACCGCTCTATTACCTCCCACTTATTTCGATTTCTCTTCACACTCTTTTGCAACTAGAATGAGGATTTGCGTGCTCCAGTTTTCCTACGAAGGCCCTGACCGGGGCCGTGGGGAGTTGGAAAATGGAATATCTCGCTTTGAGATGGCGAGCTCGCAGCACACGTTTGAACGTCGCTTTATTTGTGAAGAAAAATTCAAGGGGAAAATAGACTCTGTATTGCGGGAGGGCTTTGACTTCTATATCAACCTCCTCTGGAGCACAGCAGAAGACCCCGTGACTGGAATGCAAGCTAGCCAATACTTTGAATCATTGGACGTCCCATCAGCTGGATTCTGCAGCCGGGGCCGATCTCGGATAAAGGATTCCTTCTATAAGCATGCCAGGCAACGGGGAGCTTCGTGTGTTCCTGGTATGCTGCAATTTCCTCTATCCGTCAAGCCCTCCAATGGTTACATAAGCGAACCGACCGAGAACTACGTCTGCCATGACGAGAGGGAGCTCCGGTATGCCCTTTGCCAACTTGACAAGCAGCTGAGTGCATCCGGGGGGCGAAGAATTAATGTCGGTGGGCCTATGGCTTCTGCCGAATTGCAGGACCTTATCGACCAGTATAGCGATCACATTGTCATCCAGGAGTTTATTGACGGAGACGAATATACAGTCACTGTCATCGAGCTGGGGGATTCTGCAGTTGCCTTGAATCCCTGCGTCAAGATACTCTCCGGGAAGGAACGCTTCCACACTTCTGGTGCCGGATCTGACCTTAAGTCATGCAAAGAACTTGTCAACCGGGAAGACAACCCGATACTTTTCCAAAATCTTCAGCATGCGGCTCTGGAAGCTTTTGAAGCTGGCATGTTCCGTGGCAGTCATATGGGATGCGAAGTGAATCTTCGCGTCAATGGCAAAATGGGGGTCTTCGTTACGAGTGCCAACTCCCAAGCTATGACTTTCCTGCAAACCGGAAATGATTTGCAGGATCTTTCAATTATTGAGAGTCTTCCTGGGGGTCTCCCTGCTGCGGTCAATGTCTTCATTGCCAACTATTGTGCCCATCATGACTTCCGCCAGAAGGAGTGCATCAAAGTCGCCACTGCCTATGACGAGGTAGCCCCGGAGTACGACGATCAGGGCCAGACAAACAGCCAGGACAAACACAACTTTCGGCATTTGTTGGAAAACTATGACTTTCAAGGAACCGTTTTAGACTTGGCTTGCGGCACAGGCTTCTTTGGCCGTCTGCTGACCGAAAACGGATTCAGAAATGCCGAGAGGGCAGGAAGTTTAATTGGGTTTGATCTTTCTCCCGGCATGGTGAACTTGTGCCGGAAAACAGGCGTTTATGATCAAGTCGACATTTCTGGGTTACAGACTTGTTTACTTCAGTATTCCCGGCATGGCGAGGTAGACCATGTCGTGTCTTTTGGCGCACTGCACTTTCTTTCTCCCGAAGAATTTGCAAGTTTTTTTGTCCAATGCTTCATTATTGCCAACAAATCCATAACTGTTTCGGTTGATGAGATCCCGGACTCTTACAATGAGCATCTCCATGAGAAGGGTCTGTCTTATATGCACTCCACCAACCACCTTGGTAACATGGAGGCCTTCGGAGAGCCTCAAGGCTGGAAACTGGTCTCTCGTCAACGCCATTATTCGTGGACGTCCCCAACCACTGGCGATGGTATATACAGTACATTCTTCCGATTTGAACGAGTGGACCGCGGGAATGTACTAATTTCCAGGGCTCCGGAGAAAAACTAAGGCTATGCGTCTGGATGCAGGGACATTAGCGACCTCTTCCCATCAGAACTGACTTACTCCGGCAAACCACCATGGGGTCATTTGCGGAGGGGTGTCCCTAGGAAATGGAGTTGAAAATTCAGTTGACTCTTTGGGTTTCACGACGGACCTAACTTCTGTTGCTTTTTACTATGTGACTCCATGCTTTTTCTATACGTGGCTTATATATGTCAGATTACATAGTAATTTAATACAATATTCTGATATTTCTTCGTTATAAGGCCAAGACTGGTAGTATTATTAGATTATTCCATGTTTTTATATTATTCCTACTATATAAATAATCATCCTTCCTTTCTTTACTTTCTTCCTTCTATCTTCTCATCTATATCTTCCGTAAACCTGTAGCGGTAGGGGCATCATCTTCAAATGCTTCTTATAATCCCTCCTATTTTTCACATTTTGACGTGAGTGGCGAGGGAGTCTCCTGTTCTTGCATCAAGTATCGGTGCCAAAGCTAGAACCACCAAGCTGAGATCGTATATATCCGCATTTGGAAGCAAATTCCCCACTTGGGATCGTGCTGACGGAAAAGAACTACGACGTCACGGCTCATACCGGCATTGACTGAGTCCCAGATTCTAGATCTTCATGGCACACTTGTTCAAGCGAGCATCTCTTGTTACCTTTCAATCCTACAGACCTGGAAAAGGCCCTGGTTGGGGCTCAAGTGCTAGCCAAAAGACAAAGGCGGAGGGAAATGGAGAGATGATCCTCCCAATGAGAATTACGAACCCCGGTATGATCTACAGGTGCATTACCTATACATGCCAGGCAACAGGTTCATCCGCGCAGTTTCTTAGCACTCCGCCAGGAACGGGGGATCAAGCGGACTCCAGACGTCTGTATGATTCATTCCCAGGGTGCAAACCTACGTTCACTAACATGAATTGTAGCTTCAAGTTTGAGTTCTGAGAACAGGCTTCTGCAAAACCTGCACCCTGGACTAAACTTAAGGTCACTGCGTATAGCCACTAATACGCCATATCGTATTTTACTTGGAGAACATTTCATACGCTTTGATTAATTATAGAAGTTGATATTGCAGGAATCGAGATATTATAGAAGACATAGAATACGTCTCGGTATCTTCTTTATTTCCCGGATGACTAAATTGTGTAAGTTTAGTTCTATATAACTAGCAGATGGAAGAAACGGACCGGCCCAAATTATAGGCGTAGAGGGCAGTATAAGATTTTCATCATCGGTTTTAAATTAGGATAGAACCTGGTAAATAGATAAAAGTGTTCGCCTTGTACTAAGGTAAACCACAATTATGATAATAAGCGCATGGGAAGCACTGGTATAAGTGATAGATACGCGGGGGCGGGAGAAGAACGGCAAGAATAAAGGGAAATGAGGGGGGCGAATAGGAAGAAAAGTGCAGAAAACCCAATAATATGTCGAGATAGTAACACGGAAGTTGGCAGATTGCAATAGCTGATAGGAAGGGGTTATTTGGGACAATATACTAGGATCTTCCGTGTGAAACAGGTAGGCCGAGAGACCACTCGACCAGCAAAGGCGGCATAACAAACACGATAAGGAACACGTGATCATGAATCCAACCGACTGCCATTCTGTAAGATCGCATGGTTTTCTATTGGTTGAACTAGCTGCGGTCTGTAGGCATTACTTGATTATATAATCACTAAGTGTCAGTGAATATGAAGGCTACGCAGGAAAGGTGTTAACCCAGAAGGTGATAATATTGACTCTGGAGAGAAAAAGGAAGAGAGAGAATGCTAGCTACAGTAATAATAATGAAGTCCTGGAAAGTGCGATCACATGCATCTTCACATGCAAGTCACGTGATCTCCAACAAAATGGGCTCGAAACCCGACCCTTTTGAGGGTCGAGTCGGGTTGGGTTTCGGGCTTTGCAAGCTTTACGGAAGTCTACTAGTAGTCTAAAGATAGGGGATCGCCGGGCTGGTAAGCGAAGTATTCAGAGGGTATTTATTCATTCCTAGGAGCATAGGCTGAAATAGGAAAATGATAGGTCAATTGAATAGCCCCACGGCGAGTTTTTCACTTGATAGGATCGAGACCGCTAGGATGAACGGTCACGTTGACTGCGCCAGTCCTGTTTTGATAGGCGAACTAAATGGAAAGGGTCGCACGTGATAGGATTAGCGTGTCGCGATGTTGCTTACATACGCCGCTTATCCCTACACTCAGAGAGCACTTAGTGAGCCAATCAGGCTGCTCAGATGATGATCAGTGAGTGGATCAGGGTGCTTAGGGGATTATCAGGTGATGCTCAGTGAGCGGATCACGTTGATTATATAATAACCCGAGATCAAGTCAGGGTACTTAGGGACGTGCTCAATTTTACTCAGTGATCAAAAAGCGGCAAAAGGTGAGCACTAAAACGGAAAGGGAAAGGTCTCGAGTGCCAGACATTTTCCGGTATATATGTATTAGTAGTGACTACTGTGGACATTACTTTGGATTGCTGGGTAGTGTAGCTGTATAGCTCCGCAAATTGCGGGGTAATATGTAACTTCAGGAAAAGAAAGGAAAGGAAAGGAAATAACTAGACCAACTGCACCTCATAACGGCACCTAATAAGAACCCTGGAATAGCGCGTAGATTAGCAAACAGTAAAATGAGCCATACTTCAACGGCTGGAGACTGCAACATGTTGTGCCAGGGAATAAACCCGGCCGGAGGGCCGGGGCACAGCATGATTCGTCGGAAAGAATAGCAGTTGCAGATGAACCTTGGAAATCGATCCTTGAGTTCCCCCATTGTCAGTACTTTATATCTATCCATGGATGTATATATTTTGTTTTCCAATATAATTGCACAAGGGGTGAAATCATCCACTGGGGGTTGAGGGGCAAAAGAGTCACGTTGACAATGCTATTTATTGTACTACACGACTATGTGCCACAAAGCTGTTCAACGGTCTAGGTGCATTGTTCGAGGATATAGAGAGATGAGTGGGTTTATGTATGGCTTGGAATATGAAGATATACATGCCCGTAAAAAAGAGGGGTCAAGTGGGAAGCTCATTTTATATTAAGAGGGGAGATATGAAGTGTCAGAAAATGCATATCAATCCGGGGTAAAAATAGAAGAATAGCCTGGGCTTATTTGCCCTGCAAGTGTGCGACCCGAGGGCCGTGCGATGGTTATTCTTTTTATTACAGAGTGTTAGTAGATATAGATATATAGATATAGATATAGATATTGCAATTATTATACCTAGGTATACCTTAAGGTAGTACCTCGGTATATTGTAATGCTTTATATAAAAATGTTACTGGGTAAATTGAGTGCCCACAACCCCAGATGATCGGCCTTATTTTTCTCCAAGGGACCCGCCTGTTCTGGATGGGGGTCTACGCCACTTTCGCTAAACCTATGGAGAGCTTGGATTCGTGATCTTCTAATTTATTTTCATATATATATATATATGTTTATAGTGTAATTATTATAATCTAGTCATATCTTTTTATAATTCTATGTCTTCTTTAAGAAATAAAACTAAAACTAAAACTACTATAAACCACTAAAACCCCCTAAAAAGGAACTAAAAAATGAACTAAAAAAGTCGAAGATCAAACCATAGTGGTCCGTGTCCTCCGGGGCAACGTTGCCAGATCCGTAACAGAAGTTACCCCAGGCTCTTTGCGTTCCCCTCATCTTTTACATTCTCTTCCCCCTCCCTCTCCCCTTTCACCTCCCACTTTCATCATCAACACTCTTCTTCGATCACAAGATGCGCCATCCTTAAGGGGTTCAGCCTAGTCCCGGCCCGCTCAACGTCATCTGTGAGCTTCGATCGTGCAAACTCTCCGAGCGCATTCCCGTCTCCTAATTAGACCGATCATCGAACATTCAGATTCAGCATCTTCCGTTGACACGCGACTCGTTCTATCCCCCCAAATAAGGACCTTCTACTTCTCGCCGGTTGCCTACCTGACCTCATCTCGTCATCTCGTCGCCCTCGTTTCTCCGTTTACCTCGAAAATTAACCTGTGCAATTCGGGCATAGGACTCCCCCAACAACATTCTTAACGAGATCCACAATCACCGTGCGCACCTTGCAAATATACATTTGGAGCGTAACGATTAGAGTGGTGAGTCGCGCAACATTTCTACCGAGTTTTCCTTGTCCTGAACGCGACTGGGCTGATCCATGGATAATTCTCTAGACACAATTGCGATCACGCGACTACTTTTCATTTTTCGACTCTATCTTCTTCGTGGATACTATTTTGCTTGAAAGGTGTCTGGTGATCTACACGCGCCAGCTAGGCCAGCTAAAAGGATTCGTTCAAATTTGACGCCAACTTGAGGTACGTTCGAGTCTAGTTCTCGGTCGCTTTGTTTTCCTACGTCTTGGGGGCAATGTGCCTCTCTGTGGCGCTGTCTGCTTACATGTTGTTTTTCTATATCTGTTATCTGTGGGCATCTCTCACTCTTCTCTTACTCCACTCTACTTCACGTCCATGTCATTTCGGGGTTGTGCACAGCTTTCTCTTGGTTGAGGGTTTTTTTTACCATCCCCACTTCGGGACCCTCTCGCAAGAGGGGCCGAGGATATGCATATCTGCACAATCTCCGCTTTTGGCTTCCAGCTCTCGGTCATGCCACACCTACATATGCTTATATTTCCCTTCATTTGTGCTTTTTACCCCCTATTTTACTATCTGGCTTCAGTATGGGAACAATCGCTGACTTTGATTTTACCAGAATTGAACATAGCGCATATACCTAGTGAACCGTCGTCCGTTTAAAGATCCGAGATTGATCCTTTACCCCAACCGCATCGAGCACGTGGAACAAAGACGGGTGTGATTGCATGTGTTCATTCTCTTTTATTTTGAGCCAAGGGACACCCTATACAGTACAGCTTGGCTATTAACAAAGATCGTACAGGTTAGTGAACTACCTCTTGTTCTCCCATGGCTTTGGGCTATTCCCTCATTATACAACCCCGCTCTGGTT